CAATGCACGATATGAAGAACTCGAAATATAAGGAGCTAACTGAATTTCGGATTGTATACTCCTTGTGAGGAGTAAAAAGGCAGATAAGACCAATATCTTTAACATATGATGAAGAATTTGGAGAGAGGAAGAATAACTGGAAGAAGAGGAATAAGAATCTATTGAAGGACACAAAAAATAAATTAGAAGGCAAAGTAGAAGAAGAAGAAGATAGGGAAGAGAAAAAATTGGATGAAAACCTTAAAAGATGAGGAATTGGATAAAGTAGAAGAATATGAAGATGAGGTAAAAGCCGAAAACACCAGAAGAATAGGAAGTCGGTGATAACGAAGAAGACGATGACAATGAAAAAGGAAAAGAAAGAAAGAAGAAGAAATAGAATAATAAAACATTGAAGAAGAAGAAAAAAGGGAATAAAACCTGGAAGAGAAGAAAATCAAAAGATGTATGAGAGGGAAAAGGAAAAGATGTGAAGAAGAAGAAGAAGACGTGAAAAAGAAAAACCAGCAGAAGAAAAAGTAAAAAAAAAGGACATAGAAAATAAAGAAGAAAAAAAAACAAAAAAACAAAAAAAGAATGAAAGAAGAAAATGATAGTGAAAAAAAAAATAAAAGATAAAAAGAAAAAAAGATGAATAATTTCTATAATCTTATTTTAATTTGTGTTTATTGATTTCATACACTTATTAGTAGTGATTTTAAAGTTTTTAATGTTAGACAATGATTACTTTCATAGGTTAGCTTTATTTTAATTTTGTATGTATCAAATTTTTGATCTAATTATTTTTGATTTATGACATAAAATTTTATTTTAGGTTTCAATGAAACATGCTAAACACCTAGTAAAAAATAAAATATATTTTCGTGCGGATGCACGGGATTAAAATCTAGTTTTTCCTTAAGTATAGATACGAAAGAAAAAAATGCAAAGTTATAAATTCAAGATGTACTTCTTTCTTTGTCTGACCTATTTATAAGAAAATGTGTGTTCTCTAATTTATTACTAAAAAAGTTGTGTGCGATCGATTCTGTACTCATCAAACTACTGAAGAAACAAAGTGTATAAAAAATAATTATTGGAAATAAGGAAAAACCAAAGATGAATCCATAAACAAACCCTAGAATCCAATAAACAAAAACCGAACCAAACGGTTTCAAATTCAATGAGCTATAAATGAAGAAAATATAAACATAAAAAGTAGTAATCTCTTCTCCAGAAACCAACCATACTCTTTAGTCTTTACTCATAACTTCACTGGAATGCAAGCTGACAGTCTGGTGAACGCCTCGATGAGGAGAACAACTCCTTGATCTCCTCAAGTTTCTTGTCACTCTCAATAGCTTTAGAGGAGATATTAATAGTTGCCTTCTTCAAACACTTTGAGCTTCTAAAAATAAACGCTACTGCTTCTTTCTCTTCTTCTGTTCCTAGATAAAATACCCACCTGAAAGTTTCAAGACTTGATAACAAACATTCTGGAACTGAACTCTGTTCATTCCAGCACGTGTTCCAGCACGGGCGCGAGTCTTTGGCTCGAAGGGTATGACACTGATATAAAAGGGATACAATTACAATGCACTAGATCAATCATACTGATTAAAAATATATATATACCTTGTCAAATTTAAGAAATATTGGGGTGAAAATATTATATACCTGATCAAGTTTGAGAGCTCGTAAATTAGGGGAATCTCTGAGCACACGCATAAGTAGGTTCAGCCACTGTGTCTCGCATGTGCATATCGTTAAACGTACAAGACTGTTGAAGACACTACCGTCGGGATACACATCCTGAATACACCAAGATAGCATTAAGTTCATGAGCAAACGTAGTGTACAATAGTTTTGATCACAAGAGAACTCGCTCTTCGAAGTGGATTAGAGACTGTAACGATTGATTAGTCTCAAAGAGAAAAACCAATAATGAATGTGGCAGAAGAGTAGAAACAACATCATATATTACCTTTGAGGATGGTACGCACAGATACAAGCGCTTGAATGAAGTAATAGAACCCAACTTCTTCCAAGGATGCCAAACATTAGTGACAATGTTTGCTTCCACAATCTTAGTCATATTAGTCTCAATGACACAAAACCCATTTGTATGAAAAACGTCCAAGAACTCCAGAGAAGGAGCATCTATCACAAACCCTGAAGCCTGGATTGCAAATTTGGTTTCGAATCTATGCAAAACTAATCTCTTTAAGGAAGGCACTCTAACGCTCATAATAGCAACACTGTCATCTTCACATTGCTCCACAACCAAGTCTTCAAGAACAGGACAACTCGATAAAAGCTTTTTGACGAATGCATCACCTCCGTGCTTCACGGTTTTAAGACACAGTTGCTTGAGAGATGGGAAAGAAATTGGAAAATCAACATCCACGAGAACCGGGTTATGTAGTTTCAAGGTCATAAGCATTTTGAAGCATGTATACAAACTCACTGGAAGTGTGACTGGAGTAGAAGTCTTATAGATCTCAATGATCAGCTCATGCACACAGTGCTTCTCTGCCGCTCTGATCCACGCTTCAGTATCTCCAGTACCACATATCTTACCAATTTTGAAATGCAAAGTTTCTATAACTGGAGCCTTGTGCAGAAACAAAGATCTCTCTACAAACCGCGAAAATCTTTCATGCTCGGGGTTCAGATAGCCATCATCGAATACGAGTTTTGGCATTAACATCCAAAGAAACTTCCAACGTTTTGACAAAACCATTGTGGACACAACATCCTTAGCAGTAGGACTTAATGACAATATTTTTAAGAGAAGCTCATCAGGCATATGACTTATACTGTCCATAATTTCCGTAAATAAGAACTAACCCTTTTTTGATAGTCCAAAGCTTCGGCGAAAAAAACGAAATCAGAGACTAAAGCCTGAAAACATCAAATAAAAACACAACAAACGAGGGATATGAGATTCTCAGGAACCAAAAACAAATGGTCATAAGCAACGAATTAGGGTCGAAGCTAAACCCTAGCGAGGCACAGAACAATACACAAATCGAAAGAGAAGCACATAAAATCTAAACTCACCGAGCCGTCAAAGTAATACAGATAAAGATTATTTATCAAACTTACTCTTTCGAAAGCAATAAGAGGACGAGAATAATAAAATAAACAAAAAAAAATCACAGAATAAGCTATTACCTAGAATATCTCCATTGATTATTTTTTAACACCAAAGAAAATATCTGAAAAAGTGTTATACTTATCTTTGAATTTATAATTACCATCTAACTAATGAGATATTAAAATATTAAGTATTTCTACAATTAAAAAAAAAACAATTGCGTGATTGATATATATGTATTAAAGTCAAAAAGATACTCTTTGTCAAAGGGATGAAGGAAATAGGAAATTCCTTACACTCTTACATGACAGAAAAACTGAGAATCCAACAAACAATAAATATGATCCCTTCCTTTCATCCAAAAATAGTGTACAAGAAGATCATATAAAGTAGAAAAAGAATGGCCTTGTTCGTTTGTGCCAGCATCCAAAATAATTCATTGTACACAATTTTTGTATTCGCATGCACCTTTTAAATTTGGCAAAACCGAACAAACAAAGAAAAATAATATATAGTTCAATTCCTTATCTTTCTTTTCTTTTCGAGCAAAAAAAACATAAGAAAATCAAAGATGCTAAGTCTGGAAAAGATAAAAACATAATAATATAATTTCCTAATAGCAGGCCGGTCCATCACTTTATATAAAGTCCATAGTTAAAAAATAAAAAATATGACTTTTTATTGATTAAATAAAAATTAAACATTTAGATTTTTTTATTAAAGAAAATCCATAATTTTTTTTTGGGCCCTAGTCAGCTGTCTACTTGGCCTACCCTCTGGGCCTACTCTCTGGACCGGGCCTGCCTAATAGCGATGTTAGTTATTGAGACCATAACTTCAATCAAATACAAGCTGACAAGTACGTGAACCCCTTGGCCACGATGCCAACTCTTTGACCATCTCAAATTTCTTGTCGCGATGAGTGTGTTGAGGGGAGATGATAGTTGCCTTCTTTAAACAGTTTGCATTTCTTAAGATAAATGCTGCTACTTCTTTCTCTTCTTTTGCTCCTTCATATTGTACCCATTCAAAAGTCTCAAGGCTTGTTAACAGACATCTAGGAACTGAACTCGGTTCACTCAGCTCGGGCGCTGTGGCATGTTGTGAGCCCTATTGTTATGGCACTGATAGAATTCATGCGGATTAAAACAACATATATATATATATATATATTATAGAGTGGTCAAGGAAAATGAAATAATAATATAGGTTTAGAGTCTTTTTGACATATACGTACCCGCCGTTCAAGTTTGAGAGCTCGTAAATTAGGGGAAGCTCCAAGCACATGCATAAGTAGGTACATCCACTGTGTCCCACATGTGCATACCCTTAATTTTTCAAGACGTAGGAAGACAACTGGACATGCATCCTACATAAGAGACATCATATATGTACAAAAGATTATTCGTTTCAATATTGTAAAACAGATGCATACGGTATAAAGACAGAAACAATATAGACTGCAGTTGATACCTTCGAAATTTTTGATGAGCATAGTTCGAGATGCTTGACTGACTTAATCGGATCCAGAGAATTATGGTGACTGACGTCTAATATTGCCTTTTCAAGCTTTGGCATATTACTATCTTCGAAACGAAACAAACCATAATTATATATCAACAATGTGCAAGCACTCCAAAGAAGGAGTATCTATACAAAACCAACGAAGATACTTGATATATTCTGATTTATGCACGAATAAACTCTTTAGGGAAGGCACTTTAACCCTCCAAACAGCAATGAAGTCATCTTGAAATTGATCATGTATAACCAAGTCTTCAAGAACAGGACAACTGGATAAAAGCTTGTCGACAAAGTTACAACTTGCAAATTTAATGGATATAAGACTCAATTTCTTGAGGGATGGGAAAGAAATCGAGGAAGAAACATCATCCACAAGAACCGCGTTACTTAGTTTCAAGGTCACAAGCATTCTGCAACTCCTAGGGAGTGAGACTCGAGTTGATCTTCTGCCACCAGGAAAAGAACAAATATCAATGTCGATAATCAGCTCAAGCACACACCGTTTATCTGCATCTCTAATCCACACTCGAATATCTCCACTAGAACAGGCTTGAGAAAGTTTGAAATGCAAAGCTTGTATCACTGGAGCCTCGTGCCTAAACAAAAGATCTGTCCACAAACCGTGAAAAGCTTCCATAATTATGGTCTTTCTTATAAGATCTTCCTTTCCGGCCTATGTTGTGATCTCTATAATCGTATACGAGTTTTGGCACCATCTTCCAAAGAAACTGCCACCGTTTAGACAAAACCTTTGTGGCCACAACTTGTTTCGTACTAGGCAGGAATGACAATATTTGCAAGAGAAGCTCATCAGGCAACTGACTTATCCTGTCCATAATTTTGAACTAACCCTTTTTTGAAAGTCCAAAGCTTTCAGCTTCTGCAAAAAAAAATCTGAAATCAGAGACGAAAGCCTGAGAACGTTAAATAGTTAAAGATTAGCATTCAAACAAATATTCATTCAAAGCATATGCTTTTAGGGATAGAAATAGAACTAGAGATCCTGATTTAGGAATACTCTTGTAAAAACTAAATGAAACAATAATTAGCAAAAGAGGGCTGTATATAATAAGAACTAAAAATCTTGACAACCCCTAATTAAAATAGAACTATTTATTTATATAAATAATATATATATTTATCTTCAAAATAATAATATCAGCTATACGTCTGCATTACAAAACCCTAGGTGTAGAACAAAAGCACAAAAAGAAGGACGAGACGAAAACAAAATCTAAACTAACTAACTCCTTCGAAACTAAACATGACGACGAGGATAAGAAAAGATTCGCAGAATAAACAAATACGTAAAACTTGTACGACTATTTAATCGCTTATTCAGGGATGCGCAATTCAACGGAATATTTAAACCATAAGAGAGATTATAACATATACTTGGGAAATATAGGTACTCTGCTAATAGAGAGAGATGTAAGAAGATCCAAACTTTGGTTTGAGCTAAGAAAATCTTACGAAACAACTTCAAGGAGTATTTTTATTTCCCTTATTAGAGATTACAAAATTTTTATCTGTTTTCCTTTCTGCTTTCAACTGAATTTCTCTAGTTTTCCTTATCTTTTTTCTTCCTTCTAATTTTATAGAACTTTTGTTTCGGTTTTCCTAAAGAAACCAAATCCAAACCAAATTGAACAAATTTCAGTTCGGTTCGAGATTTATGTCCAGGCTTCTGAGGCTTTGACCATTTTATTTAGCATATATATACTGTACAATTAAAAAATAAAGCTGAAATAATAACCCACAATTTTGGCAAAAAAAACACATCAGCATAAGTAATAATTATCTGACACGATGCATATGATGTAATCTTTCAGAAGAGGGAAGTCAATCTGTTTCATCCAAAAACAGAGAACAAGAAGATTATTTATGGTTTTCTCTAAAAGTCTATCAGTTCATTTGCTGCAGCGGATAACCGAACCAAACGGTTTCAAATTCATATTTAGCTATAAATGTAGAAGATATAAACATAAGAAGTTGTAGTTTGTTGTCCAAGATTCAGATTCAAAATACCAACCATACTCTTTACTTATAACTTGAGTGGAATGCAAGCTGACAGGCTAGTGAAAGCATTGCATGACAACTCCTTGCGCATCTCAAGTTTCTTGACACTGCCAATGGATCTAGAGGAGACCATAGTTGCCTTCTTTAAGCAGCTTGCACTTCTTAAGATGAATGCCACCACTTCTTTCTCTTCTATTGTTCCTTCATAACATACCCATTCGAAAATTTCAAGACTGGATAATAGAAATTCAGGTACGTTCAAGATACAAGAACTATGCACTAGATCAATATTACATATGTATCAGTTTAAGATACTTAATGAATCTGGACATTGTTCCAGAGCCAACTCTTCAAGGCATCTACATAACATCATGTAATGAAACCAAGAATTGACATTAAGTGAAATTAGATGAAAAACATAAGGAAATTAACACAAAGACATAGATTAGCACCAAAATCGAAAGAGATGATGAAAGTTTATTATAAAAAGCTTGAACAAAAGACCATAATATTATATGCTGCATATAAACTAAGGAAGATAATTAATATAGTTGTTCCTTAAGTTTCGTTCTTCGTACTACGCAAAGATACACTGCCAAAAACATTACAAAGTTGTTTGGAAAAAGAAGACAGAACAAGCACTAAGGGCTTCCAACATCTCAGACCAAATACCAACCAAAATGACAGTAACTTAACTGACTGTTAAAGATGCTTTCTCCTTCAGAGCTGGACCTGTAAGTAACATCAGTTAAACGCAAGCCGGAAAGTAGGCGAACGCCTGGGCGAAAAACGCTAACTCTTTGATCATTTCAAACTTCTCGCGGTGGCTGGTGGATTGAAGAGGGTTTATAGTTCCTGTCTTTAAACAGCTTCCGTTTCTTAAGATAAATGCTACCACTTCTTTCTCTTCCTCTGTTCCTTTATACTTCACCCATTCCACGGTTTCAAGGCTCGATGACAGACATTCAGGAACTGCACTCGGTTCAATCCAGCTCTGGCGCGGTTCAACATTCTCAGGTCCACGGCACTGAGATAAACGAGATGACAAGTGTAAGTTCATTTTAGTATAGGATCATCATACTAATTTGGGTTGAAATTCTTGTACCTTTTCAAATTTGAGAGTTCGTAGTTTAGGGGAATCTCTGAGCACATGCATAAGTAGATTCAACCATTCTGTCTCGCATGTGCATATCTTTAAAGACAACAGACAGCAGAAGATACTACCAGCAGGATATGCGTCCTGCATAATAGGCGGCATTAAGTACACAATGCTATATAGCGGCAACAGAAAATCAAGAAATGCAAATGGCAGAAACAGCATATTACCTTCACACATAAACAGAGGCGCTTGACTGAAGTAATAGAGCCCATAATTTGCTCAGGATGGTCACAAGAAATTACAACATTTGCCTCCACAATCTTAGGCATGTTACTCCTAATGACGAAAAAAGCGTTTGTAGTATCTAAAACATCCAACAGCTCCAAAGAAGGAGCATCTATCACAAAACCATGAGCCTCGGCTTCAAATATCCATGGTCCATGCAAGACTAAACTCTTTAGAGAAGGCACTATAATGTTGAAAACGGCCACATTATCACCAGTGCTTCGATTCACAACCAAGTCTTCAAGAACAGGACAACTGGATAAAAGCCTGTTGACGAATTCATCACCAGGGAAGGATGGGAAAGAAACCGAGGAAGCAACATCATCCACAAGAACCGCGTTGCTTAGTTTCAATGTCACAAGCATTCTGCAGCAAGTGTACAAGCTCTTAGGAAGTGTGACTGGAGATCTACTACTAGGGTAAGTAACGATCTCGATAATCAGCTCACGCACGCAGCATTTATGTGCAGCTCTAATCCACACTTGAATATCTCCACTACCACAGATCTGACCAAGTTTGAAACGCAAAGTTTCAATGACTGGAGCCTCGTTCATAAACAAAGACCTGTCTACAAACCTAGAAAATCTTCCATACTCAGGATTCTGATAGCTATCATCGTATACGAGTCTTGGCACCAAAGTCCACAGAAACTGCCATCGTTTTGACAATAGCATTGTGGCCACAACATCTTTCGTTGGCAGTATCGACAATATCTTCAAGAGAAGCTCATCAGGTAATTGACTTATTCTATTCATAGTCACAAAAGCTAAAATAAAAAACCTTTTTTTCAAATTCCAAAGCTTTCACCTTTCACAGTTTTCTCCGACAATGTCAGAAATTCGAAACCAGCAACGAAATGGCTAAAAACTGGAACCTTTTTATTTGTTTCCACAACACTGAATAAACCTGTGAAAGTAGCGTAAATGAGAAGAGGGTTAGATGAAATCAAAAGTGTGAATTTCACAGGACCCAAACAATGAAACAAATTGTCATAGGCAATGCAGGTTTCTGACGAAATCGTAGCGAGTTACAGAACTCGTATCAAGCGCTAAAAAAGTTTACACAGGACAGATTTCTCATGAGCTCGCTACTTCGAAAATCAAACAAGTAAGATGAGAATCAGAAGAAATTCACAGAATCAGCAAATACCTAAGACCCCTCCGCTAATTTTCTCTTCTATTCAACGACGAAAGATGATGAATTGAGAAACTAGAAAAAAAAAAAAATGCACTCAAGGCACAATTATTTAACCGACGAACCAGGGACCAACTCAACCAAACCAAAATTAGCCTTAACCGGAAATCAGTAAGCCAATTTTAAAAATTAGATTATGATAAAAGACTTGGGATATTGACAGCTGAATTTCTTTCTTGCCACATTTTAGCATTACCATTTGGATTTAGGAAATTGAAATATTCTCATCCCTTTAGCATAATTTTTTTTTTAACATGAAGCTCAACATAAATTCATTTTTAAATAGAATATGAATTTTTCGTTTTGTTGGTCTTTTACAATAGTTCATAGCCTGAAACAAAATATGAAATTCCAGACATAAATTTGATGAACTAATCTATCTGCCGCGACATTACATTTTCCTGGCATAACATTAATAAAGAATCTGTCAAAATATATTGCTAAAACTAGATATCTTGTCAATAAGCTTGACCGGTCGACCAAGCTTTAGAACTTACAAACAACAAATTAAAGAAACAAAACACATGATGATAATTTGTAGCTTAATAGTTTGTGGTAGTCCCGTCGATTTGTCACCAACCGAATTTAAATCCGCATTGCTGATAAAAAAAAAAAAAAAAAAAAAACACTAAGCATATAAAATTATACTGTAGTAAATTTTATTTCTAGTTCAATAGACAATACCTTAAAGAAACAGACCATTGAACATCTTAAAGCCAGATAAAATACAAAAGTGAAAAAACATCAAGCAAAAAAAAGAAAAAAAAAAGGAAACGCAATTGCTCAGGCGGCGGGTGAAAACACAAAGCTCTTTTATTCCCTTTCTGTTCACCTCAGCCTCACCGGCGTATTACAAAAGCTGCCGGTGAAAGAAAAAAAACTCCATTCCCGCCATTTAGGTTATTTAATTAAGTTTCTTCAGTTTTGGTTAATTAGGTAAATTCCGAAACTTTTCCAAACTAATCAAACTCTATAAAATTCCAAAATCAGTAAAATAAAGTAAAAACTTTTTCTTTCTCTCCATAATAGTGTTCAGTCCACGTCATCACCTCTGAGACCGGAACTGTTTGCCGGTATAAGTCTGTCCGAAGCTCCAGTTACGAGGAGTAGCGTTATTGGAGACGACTGTGCGGCCATCGCTGGTTGTTACTTTGAAGGAGAGAGCTTGACCGTCGAGATTCGCGTTGCTTTGCCAGTTCTGTCCCCAGTTTCTCGACATGCTTTGCCAACCTGTCCTTGTTCCTTTAATAGAGACGGAGACAACATCTCCGGCGCCGGCGACGTTAGTTACGAGTACGAGGTTGAAGTATGAGTGTCCGTTGATCGTGAATCGCATCCCTCCCTTTCTCCGGCAAGCCACTCTGTTTCCATCAAAAACAGAGTATACAAAAAGATTATTTATTTTATTTTTTTTTGGGGGGGCAAACACATGAAGATTAATTAATCTGCCAATTTTCTTGGATTTTATAACTTTTTCTGAATCTGATCAAACCTTTTTCTGAGTTCATGCATTTTCTTTTGGAGAAAATTCAGATGAAAAACGAAACCAAACGAGAAAACATTAAGTCTGTGTCAAAAATTTTGATTTTTCCTCCAAAAATTGATAATTTTTTAAAGGTTTTAAAATGCATGTTCTCGAGAAAATCGATTGTGGACTTTTATACACTCGAAATTAAAAAATATACTCCATCAAAATGAAAAGTTGAAATGTCACTCTAGTCTGTGATTTCAGCGAACCGAGCTAAACCGAGACCGGAAAACGTACCGCCGGTATTGGACAGGGACGACGCCGGCTTTGTATTTAGCGATGCGGAGAAAGATGGGCTGAGCCAAATCGAAGTGATGTTGCGGAGGATTACACCAACCTCCGGCGTTGTTGGCCTGAGCAAAGTTCGGCGGACAAAAGTTTGTTCCGGTGACCGTGATTGTTCCTCCAAGACACCATTTTGGATCGTTTACACATTTTATCTGAAAACAAGCGCCGCAACTTTGGCCGCCGTTGAACAGAGCCGTACTTAGCGCCGCCGTGTTCGTGCCATAACCTTGACTGTATAAATTCCCGTAGCCACACGCGCCGCCTGATCCCAAAAAAAGACCAAATATTAACCAATAGAAAAATGAGTTTTTGAGAAATTAACAAATTAGTGTAATTTAGAATCTTCAAAGTAAGTATAAAAACGTCATTAAGATTTTTTTGTTTTACTATTCAATAGCACTAAATTGAGTCTATTATGAAAAGGATTCGTCAAAGGTTTTAAGTTTGAATTAAGCTGGAGTATATTATTAGTTTGAGTCTTTGAGAGAAGAGGAAGAAAATTACCCATGGTGCCAGAAGCATCAGCACCTCCATAGAATGTGGCTCGAGCACTGACCCAACCACTACTGTAACCATCTACACACTTCCACATCACCATCATCATAAGACTCAATGACATTAACAATTTTCCAAAAATCTCCATTTTCTTCGCCTTTTTCTGCACAAGAAATCTTAATGACTAGTTAAATAGAAACAGAGATATATGTGTGTGTGTGTGTGTGTGTGTTAATGTAAGAATAGTGAAGATGGATGAGAAGAGAGACTGTGGAAGATTGAAGCTTACAATGGCTTGGATAAGAAAAAAAGGAACCACAAAAAAAAATGTAGTAAGATTTTTTTTTTGTTAAAACCAAAATGTTTAGTGAGGTTAAATGAGAAGAAAGGGTTTATTTGGTAGGTTGTGAGTTGTGAGGAGATGGCTATATATATATAGAAATTCCTGCAAATGAAAACAAGTTTATTATTATTTCAACTGATTTTTTATGGATCTATTAAATCCATTTTTATATAACACTTGCAATTGACTTTTATATTTGTAAACACTTTTGATTTTTGTACATATACAACACTTGCAACTGATTTTTATCGGTTTAAATGATTAAAATTTTTAAAAATAACTGCTTTTTATGGATCTACTAAGTCCATTTTAACAACGGAGGAGTATATCAGTATGATCCAATTCCACTAAAGCACATTGGCAGCACAAGTAGAATTAAATATTAAGTTATTATATATAGAGATAAATATAATGTATGTTCACCATTTGTTTACACTTTGAAAAAAATAGAATTGATAACATATTAAATCGTTGTTCAAAAAATAATATTCTATTATTCATCTATTTATTTGCTATAGTATATTGAATAATAAAACTATAAAATTATATGTTTGTATTAAAATGAAAATACATTCTTTTTGAAACAATATTTCAAAAACCAAACCGAAAATTATATGAAGCTCAGTTTTGTGTGATAATTCTTATATATAAATATAGTGGCCATCTCATTACACATTTCTCCTCTATATTCTTTTATAAAGTAATTTTTATGTTTTGTTAAATTAAATAATTGAAAAGTTGGACAAATGATATCCAATCAAATGCTTTATTTTAAAGTTTTGAATTTAGACACAGATTTTTATATTGCAATGGAGCGCAATAAATAGCTAGGTGTGTGCTACTTGGGATTAATATGTTTTATTTTTTTGGAGTTTTGCTTGGGATTTAAGTAAGGGAATGTGAATATATAAATCTATTCTAATAAAGCTCGAAATTTTGGAACGAAAAAGCAGCATCGAGAGTACCTCATATAAGCTAAGTTGACCATTTGACCTTCCGTATTCCTAATTCCAAAGTCCACAGTCACAGAGATATACATTGAAAATATAAAATAATTTATTTTGACCGGAGATTTTAGATGGAAATCAAGAATAGATTTTACAACAGTTATCTGAATTTTGTAGTTTCTGAAAACGTGCATCTAACGATGATCGATCTGTTGTCTAGTGCAACTCAATAATGATCATTGTCTTTAGTAAAACGGGTTATCTGAAATCATATTCATACAAAGCCGGTTTAATTAACATTATTAGGGTCCTTGCGTGAATTTATTTTTAATTAAGCTATAATAACTATTATTTATTTAATATTTACTTTTAAATTTTATCGCAAATAAAAAAACAATTTGCATTCTTTGAATGTGAATTTTTACAGAATCGTTATGTAATATCATTTATTTTGTTCAAAAAATATTTTCCTATAACGAAACCCTTATAATGTCATATATATTTAATGGTTTATAGTACGTATGATGTCTCACTATTCAATTCAAAATCAAAATAACGCATTTTAAAGTTAATTTGCTATTTCTTACTAAACTTAAAGTTGGGTCTCAAAGCATCAGACCTCTTACACCATTATCCTCAACCGGCGCTATATTCATACATCCACTATATACTGCGAGATTCCTCTTCGTTATCACATTTGAATTTAATCACGATCGATATTTTTTTGTCAAACCAATATCAAAATTGTCCAATATAATCATTAATCAAGGACATAAAATATTCGATTAAATTTTCATATTGAAAAAGTTGACTAAACCCTAAAAGAAGTTAAATGTCTTGCTTCAAAAACAAGGCTTGGGTAGCTGTTTCTGTTTTCTTATAAAGTTATTAACTGAAAACCGCAGGAACAGAACATATGCTCACATTCAACTACTTTTTCCAAAGTAAACAGAAAAAAGAAAGCAAGAACAAAGCATTAGCATATTACATAATAGATAAATGATAAAAGTATAAAACAAAGAAAACCAGGATAAAGAAGAAAGTAAAAAAGTGCAAAGAACACCGACCAAAACAATCTTTTAGGCTTAGTCGTATAATTCACTTGGTTCACTGTATTTTTCAAATCGGGTTTCTAGTTGACGAATCTTTTCATCCACTATACAAATAGACAAATTGTTGTTCATGCCAAAATAAATTTCTTTGATTATTAGTACTACCATTCGAAGTTTCGAACCCATAGATATATTCTTGGCACTTGTATTTATTATCTGAAAATGGAATCAAAGCCTGACTTTCGGCGACTGTTCCGTGCAACTGGAAATAATATTTCTTTCAGTACAAAGCAATTTTAAAACATAAATAATTAAATACAGATGAAAAAATAAATTGACCACCTCAATTTCAGGATCTACAGTGACGTTCATGTGACACAAATCGTATAACTTAAGATTTGCTCTCAGAACCAGAGCCGGCCCTGAGGCCAAGCAGTATAAGCATAGACTTGCGGCCTTATTTTTTTACATAAAATTTTTCTTTAACTTGCAACCATTTTTTTTTAGTTATAAAATTATTCAATTTCTTTAGTTAAAAAACGGCCCATTTATTTTTTTTAGCTTGCGGCCACTTAAAACTCAAAGGCCGGCTCTGCTTAGAACTTATATAAACCCATTTTACCCACACAAAAAAAACTTATAAACCCTTCACTAAAAATTAAATTATTTCCCACGTTATTCTAACCAAATTATATTGGAAAAATTAATTGTGTAATATTAGAACAAGGGAACTCGTTAAAATAACCAGCAGAACTCGTTAGTAAACGGATTATAGTATTATACTATGTTGCTTTAACCAGACGATGCATGCTCTTAGTTAGAATCTTTATGATACATATTCATATAACATGAAGTGAGTGTATAGATCAAAGATTGACAAAAAAACAAGTATTAGAGATAGATTTTTTTTTTTTTTATATAATGAGCCTTTTGTACTACAGAGTTCAGAATCCATTATGTATATCTAAGAATTAGAGTGATAATGGTTACACTTTACACACTATAAATAATCAATTCATTCCATATAATGATTAAAAGTCTAAACTCAATATTTATGCTAGTATACTGACGAAGATATCATCCAGCAAAGTCACACAACCGATTTTCACAGTCACATTTTTAACCAATAAAGTATTTTTCAAAAGACAATTGAACTTCGATATTAATATGCATGGTTTCGACCAGTTAGTCGATAACAAAAATCAATTGATCTTGTAAATGAGTTACATGCGCATTTCATTTTTTTTTCTTTCTTTCTCGAATCCTTTTAGGATAGCGCAGTTAGTTATTGATGAGTACTTTTCATATGCAATGTTATAATACTCCATGTTATTTGTCAATATACACCAAAAATTATAGCCTTACATAATCATTCGTCTGTTCTTCCCTTTACAGCTTAAATCATCAAAAGTTAAGTACTTTACAGCTTCAATATCACAACTTGACGACAACATCCAATTCTATGTGACTATGTTAAATATACAGGATTGTGATGTCGGAAAAAAAAATGCACGATTGTTTTATTCTTCAACAACCAAAAAACTGACGGAAATTTAAAAACATCACATTCTTATGTATTGGTTGTAATTATAATCTTTATATGATTCGTTTGGTTTTCTATGATTGTGTTTTGATAAAGAGAGGCTAGAAAAAGTTGTTTTCAGTCCCACACGCATGTATAATATTTGTCTATTCCAAAATAGTGTAATTACCTGAAAAAAGTCGTTACTATTATTTAGGTTAAAATTTAAATCAATATAGTCTTCTTCATGTACACAGTACACTATTTACAAATAAGAAAAATGAGCAATGCGATGAATTTTTCCGTCGATGGGTTGCTATAACAATAGTCTAAAATGCATCACATATTTTATCTATTAAATAAATGCATACCATTGATCTTAATTGTGGTGCTTATACATGATTTAAGTTATTACCATAGAAAAACATGATTTTATTTTTCATAGTTGACTAATAAAATAAACAACGGCAAGCGATATTACAGTGAATAGTATCGTACAAATCTGAGTGAATCAACTCGTTTTGTACGATCTGATATTTTGTTGGATTTAAAATGTAATTTAGTGCATCATTTTCTTGAGTATATTGAAGATTTAATAAAAACAAAATTTGTGTTTGGAAAGCTCATGATTTCTTGCCGGGAAAGTAGCATGAAGTAACAAAACCAAAATCTCTAATGAATCAAATAATAGCTACGTGGCCACTTGTCGTTTCCCGCGCTCCGCTTCTCTCTCCCCTTCTTGAGCATTTTTTTCTCTCTGACAAAATAAAATGAATAAATATGTGTCACTTTAATATTTTTCCGTGTTTTGGGAATTCCAATGTCTGAAACTAAATTTAACTAGAGTTAATTTTGAGGTTTTGGGACATTAAGTGTGCTCTCAAGTTTGGACAAACCCACCCCACGTATTACCTTAAATGACCCGTACATTTCGGATCCATAATTTTATTTCACTCTATTGCAGACAATTATGAATATTTTTCTCATTCATCTAAGATTATAAGAGAAAAATAAATAAACATCTTGATTTTATTGGATCTATTTAATTATTTAACAAAACAAACAAAACATATAGAGTAGCGATTCAAAAAATAAGGCTTTTATTTGGGCCAAGACTGAGCCCAAACCTCGAAACCCGGCAGAAGAAGAAGCTTCGGTTTGGCGCCATTACAAAACACATCACAGCCGCTCATCTACGCGCCATAGCGACATCTCTCCTCTTTGGCAGATTCTTCAAATTTCTCCTTAACAGGAACCGGAATTAACCTCCACAACCACCACCTTCTCTTTCGCCACCTTCTGCGTCATGCGCGTACTCAAAGCTTCTCTAATTTCACGTCTCAGAGAAGAGAAGCCATTGTTGATCCTTAATCTGATCAAACAATTCCAAATCTTTCTTCTTTTTCTCTAATTTCGTTGCTCTGAATTTGGAAATCCATCTCTTGTAGGATTTCAAGAATCATTTCGACCTGAGGATGCGAGAGATCCCCTGAGCTGAATCTATATACTCTGTTTTCAACATCTATGGAGCTTTCACCAGCCATCTTCTTCACACCGATCCCTTTCATCATCTTCCTCATCATCCTCGACTCGTCCCACCTTCCTAAATCCGCATATAAATTGGCTAAAAGCATATAGTTACCACTGTTATTAGGTTCTAACTTAATCAGCTGATTCAAAGCTCTTTCTCCAAGCTCAAGATCATGATGAACATTCGAGGCAGCAAGAAGAGATCCCCATATTGCAGCATTAGCTTCAAAAGGCATGCGCTTAGAAACTTCTTCCGCTTCTCGGATTCTACCTGCTCGTCCTAGCAAATCAATCATGCATCCGTAATGCTCAATGTTCGGTTCAATCCCGTATTTCCATCTCATTGAGGCGAACAAACATTTTCCAAGACCAACCAAACCGACATGGCTGCAAGCTGAGAGGATTGCTATGAAAGTAACATCGTTTGGTTTCACGCCAGCTTTAACCATTCGGTTAAACATCGCCAAGGCTTCAGCTCCAAGCCCGTGAGTAGCCAATCCAGTGATCATAGTCGTCCAAGTAACCACATTTCTCTCGTTCAAACTCTCAAACTCCACCAATGCCTTTTTAATATCCCCTGATTTCGCATACATATCGATGAGCGCATTGTTCATCGAAACAGCTCTGTTCATACCTCGGTGATCAACGTAGCTACATATTCTCTCACCAAACTCAATTGAACCAAGATCAGCACAAGCAGAGAGTGCTGCCAAAAGCGTGACTTCATCAGGCTCAACATTATCCAACAACATTCTCTGAAACACTTCAATGGCTTCGCTAGCTCGTCCGATCTTAGCGAATCCAGAGATCACACAAGTCCAAGAAAGCGCATTTCTTAACCAACAAGGCATCATCTCCAGCAAACTCCAAGCTTCATCAATCTTACCCATTTTTCCATACCCAGCTAATAACGCATTCCAAACATTCACGTCCCTCACACGCATTTCATCGAACGCCTTACGTGCATCTCCTAAACCGCCACACACACAGTACATCTGAATCAAACTTGTGACAACATGGACACTGGAATCAAACCCGAACACCACCGTTTGGCAATGAATCTGTCTCCCTAACCAAACATCAGATAAACGAACAACGATCTTCAGCACAAACGGGAAAGTGAACGTGTCAGGCTTAGAGCATAAAGCCCAGAACTTTTTGTAAACAGAGACCGCAACAGCGTGCGCACTGGGCTCGTCGAAGAGAGACAATGCTCTGATCATGGCGTTGTGGAGATAAGTATTGGGTGATTGCTGGTTGGTGAATACAGTGTAAGCGTATCGAACATGTCCTGCAATTGAACACGCGTCGAGGAATTTGGCGACGATGAGGTTGTCTCTGTTTAAACCCGTTGTGATCATGGAACAATGAGCTTGCTTTAATGTTTTGAGGTTGGTTCCATGGATTTTCAGTGAGGAATCGAACCAGTCTATGCCCGAGACATTGGATATTCGGCGAATGTTCAGAGCCAGAGCGATCGGTGAATGTAGCTGCCATGTGCTTAAGCTCAATGCATTTATTCGTTGCCACATTCTCTTATCGTTGGACAATAATGTGGAAATTCGAGTTTCAATGAGTTTTGAACCCCAAAAAATTTCATGAATCACGTTTTTTTTTTTTAATAATACTGATTTGAATAAAATCGAGTAAAATTAAGAAAAAACACCCTAAATAAAATCGTGTTTTTTTTTTGTTTGCTACTGACTCTAGTTTTCAAAGAGTATCATTTTAAAAATTAGCAAAAGTTCTACACTATCCCTTATTAATACACAACAATTTTCTATTTTTAATGAATACACTAAAAAAAAGGTTAAAATTGAATGTTTGTTTAATACTTTGTATTGGAAATACAAAATAACACTCTTTATAAAAAAAAAAAAATTCTAAAATAACTCTAGTGTAAAATTCTAGTAAGAAAAATGAGTCTAGTTTATGGTTTGAATTGATTACACTAGATTTGGGTTGGTTCGGTTTCCGCGGTATAAAAACAAAAATACTTATGGGGTCACAATTCATAAATATGTTTCGGTTTATAATGCTCAACCAAGCCCTACATGTTCATCATATACACGTACTCCACCAAGTAAACGCAACACACCTATTAAAAACTACTCACAAATTAAGCTTAGATAAATACGAACATTACAAACACACTTAGGTTTCAGTCATACATATATGTAAGTAACAACATATATGTAAGTAACAATATATATATATATCGTAATCAAATTCGGATGGCGGAAAACACGACGACTCCATAGAAACAAGTTATATGGAGAAACTCAGGGGTCGTAGAAACACGATTCTCGTATCTTTTGAAGAGCTCTTCGCACAAGTCCGGTCCAAGATAGGCCTCGACCATAGGACGAATAGCAGCTTGAACCAGATTGGTCCTGGCTCTTCCGTAAGAAACCGGATCTTTCTTCCACTCTTCTTTTTTCTCTTCCGAATGTTCAATTATTTTCAAGTACTCCATTTTCTCTATCTTGAAACCACCGATACGGTTTATTCCGGCCGCCACTTCCTCCGGACTTCTCATGTACGCCGGAATGTTGAATCCGTCTCTTGTCTCTTCATCTATCAAACCCTTTTATGCAAATAAAATCATATGAATTAATTAATTTTAGTGATATTAGCCTACAATATAATTTTTCTTTCATGCAGCCAACAATATAATATTTTAGCTAACTTGTGAAAGAAAAAAACATAATAATCATAAGTTGGCTTTTTGGTAAGAAAAAATAATCCGAGTTTTTCAAGATTATACGTGTTAACTGTTAACAAAACTACAGTATATAGAAGTAATTTGTCTAAACAAACGAAATCGTTATATATTGATTGGTATTACTATTAGCCAACAGATTTAGATGATTTGAGAAAACAACCTATGAACAAAAAGTTGAGTATTTTTTTAATAGATACGGTCGTAAAATGTTTTTTTTTTCTTTGAGTTTTGTAATTTTACGTGTCGATTAGAAAGAAAGAAAAAAATTCAAAGTGGGGTTTTAGCAGAAAACAAGTGAAAAGAAAAGCTAAAAGAGCCAAAACTCTCAACTGAAAAGTGTAAGAAAAAACCAAAAAAAATTCCAAAAGAAAAAACTCAACAGATTGGCATTATAAACCAACTCGCCGTTACACTTACCAGTTACTTAATGAGAGAGACAGAAACGGTCCATTATTTTACGATTATGTAATGTGACATCATCTTGAATTGTGTAACAAAAACATGGATAATTTCAATTAAAAAATAAAATAAAAAAACATGGATGATTTACCTCATCTATTAAATCTTGCCAAGCTTGTTCCATAGTAGTTGTGAAAGGATGTTTGGCTCGAGTATCTTGGTCTCCAAATTGACTACTTGAGCCTGAAGGACGACCACCCATTAACACAAACAACACTCCTCCTTCCACCATTTCTTCTTTCCGACACTTCAAGAAATCATCCAAATCTTTGTCTGATTGCTCTGCGAATGCATCAATGACTTCTTTCTTCGCTCCTTCAATCCACGTTTTTCCTTTGTTCCACGTTTTTGATCCTTTCTCCAATACTTTCTCTGGTATCTACAATATCCAAATCCATCAGAAATCGATCTATTTGTCAATGCACATTTTAGAAATAGTTTTGATATATGGTGCTATGTTCTTGTTTTGAAACTAATTAAACTATCATAAAACAGTTTCATCGAGAAAGTATTAATTATAGCTAGGTTTAGCCATCAGACAGTCAGTATCTATGTATCTCAAATATTAAAGACACATTTTAGAAACTTGTTCTGATCATGGTGTTGTGTTCTTGTTTTGAGAGTAATCAACTAACCAGGAAAATGTTGATTTTTTGTTTTTCACGTAATTAGGAGAATATATTTTTTGTTAATTATTAATATATAATGTCAAAGCTCTAGTTATTTATTTGGATGATGGATAATCTTCATTGTGATGATCAATATAATAAAATTTTCCAATCATAACATGAACTCTCTATTTCCTCCTACCAAGATTAATAATTTACTGAAATTACCTCAAATATAAAAACAATTTAAAACTAAAATTATTAGTAATAATGTATTAGACCTGAGAGAGCCAATGTAAAGCACTTAAGCTCACAGCAACATGTATCGTTCCTCTCGGAAAAAGCCGATCATAGAACGAGCCAGCGACGCCGCCGGCGAAATACATGGACGATTCAGCTTTCTGTTTCTCAGTCAGCAATCTAAACAACATGTTGAAGTCATTAGAAGGCAAATCACAGAAGAAAGCCTCAAACTCCGGCAATCTACCGCCGTACACCGCTGTGTACCGCCGGCTTAAAGTCTCAACCACCGTATCGACAGTAGAGAAAGTGTTGGAGCCGGTGGCGCAGCCAAGGTCGGCTATTCTGATGATCGGAGATGTGTGATCATCGTCGGAGGAGGAGAAGAAGAGTTTAATGGATTGAAGAGATGATATAAGGATTGGTTTGCTTAAGGTTATAGCCAAAGCTTGGCAATCGGAGTTGTTGACGTAGCTGACGTCACCTTCGCCGCCTTGCATACATAATACACGGTGGAGACTAGTGGTGGTCCAGTCTTTTGCCGTCATCGGAAGGCTTGGTGACTCCATTGGTTAATGTTTTTGTTCTTTTGTATTGGATATTTATATAAGAGAAAAAGAAGAGAGAAATATTTTGGTTTTGGAGTTGGAAAGCATTAGATGAGGATTTGTATTTATAACTCAACGCGCATATACATATTGACATACGTACACAAACATTCATGCATATTGATTTTCTCTTTTTGTTATTGGGTTGGTGAGTGGTTAATTACATTTTGCAAAAATATACAAGTCGTTCTTGTAGGTTTTAGTTCTGGAGATTATGCATGTATTGGTGTACATATACATACATGTTTTTAAATAAGATTTGGACCCTTTTTTTTGTATGTGTCATTTTGTTTTGTCAACTATCCATATATTTGAATCAGGTTATGACTGGTAAGAAAATAGTCATGGAATCACTCCTTTGTCTGAATTATATGACATAGTATAGTTGTTGCTAAGACGTTGTATTTAATTTCCAAAATTCGTTTCATAGTCCATCTCAGAAAAATATTGGTACATGCATAATTAATGAATTATATAAAAAGGTCGTTATGAGAGACGATTAGATATAGTAATTTAAGGTGATTTTTCTTTTGACAAATTCTAGCAAATTGTGGACCACTTAATTTAATTTTGAAATTCAAACACAAACAAAAATCTTACATTGCCGAATATATATCTATTTGATTAAGCAAAGGCATCTGAGAATTTAACAGTCACAATGCCCTTAAAAGAAATTTAAGTTTAGCAAAGTTTTCTACTATAGACACTTTGAAAGTCTTCCACCTAATTTAGTCAATTAACCAATGGTCCCATTAACTAACGAATAAATATATTATTTCCTTTAAGACTTATGTGATACTATATAAATATATATGATGAATGTCATAAATACACGTCGTGGTCGATGTTTAATGTAAAAGAAATGGGCAGTTACGTTTTACATTGAATGTAGCGTTATTTATGAATGTCTTTGTCTCTCTGCTCTAGATTCTTTTCCTCATTCAATTACTTTATACGATGAAAAGAAGTTTCTATCTTTTAAGGATTATCTTTATTCTTCTAGAAAGCGATCTATGTCTATATATATTTCCTTATCTTCGTCACTTTATCTAGGAATTAACCTTCTATATATATTGCTGATTGTAATGGATAGATTATTAACATAAGTGGACTAAAGATTTCGTGGACGTCTTATTTCTTATCTATACATAGAACTATAGATATAATCGTTTTCCCCAAATGTGAATTCAGCACAGAAACTGAATGAAACGTACTTAAAACCATCTCTTTATATTGTTATGGCAGAAACTAGTTAAGTAGAGTGGTTTCCATTTTTTAGTTTGTCAAATAACAAAAATACTGATTCAAAATAAGAAATTTCGCGTTAGGAAGGTTTTGACTTTCGAATGGTACATGAGTGGTTGGTGATTTTACATCAATCGTCCACTGACTATTGTTTTTGAATTTAATTTAGCTGATTGATAATCATATGGATATACATATGGACTGTATACACACAAACATGCATTCATACTTTTTTACATGAACACTACTTGCAACTTCTTGATCTTATACCTTGAGGTTAAACTTAATTGTCTCCATAAACCTTGTCGCCTCTCACAACTTCGACATCCTTTTTTCATCATCATTGAATATTTTCAACATATTGTCCACATTACTGGTGTAAAATTAATTTTAGAAGACAATTTTCATTCTTTATTTATTTAAATTGTGGTTCCTATTTCTTTTACCGAAAATAATTTGTACTCTAGAAACCCTGGTTTGGTATAATTTGTGTCTATGTTTGCTTTCCAGTTCATAGAAGTTGGCGTGCAATGGTACTTTGTTTTGCATGTAGATAAGATGTAATTTGCGTTTGTGACTAGTGGATATGTTTTATCATTATCTCGTTCTTATAGAGAAATTAAAGTAAAGGGACTTGCATTAAGAAAAAAGAACTTTTACAGAAATGGACCTTTGACTTCGAATGGAGGTTTTAGAGGGTGAAGTGGTCCTTTATTACACCTATATAGAGAGTGTAAAGAGTTGTCAATGTCCTCTTTTCTAATTTACATGGTCCGGATTCCCACTTGCTTCCACCTAAATTTTCAATAGAATTATTGTATGAGTGTATAAACCCTATGTGAGCACTTCTAATGACTTTGACATGACACAGATCGACTTATTTATTGAAAACAATTAAAACTGTACATTCGACATAAAGATCTTTAAAAAAAAAAAAAAAAGACATAAAGATCTTAAATTCCACACTTGCGTTCAACAAATATTATTCCAAGAGAATGGTTGTTTTAGCCATTATCGCCAAAATCACATTTCAGTGAAGTGAATGATGAAATCATCGTATGCTAAAGGTAATATCTTGATACAAACAAAAGGAGGAAAATAAGTTTATAATAAAATAAATAAAAAATATTTTCTGGCCCAAGCGACTCTTTTTATTATAAATAATTCACACATCCATATATCTATCAATTTATGTATGCGTCTACTGTTTCAAAATATACAATTCTTTTGTGTAGCTATTTTCAGAAACTTGTTTCGCCATTTTAGATCTGATTCACTGAATGGTTATACAAAAAGCAGTAAATTAACATTATACCGATGCATGCAGATGCAGTATAACGTCGTCAATAATAACATCCTTATTTTTCTCCAAAATTTAGAGAACAGATGTAGGTTTCGGAAAATATATACCTCAAAATATTTAACAAAAGATGTACATCGAGATCGAAAATTAACACGTACAGCAATGACGATTACATGTTATAGTTGTCAGATATATTCAGAAATCCTATTATAGAATACAAAAACTCAAATGAGTGTATATATATACCTCCCCATTGTGATATCTCATTAAGAAAACTCAGCTTAAAATGCTATCCAAATAAATTATGTTGTAATTGAAATAAATTGGGACAAGAGTGACCCACCGTAGCAAAGAAAGATGTTAATTACATCAAAAGGAAAAGACTCTCTATCACATCAAAGTCAAGTGATTCGTTTTTTCCGAGGTGGGAACGGAACACTAAAGGCCTAGTGGACCGGTTTTAGATCCATGACTGATCCCTGCCGTTCTAATTTTTACTGTGCTCTTCTTCGTTTAACATATATATATATATATAGTATATTATAACAATAATCAAATAATATCAATTGAGAACCACAAAAAGTTAAGCATTAGCCAGAATGATACAAGCCTTAATCACCAACAAGCCTTATTCGGTCTATATCAATCTACCAAAGTACCAATACATCCTATAACTCTTGAAACCGGTTATCCTCTATACTCCTCTTTGGATTGATTGGTTAGTAGATGACAGCCTCATCGGGTTAGACAGATGATAAATTGGTGATTAAATGTATATAAACTCTCTACGTTTTACACAATTTTTTGTTTCATTTTAAGTTTCTGCCTTAGTTTGGGTAAAATTGAAAACTTGACTATTATACCTCTAGACACCGAAATTAATTTAGAAAAAAATTGAGAAAATCTTAAGCCCTCAATTCTACTTATTAATTTATCGAATTTCAATTTATAGAAATCTTATTGTATTTCATATAGACTTTTTTATTATCACCTTTATATATAACAGAGTCATATATTTAACAATATCACTATATAATTAGAACTCATCAAAAGTTCAAAACCATGAATCTACAAAAAAGGGACATTTGTCAATCACGTTACACCACATGCATATGCATATGATATGAACCAATAAACAGATCTCGAGTTCTCTTTTTATTCATATGTATAGTAATTGAAAACCAAGTTCATATCCCATTCTTGACACCAAAATATTCGTCTTTCCGCCTTTCGTTCTTTATATATATATATATATATATATAATTTCTCTGATAAAGTATGACATTTACATGAAAAGCTAATAATAAATATTTATATTAAAATGTAGGAAAGTAATAAAGATATTTAAAGGAATTTGAGCTACGTACTCTCATTAGCTATAGGTATATGAGAGAGACTAGGATTGCTAGAGAGCAATGTTAAAAAAGTTAGAACCCTACGAAGCACGTGATGAACAATTAGTCAGAACCATACTGTAACACTACTGTACTAGTTATTGTTCACTGGCTATCATTGGACAGCTACTTACTGTTCGGTTTTGTATGAGATCGGTTCTTTAATTTGGTGAAAGTTTGGTCTGAATACTGTGATAAAACAGAAAACCTATAGTTCCATTAGAAGAATATAAAAAGAAAAAAAGAAAAAAAATGATAATTAGTTCCAGAACTAACAGAACGAATGGTTACTTAGAGGACTTTCCAAAGCAACTTCTTGTGTATCCTCTTTTTTTTTTTTTTTTTGTTTGAGAAAGGTCTTGTGTATATCCTCTTAATGTTCCATGTTTTCTCGTGTTGACCCAAAGCCGTCAAAAACCCAAACTCCATATTCATCTGTTAGATAAAATTTCAGCTCCATATATATAGTAAAGGTTTTTTATGTCGATGTTCAATATATTAATAAAAATACTAAAAAGGAAAAAGAAAAAAAATAACAAAAGGTACGGTGCGGTCTAATGATGAACACTTAATTTTTACAAAATGTTCTATTGTTTAGAGTGATCAAAATCAGTTTAATAGCAACAATGAGTGACCAAAATATTCTTAAAATAATTTTTGTGTAAATCCATGATATGGACACATTTTTCATATAGAATCTGAATAATGCAATTTAACGTACGTGGAATAAGTATGTCTGCCTACCGTTGTGGTTGTTGTCAATGGCTTTTGGGTACGCTTAAGCATGGGACAGTGCTCCTGGCTAAGAGCTCGAACAAACGAGCATACACATGTGTATTTGTTAGAATTTGTTTTTGACGAAATGGTTTCACCATTTTCTGGCCATCCTATTCATCTAATAGTTACTTCTTCTTTTTTTTTTTTTTTGGCTAAACATTCATCAATCACGGAAAGAACATATGAGGTTACTCACCTAATAGTTAGTCGAGCACTACGAATTATGATGATCAAATGTCAACTTGAGCAACGTTAAAGTACATGTGTATATATATGCAGCTCTCAGCCTCTCACGAAGGATGATAATAATTAATAAGGTTTCTTAGGTTTGAGATGATGACATATCGTTGTGGTGTCCGAGAGACCCCATTTTCATACAAGCCGGCCAGTTCGTCGAGGACATAGTATAATATTATGGACGTCTCTTTCAACTCAAAAGCCAAGCTTGTTATAGCTTATGCTACGTCTTTATATGAAAATGCACCCTATTATTTACGTTATGTTTATGGTCCCCTACGTTCTTCTTTCTACCTAGTTTTGATGATTGTTACCTCTACGGTCTTCTTATGTATATATAGATTCTAATATCCCAGAAAGATACATACTTTTCAATATTATAATATCTTCCCATGAGTCGGTTACATTCGAGATAAGTATTACGTTAACTATAAAAAATTTTCACAGTTGTTACAATGATTTTGATCAATTATATGTTGATGGGTTACTTGCTTATGTGTAACAAGTGTTTCTCTGAAGTCTTTTGCGGATTCAAGTGCCGTAAGTAAGTAGATACATACACGGGTCTAGTAAGAATATCATATTTAACATACTGATATTGATATGCGTTTATACATTTTTATTATGTAATTTTTCATAACTACAATTAGTTTTTTGATACGTATTTTCAAAGAATAGCTCTCTCTAGTTAAAGATTTTGGTTATCTTATATTGTAATTTTAATCAATTTTAAATATGTACAACTCCTTTTTTTGTCGCAAATATGTAAAACTCAACAGATAAGAGAGTATAATACTAGTTAAAAAAACATTCCCCAAAAAAGGAAATTTGACCATACTTTTCTATTGTCAACTCAATAATAAGTATGGTGGCTTTTCATTCCTTCTCGTGAAAAAAAAATGCCGAAAAAATGAAACTAAAGACTAGCGCTGGAACGGAGTCGGATATTCGGACTTTTCAAGGTATCCGGATCCGGCTCCGGATTTAACGGATAATCAATTTTACTATCCGGATCCGGATCTGAAAACTCGGGATATCCGGAGACCGAATATCCGGTTTGAACCGAATATCCGGTTTGAACCGAATATTTACGGATATCCGACCGGATATCCGGTTTCGTTGATTTAAAACAAAATCTTCAATTTTTAAAATTATAATGAGATAACATATATAATTAAAATGTATCATCATAGCAAACATTACAAATACCAAAAATTTAAAAGCATTCAAGTAGCATTCAAATAACACAAAGTTTAAAAGTTTACATAACAAAAGAGAAAACAGTAATAGAGAAGTTAATTTATCTTCATATTCTTGTATTATCTATTTTCATGTTCTTCTCTCACAATCTGAAATAGAAAATTATCATGCAATATAAATTTCAATCATGTGTAAAAGAGTTAAACCAAAAACAATTTTCGAACATAATTAAAACAAAAATTAAATGCATATCCAAAGATTTCAAAATTTTCAAAATCTTAATAACGGATAACGGATATCCGATTTCTAAATTTTCTATTATCCGGATCCGTATCCGAAATAACCGAATACTTAATTTCACTATCCGGATCCGGATCTGAACTACACGGATATCCGGTTTTTACGGATCGGATAGGACCGGATACCGGATCGGATAGCGGATACCGGATAATAATTCCAGCCCTAACTAAGACCATGTTGGATTTCTTGTGATTAAATGGGCTTTTTTTAATGGAAAAAGTGGGTAAAAAAAGTAGGATCGTTTCTTCCTTAAGGATTAGAAGGATCAGTTTCTTCTGCTTACGTGGCATACTGTTATTGGTTCTCACAAAAGGGAAATTTTTTTTGGCATGGAAATGTTTTTCTTTGCGATCATTCTCTCCCTCGTTGAAAAAAAACAATTCTTCAACTTCTTCGATAGAGAGAACTCGACTTCTCCGATGGCTGATTTTTGGGTTTAGTCAAAATCTTCGAAGTCTCCGACAGAGAACTTGCATCACCGCCGCCTGCATGTCGTCCAATCGTCCAATCGCATCATCGGCGGAGATTCTGCTTAGATGGTTTCATGAGAAATTCAGAAGATGATTTCGACTTCTTCGACTTCTCAGAATCCTTTCCTGATCAAAAGGTAATTTCGATTCCAAATCTAAACTTCTCTGTTTTAGAAATGAAATTTTCCAATTGTAAATTGATTTGTGTATAGATTTTATGGTTTGATTTTCGGTGGAGATTGAGTTTCTCCAATGTACATCAAAAAAGTTTAGGTTTTTTGCTGAGTTTCTACCCTCAACTTTATCACTATAATAATCAAGTAGAAACTCATGTGGATTTCTCTGATAATCATGCTCTAAGGTCCGAGTAATATGTGCATATGGTCCATCGTGCTCTTCCCTTTTAGGCTTTCCTCAATGCAGTGTTATAATTGTCTCCATAACAATGAATTTTTGTTTTTCTTAATGTTTATATTGGAACATCCAGACATATAGTTTAAGTTAGTTGATAAAAAACGTTATCTTATCTATTGATTAAGGTTGTATGTCCGCTAAAAAAAATACAGAAGTATAATACACGGTCTCCTTCATTTATGACACTATTCTCAATTAGTTAAACCATAGAACTTAAATCACAGAATAGATAGTATTAGACCTTTAAATTTATTGAAAAGAACAAATAACAATAGTAGGGATCGTGTTATAACAGCTTTTCTCTAAACATAAAATCCCATTCCAAATAAAATTAGCTATGAGAAAAACAATTATAGTTAGCTAGAAAAGATCGAGTTCATTGCTATTGAATCCTTGGAAGAAAAGTATTTGAAACCACATGTATATCAGTATATACATATATCTATGTATGACATGTCATATTCTCTTCATTGACAACTTTCTCCACTCTCTTTTTATTGCTTTAAATTATTAGTAGTTTTTTATGGCCATATTGTTCTTTCACCACTTTATAGAAACACTGGTCTCTCAATTAAACAAATGTGGTTGTTATAATATCATCACGTTTTTGCAGTGTTCAACACAGTTTTCAGTGATCTACAGTAAATTAGGTCCAATGCATAGCGTTTAAAATATGCAATTAGTCCAACCATTCACACTTTTAAGAGAAACACTAGCAATAATTAGCATAGACATTAGTCCATCCTTACCATGATTGAAGGAAAAGACAATTAATAAGCATCCACGATTCAAACCAAATACATTCTATGTTTTTTTCTTCTATGTATTGAGTTCTTTGTACCACGATATATATTCCATCTTATTTTGGGACCATGCAAAGAATGTTTAATACAATGCATGAATGTGTCACTTTCATCTAAATTCCAAAATCAATGTCAAAGACTCGATGTATTTACTAGCTATATTTTCTGCGGGGACAAAGACATGTTACTTTATACATTACATAAAACATACTGAATGTTTCAATTTCGTTTTCAGGAGAAAATAGCAGGATTTAAGATCGGATTTATTTCCTTCCAAATCAAAATGACACCATAAAACTGGAAATGATATGCTCTTGAAGCAATATTTGTTATCACTTCTGTGTTACACATTTACCTCTACATACTTAATGTATTGGTATATCTACAACAGCACGAGTGAAATCGAAGTAACATTTTTTTATTTCAAGTTTTTCGGTTTTTTTTTTTTCAAATTATAGTTTAATTTTACAAAAACTATAGAAACAAAAAAAATGATGCAACTCCCTTGTAAGATTTCCAGCTGCAACTTCCCATAAAACAAATCGATCGCTTTAACCGGTAAGACAACACGGAATATTAGGCTTTGAGTCGTCTTGCTTCTCTACTCATAGCGGGAATTCTTTTTGCAGGAGATCGAGATTCCTTGACTCACACGCTTCAATCAGGTCTTGCCTTGAGGCACAACTGCAGAAAGTTAACAAAAGTAGAAAAAACATTCAACGACATTGATGATAGTTAATGGATTTTTCTTGTTCACAAGCTTTATAGATACCTTAACGAGAGCCTCAAGTACTGCCATGCGTTATCGGCCTTAGGATTCATCGCAAGGGCACGAACATAGTAAGGGATCGATTCTTTGTACATCCCCTGTTACAATAAGAAACACACAATCGCATACCAAATTTAAGTTAGTTACAGTCCAAGAACAATCATCAAACATCAGATGAATTCGCTTCTAACACAGGTAAAAGAAACAAGTTCTCGAACCTGGTTTGCGTAACTGATTCCCATGTTTGCCCAAGCACGAACATAATTAGGCTTTAAATCTAGAGCCTGCCAGTAAGAAAAAGTAGACGCCGACTTGTCAGACAGAAACAGAAACAATGAGAAACTTAGAGAAGTTTTGATTTCCGTGCTTAGAACAGTACCTGTTGATAAGCAGATATGGCATCAGCACTCTGTACACTGTTGGCTTGTGTTGCACCAAGCTTATTCCACAGAGAATAATCGTTTGGTTTTAGTTTCAATGCTGTTTGGAAGGAAGTGATTGCTCTGTCGAATTCCCTTGATAGATTGTAGAGAACCCCTAATACTATATGCACATCGGCGTCCTCAGGATTCATCTGAGAAGCGTCAGTGAATAGTCTAGCAATCTGTTTATACACAGAGAAAGAATAAAGTTTCAATAAAACTATGAGAAGAGATTCAACTGCTGAGGATTTACAAGAGGAAAAGCACTTACATCAGCATGGTATAGAGAATCAGCAAGCTCTGGAGGCGCGATTGTTCCATACTTTGGGTGATTCCGCAGCCATCCATATAAATATTTCAAAGCAGTTGCTTGCTCCAACTCTGTAAGTACAGAGGATATGATATTAGTCCACCTATCTGATTCCAAAATGTATAACCACTCTCATTTAAGAAAGACTATTGTCTACAAGTAGGCACCGACCGTTTGTATGGCTCACACCAAGGGCAAGAAGCACCTCTAGATTTGAGGGATCAGCCTCCTGTGCACGCATCATTGCAGCTATTGCCTAAATTGTTTGCAAAAAGAGTTAAGTGATCCCTTCTTTTTAATAAGTTATCGGTGACTAATTGTTTCATGCAAATTAATCTGAGTAACCTGTTGATCATCATCGTTCTCTGCGTGTGTGACACCAAGTAATCTCCAACCTTCAGCGTTTTCAGGGTTTTTCATAACCTCAGCTTCTAGAGCAAGCGCTGCTTCGCTCAGAAGTCCTTTGCGAAACAAGTCCTGCCCTTCTTTCATAGGATCAGGGTGACCCACATAAGGATTCATGTCAGAGAAGACGTAGACACCACTAGTTTGTTTTTCACCATTTCTTTCAGTAAGAAACCTAGAGAGGCAGAGACTTTTGTTAGATGGACTTGAAAGTCGAAGATGCATGCATGTACGTTAAACATTGTTCATGACTATAGATAAAAATTATGACAAAAATAGTACCTAAGAAAAATAATCCCTTGACTAACCAAGCAGTCAAAGCATCAATAATAAAATGAAACATGGAATTAAGCGAAAGAAAAGAACTGCATAGTTGAAACAGAATATCGCACCATGAACGAAGAAGGGCATGCGAGAGATTAAGGAAAGGAATTGGACAGGGACCAAAAAGTACTTGATTCTTAAGATTCGTAAACCCGCAAAGCACAATGAAAAATATAGCTTATAATAGATCGACTAAATAACAGTTAACTTACTCATCATAAGCATTTGCCCATGCATCAGCTGAACTCTCACCGGGCCCTTCAGCAAATTCATCTATCCAGTCATCAACATTCAACTTCGAAAACTCATTGACCCATTGGTCTTCAGCCGATTCTTGCTGCCCTCTCCCGGAAGCAAACTCATCAGCCCACTGTTCTGGTCCATGTGAAAGCTACACACACCAAAATTAGGAGGCTTATGGTAAATGCAACGTGATGCTTCTTGTTGAAAAGAAAAGAGACGATATGTTGTCACCAAACTTTCTACCATGTCATGCACTTCATATAATGTAAGTATAGGGAACAATTTCACTGAAAGCAATGTGAATAGAGAAAACTAAGCTGACGGCTTTCCACTATAGATACATTTCTAAGACAGAAAATACAGGAGATCCACTAGAACAGCTAAACCAATCATCATGATCTTCAATTGCATATTTATATAAAGAAAGGTATGACAGTAAATCGATCACACTAGCATGCTATCAGTAGCGACTGAGACACTAAAGCGAACACATAATCATTAATAACTACATACTTTCTCATTTGCAAATTGATCAGCCCAACTTGGCGGCCCCAGATACTGCTGTTCATATTCAGTAGCCCATTCCCCAGGGGCTGATCCTGGCTTGACCTGGTTCTCATCAATAATGAGTTCCCCGCGGCTCATCTTTGATACAAATTGGAGGAATCTTGAATTCTGCATTCACCAAGCATTTTGCCAAGCTTTTAAATAAATTTCAAGAGAACAGCTCAGCATAACATCCTTAAAAGAAAATGAATATTTTGTGATTAAATATCACAGATCTTCAAATTCTGGACCATAAACCAGCACATCAGCCCAGCAGAAACATTTTCCATTTCCATGTGTAGTAAAAGTTCTCACTTCTCAGCAATGGAAAGAAGGGGTCAGAACAGCGTTGAAAAAGAAAAAAAAGATATGTGGTCACAGTACATTTACTGCAAACTTACATACTGAATCGACGATCAAAACTGTATAGAAATGATGGAGTTTACTTTGAAAGCAAATGATTATCAATGGTCGGTTACACCAACCTGAAATTTCGGATTGCCATCCTGAGACAGTGTATGAGCAAGCTTACGAGTCTGCTCCATTGCAGCTAAATTTTGCATATCCATACTTCTCATTTGGTTTGACATCAATTGAGACTGACCCTTCGAAAAAATCAATAAAAATGGAAAAGGATGAGACGCCAAAGATTTTCTGAAGAACGTGACAAATTACCAGAGAGCCAGGGTGTTGGTCAATTAAAACTGCGAGTTAAACCCTGATGACCGATACATCGCAAAAGAAGTCGCAACAGATTCAGGCTTTTGAACAACTATGCCCTCGGAACTAGCAAATCACAGCCTATGCTCTACCATAAATAAAAGCCCTAGATATTCTATGATACTCGAAGTCACTGAAAGTTTTTCAAATATGTCTGGTGTGGACATTCAAATAGAATATATCAAACAATTGAAGGAAAAGGTATCTACAATTTACCTGCTCAAACTCGGTGGCCCACCCATTCACACCATGTTGTTGCTCAAAAGACTGGACCCATGAATCAGGACCACCATCATCCCTCCCATGTTGGTTAAATTCAGCCGCCCAACTATCCGCTGGATGTGAACCAGGTTTCATAACAGCTTGAGACTCATTCCAATAATCATCTAGCTCCCGAAATCTCCCAGGAATATGACCTCTAGCTTGAATGCCATCATCGATATCTAAAGATGACAATAATGCATTTACCTGAAAAAGCAACCGAGGACAATATATTCAGCCCGCGAGATTGAGAAAAGAAGCTGTAAACGAACACAAAAGATACATTTAAAGGCTTAGGCATATCGGAAACATAAAAAAGGTTAAACACACCAGGACGTGCTCTTGAAAAAAATACACACTAGATAGGAAGACGTACCAAGTAAAACAACAGCAATGGTTTTCAACAAAAAGCCCTGACCCTCAGATGATTGTGATATATGATAATGACAGTGCTACCTCATGTTCATTCTAAAATGTAAGCTTTAAAGCAAATCTAGGACCTAAACTTTGAATTTCATCATTACACTTCATAAATTAAATTGATTTTTAAATGATATGAATGTTATATCGCTAAAACATTAAGGACATATCATATAGCTTGAATTGACTCTTAAAACCCAAATTAAGCGCATATAACACAATGATGCAGCCACAGGAAACTATCAGATAGACAGCAAACCTGAGCATTGATAAATTCCTCTCCCCTATCGGCAAAAAAATGTCGGGCCATGATGCTACTACGATCACGTATGCATTGTTTGTCACTTTGTGATAATCCAAGCACAGGGACAGGTGCTGGACGAAAGGGAATGCCACCACGGCTACTCTCAACAAACGAATGTAGAAAGTTCGACAAGACTCTTTGTGGGGGTCCTGCAACAAATAAGCAATGGAAAAACAAATCAAGCATAAGAGAAAACCTCACCTCGACATTTGCAATAAAAAAATGGCATAGCTATGAAATAAACACGAAAAATGCCACCTGGGAGAAATTGAAGGAACACACGGAGAGGAAGTTGCTTCAATTATGACTGAGCTACTTATTTCATGCAGCTATACTAACTAAAATTTATTCAAATGTAGCTATACTAATTGACACTTCCACTGATTTTCTTCCTACAAAACAATTTTACTTCTCGACCAATTATTCAACATCAAAACCACAATATCTATCCATTTTGTACCCGACACTAAGCAAATGTGGTAGAGAAGTATGAGTGAAATCAGATCACAAACCTTCGAATGTAGGCTGAACTGGCTCATACATAGGTCCCAATGGAGGCATCGGTCCACCTCGCTGTACTTCGTCCCAAGCCGCACCCAAACCATTCTGATCTACAGAGCGGAAGCCACGGAAGAACTCTGTCCCCTGATGAAAAAATTCGCAAACCCATCAGCCATCACAAAGGCTAGATAATCATACTAGCTGATCAAAACTAAATCTGTACAAAAATTAAAACTTTGAACAGCATTAACCTGAGCACCCGGTTGCAGGATTGGCTGCTCTAACTCAGAACCAGGAAGTGAACTTAGATGTTGATCTTCAGAGTAAAATTGTGGCCCAGGACCTGAACGGTTGGCATTAGGTATCTCCTTGAGCCTTTCCTGCCCACCAAATCAGCAATCATCATCAAAATCTCTTCTGAAGATTCAGATTTTAATCAGTACTATCCAAAAGTTGTCAGCTAGCTTATCCATGAAATTCACATGACATAAGCGAATTATAGCAGAACTAGAGATTGAAATGATAATACCAAGTCAAGATAACGTATTCTCTTAGCGATGAGGACAATAACATCTAAAATTTCATACTAAAGGAAAGAGAAATCGAAACTAGGCAAGAAGAAAACGATGACACCCCGAAGGATAAGATCTACTTCGAGCTCACCGACGATGGCGAGAGTGAATCAGGAGACTTGTTTCAACATGAAAAGTCGACCACGAAGCTAACCTGAGTTTTGGAAGACGAACCAAGTAGCGCGTTGGTGAGAGCTCCGAGAGGGTTCGAAGAGGAGGAAGAGCCGGGAACCGCGCAGGCGGCTCCGCCGTTGACAAGGTCTCTCATAGCCATGTTTCAACGCCTTTTTTTGTTAACTCCGCCGCAACAAGCGTCGCCGAGTCTTATTAGTATTGGTTCCTTCGTCCTCTGAAATTGATCATCACCTCCCAAATCCCAATCTATAGTTTTCTCGTCGCGGTGTTTTTATTTTAATTTTTTTGTGTTTGGCCACAGCTTCGTCGAAAACAAATTACATATAGTATTTTTATATTTTTATATTATCCACACACCACACACATTTTTAGGCTAACATACACATTGATTTTTTTTTTTTTTTTTGTCGTCAACACATTAGTTTAAATTTTGTGAAAGAACACATAAAAAAAACAAAACATTTTACTTTACTTTTCTTTTGTAAAATGAAATATATTTTAATGATAATTTGCACTGAAGCTAGCGAATTTTTAATCCTAACACTGACTATATTCATTCAAGATGAACAAATTTACCGTAAAAAATCACAAAAATGACAAAACTGAAGAAGAACTAATTCACAAAATGACAACACTAATAAAAATTGAAAGAAAAAAAAGTCGTGGCTCATAAGGCCTAAGTATGGAGGCATATGATTCTCACGTGGGTAAGCTCGGCCCATACAGAAAAACCCATATCCATTTCATTGATCCGGCTCGATATCTTTAAGATCCGAATTAAAATTGATTTGAACAAAAATTCTTCCAAAAAAGAAGAAGAAAGAATTCATCGAAAGAGAGAGTGACAACAATGGCGCCTTCGTCGTCGAGCGGTTTGACCTTCAAGCTGCATCCCCTAGTAATCGTCAACATATCGGATCACTACACTAGGGTTAAGACTCAGCTTAATCCTCCGGCTTCAGTCTGTGCAAGCGGGAATGCTTCCAACAACGGCGAAGCAATGTTCCAGCAGAACCCTAGGGTTTACGGATGTGTGATCGGTGTCCAGAGAGGACGTACAGTAGAGATCTTCAATAGCTTTGAGCTTTTATACGATCCATCGACTCAAACCCTCGATAGATCCTTCCTCGAGAAGAAGCAAGAGCTCTGTAAGCTCACTCTCTCCCTTTTCCTCTCAATTGCTGCTGCAATCACAAAATCAAGTGTATATAAGAGGGTTTCTTCACTTTATTAGTGTTTAGAGTTTGAATTGCGCTTGATTTTATTCTGTAATCTTTTGAAAAATTCATGGGTTTTGATTTGACTCTTCTGGATTTCTTGTTTGATAGACAAGAAGGTGTTCCCTGACTTCTACATTTTGGGATGGTACTCTACGGGAAACGATGCTGAGGAATCTGATATGCATATCCACAAAGCCGTGAGTTCAGTGTCCTCTATAGTGTTTTTGTATGATATGATGAGATTTACTCTCACTGTACTGAATAGTGTGATTTTCGTGTCTGCTCATGGTGACAGCTGATGGATATTAATGAATCTCCTGTCTATGTCCTTCTAAACCCGGCAATCAATCACGCACAGAAAGATCTCCCAGTGACTATTTATGAAAGTGGTATGTTCTCAATTACTCCTCTTTCATTATGGATGTGATTATGTAATGGCACAAGGTTTTGTGGCCATTGGTTCTGATATGTTAGCATGCTCGTATAGGCTCATGTGTATTTCAGATTTTCTGGATTTCTTACCACCTCTTGATCATTATTGAACTCCAGATTTTAAGATTCTAACTTTTCTAATTGATCTTCATAAATTGAAGAGATGCATGTCATCGATGGAATCCCACAGCTAATTTTTGCTCATACAAGCTACACAATCGAGGTCTGTGCTTAGTTTTGATTATGTAGTTTATTGATGTTTTGAAATTGGAACTTGGCTAAAACTCTTGAGATGTTAACCCAAACAGACAGTTGAAGCTGAACGGATATCAGTCGATCATGTTGCACATCTCAAACCATCTGATGGAGGCTCAGCAGCAACCCAGTGTGAGCCTGATGTCTCTCATACTTATCATACTTTATTTCCTTCAGTCACCCTGAATTTTGGCTGAGTACTCGTTGGTATGCAGTGGCTGCTCATCTTACTGGGATACATAGTGCCATCAAGATGCTTAGTAGCAGAATCAAAGTGCTCTCCCAATATCTTGCCGCAATGCAGAAAGGTATCGTCCATTCATGTCCAAGTTTCTAGTCACATCTCCGTAATTTTTCTGTCACCAGTCCAGGATTCTAGATGGAAGATAGTAAAATTTGTGTAGGTTTAGGGTTTAGGTGCCAATAAAAATGACTCGTGGGATCTTATGCCTAGGTGATATTCCATGTGAAAACTCACTTCTGAGACAAGTATCTAGCCTGCTAAGAAGGTTGCCTGCCATGGAATCAGAGAGGTTTCAAGACGATTTCTTGATGGTGAGTTGGATTTGCATTTTACTCTTTTCAGTATTACCCTCTAATATATCTCTCAAACTTATGCCGTTCTTTCATTCCGCAGGAGTACAATGACAAATTACTGATAACTTACCTAGCAATGATTACGAATTGTTCCAGGTTTGTACCCTATGTAACATTCTATCTAAAGAATTCGACTGCAGAGTCGTAGGCTAATTGCCTTTATGTTCTGTTATCATCCTTAGTTAATTGGTGATACCCGGTGAAACCCATCAGACTGATAACTTATACTCTGTTTCATCTGTCAATTTTTGTTTTGTTCCAATCTGCAGCCACCATGAACGAGATGGTCGACAAATTCAACATTGCGTATGACAGAAACACTAGAAGAGGTGGAAGAACTGCGTTCATGTAAAAATAATCTTCCCAGCGATTCAAGTTCTAAACGGCCCTGGGTCTAATACCCAGTTTTTTTGTTTTTTAATGTTTCAAATTTTGATAAAAAAGCCCATGATCTATTATCATTTTTGAAAAAAACAGCAATCTATTATTATCTGGTATTATCTAAACGTATTTTGCAATCTAAAATTTCACATATATTTACGGTTTATTTTATTTTTAAGAAAGAAAATCTTAAGGGAGAAAAAATTAATCAGGAAAAAGGATGTTTGATGAGATCAAATTGCTAAAAATTGTTGTCATATAATTTTGCGTATATTTACCCTCTTTTTGTTATCTTAATTTGTATAATTTGTTAAGACATAAAACCAACCCGATAACAAAAAAGAACAAGACAAAACTAAGGAATCAAAATCGAAACAGCCTTTGCTTTCCCAAAAGTTTCAAATTAATAAATTAAAGAAAAGAAAACAAGAGATTAAAAGTTATTTTAAGCACCGAGCGAATGCAGAAGAAAAGAGTAGATTTTTCAAATCTGTGGTAATCTACTCATAATCTGGTTATATACCGATTGTCCTGTTTCCGAAACCGGTTCAACCTTCGGCTCCATCCCTCTCTGCATCATCGCTTCACTCATCCCAACCGGTTGTGTCAAATACGGGTGAGGCAAAACCGGTAATTTCCCTTGACCAAACGCTAAACCAGGCATTGAAAGATTAGCCAAACCGGTTTGTCCTAAACCGAACGAAAACCCGGAAGGAGGACCCAAATGCGGCTGGAAGCTAAACGGACGGCCATACGGAGATTGGTTAGTCGCCGTGAGTTGTCTGTCGAATCTGCCACGTGGCGGCTCTGAGTGATGTCCGTTGTGGTAATGCTGATGAGTCTGAGCGGCTGAAACGCCGCTGTTACCGTTTCCACCGCCTGAACCGCCGCCGTGGCTGCTGTTGCGTGCGGCGGGGACGTCGTGGTTGTGTTTGCCTTCGTAAGTGGTTATAACGGATTTGAGATCATGAGAAGCTCTCTCTACGTGCTTTCTCACTGTACATCCAGGAGCTGTGCATTTGTAGTAACTCCTGCAAAAAAAAAAACATAATTTATTATATCAAAAACGAATCAGATGCTTTTAGTGTGATTCCAAAAACAGAGGAGAAACAAAAGGAATTAAGAAGAACCTCGGATTTGGATTGCCTTTGACAACTTTCTGACCATATTTGCGCCAGCGATAACCATCATCGAGAATGTCAACATCACTTGTTGTCTGCACAACGACTCTTGGCTCACGTATTGCTCTTGTTGCTCCACTCATCTCTGCTGCATAAGCTTCAAGTTTCCTGAACATTTTCATAACGTTTTTGAGTCAAAATACACTTTTACTGGTTGATCAAAAAAATTTCAGTGCTTCGATTGCTTAAACAAATAAAAAAACCTTCTTTTCGACTCAGATTCATCTCCTTCTCCTCCTCCTCCTACTCCTCCTCCTCCATCATAACCTAAAGAAACACTTCCGTGTGTCCCTCGATCATCTTCGTCTTCATCGTTTGAGAATGTCGATGAAGCATCAACCACAACCACAGCAGCATCACCTGACTCATATTGACCTCCGGTTTGAGCTTGAATCGATCCAGATTGGTTTCCATATTCAGATCTCTCTTCCATATTGTTCTCATTGCTGCCACCTTGTTGGTTAGTGTTATTGCAATTAACCCACATTGCAGTGTTATCTCTCTGCTGCTGTTGTTGTTGCTGTTGTTGTTGTTCAGCTTGTTCAGTTCCGTCTACTTGCACTCCCGAGCGACGATTAGGTGGAGGTTTGGAGTGATTATGAGCTCCTTTGTATATAATCTCAGTAATGTGACCTTCCCTTGATCTCTCGACTTTCTTCTTCACCTGACAATTCGGGTTTGTGCATTTGTAATAGCTTCGCGGATACTCACTTCCTTTGACCAACTTTTGTCCGTATTTCCTCCAGTTATATCCATCCTCCGCAGGTGCACCACCAACCATCGAATCACCGCGTCTTTGCTCTTCTCCTTCTGCTTCTTCTTGATGATCAACTGTTTCAAGACCGGTGTTCGTTGTGGCATCAGATTTCTTCCTCTTCTGGCCACTTTGTTCAGTTTCAATCCCATAAAGATTAGAGCTTTCCATGTTTTGAGAAACGGGTTTCACATCTTCTTCAGGAGAATGATGAGAAGATTCGTTGTTGTAGTTACCATAATCAACTGGCATCATCTCTGTTGTCCCTTGGAAGAAAGAGGAAGAGGATCTTGAAATGGGATGGAAGGTGAATGATGCTCCAATATCATCAAAGAACTCATCTTTCGCTTTATCAGAAGCAGCAGCAGAAGAAAATGAATTACTGTTAACACCCGGAAGAAATGGGAATTTCCCGGTAGTTGGAGACGGTTGAGCCTGCAAAGTTCACAGAGATTCTTCAGAGACAGAAGTTCCTATAAAACATCGAAAGCAAACAACTTGCAAGCTTACCAATGGATTAGAAAGAAAGACCGGAGATTCCAAGAGCGTTGCAGGGCTTAGGCCAGGAGAAGAGATGGTTAAGCAAGGAGACCGAAGACTAGAGTCGATGGAAAAGTCGGTATTAGTGCGGATATTCTCGGTGTTTAACCTCGGAGCATTAAAACCAGCTCGAGCAGCAATTCTCTCGCTTAAGCCACCGCGTAAAACGTTGGTTTGTGAAGAATCCTTGTTGTTGTTATTACCAGTTGTGTCTTCTTCCAAACCAGTAACTTGACCATGATTCAAAGAAAGCTCTCTTTCGAGAACACGTTTCGAGCTTTTCTCTTGTCCAATCGCAGAGGAGAAGAGGGTCCCTGGACTAGGACTACGAGGCACCCATTCTCCCATTACAGCGACATTTTCATCAAAACCAGCCATTTAAGATCCACGAATGTGACTGAGTCTTTGCTCAAACTGCGATGAGAGTCCTGAAACATGTATAAAATAGATTAAAGGCAGTCACAATCACAAACCTCAGAATCTATTGAAAACATGAGCATACTAAAACTTCTAGTATCAAACAATAATAATAATCTAGCTAGTGAGCTTAAAACTCAGATGAGTCATATATATATGTCGTCTTGGGACTAGAAATATTTTCAAAGTTTAAACCTTTTCTTTTCAGAGTCGACAATTTTTTTTTTAATTTGTCGTAGACAAAAGAAAAATGTAAGAAAATGTAAGAATTAAGAACAACAAGAACTTTTTCTCTTTCACACGTTAATCTACTTTTATGGAATCTCACGAAATTGAAATATATGATTTTGGATACGAACGAAATTAGCTCGAGAAATAAGGAAATGAATCATTTAGCAGAAAGAAACGATCGAATCACGGAGATTAAAAAGAGAAACAAAACAATAAGGCAACGTCAGATAATAGCTTAAACCAGACGGTAAGCAAAATCTTTAGGATGTGTGTGATTAAACAAATCATGGTTTTTTCATAAAAATCCAGAATTTAAGTTAAAGATAAAACGTTTTTTTCTAACGTATGAAATTCAAATCGCAAAATGAAAAAAGCAAAATCGATGTAGACCATTTACCTGATTGATTGAAGTCGACGAACCACAAACGCCGTCACAGCCGCCGCAGCCGCAAACGGAAATCGCCAGTTCCGCCGCTAACATCCAAGTGGACTCTGATCCGACACCGAAAACAAAAACCCACCCGACCCGGATCCGAATTTAGCACTGAAGAAGAAATATATCTTTTCGTTTTCTCGTCTCCTCCTTCCCTTCTCTGTTCTTCTGGGTTTCACAACAAACCCAGAAAACAAAAGGAAGAAAAAAATACAATCTTTCTGTACAGCTTCTCTCTCCAAACAAAATGATGACGATTATTAACCCAAGAGACAAAAACAACGATTTGCACAGAATGATTAGATTAATCACTGTGACTTTCTCACCATCGAAACGAGAAAAAAAATTCTAACTTTTTATTTGCGAATGTTAGGCTTCGAATATAAAAACTAATTTAATCTAGAAACAAAAAATCGGCTTGTGGGCGAGAGCAGGTATCTTTGAGAGAAAAAAAAAGATAGAGAGAATTATGAGACCATTTTGATCGATTTTTCTGATTATTACTGAGGAGAAGGAGGAATAAAGTTTTTTGCAGAGAATGGTGAAGATGGTGATTCGTGTTCTACATACACAAAGCGTTTTTCTCTCTACTAAATTCTCCTATCATAACACGCCACGTGGAATAATCAATGTAACAGAATAAGATCGTCGGCTGATCAGTAAGCGATACCGTGAGGCGTAGCGCAGGTGATCTCTAACGAATTATCTGCCAACTTTTCACATTTATTTCTATTCCGAATTCATTTTTTGCGGATTGGTTAATAATAGGAATTACATTTATTAAAAAAAACGGGAAATTATTGCCAAAAGTTCCTATTCTGCCACATGTCGGATTAAGAAAAAAACCAATTATTATTCTATTACACTGAACGTAGTCTTATAATACTGGTTCGATTCATATGAAATTCTAAAAAAACACTATTTGAAAGGAAAAACTGAATTATCCTTTGTGGACAATAACAAATAAAAGTTAATTATAATTTATAAAGCAGGTTGTTGTTTTTACTATAAGGGTCACATTGGTTAGAAATTTGTGGAACAGAAAATCTAATCTGCAAGCTATTTATAGTCTATGTATCAATGTATATATGTAACTAATTAACTATATATGTTAGAAAATCAGTAAAGGGGAGAAAGTTTGTCAAATATTGTCACCGCAGAGAAATCATATATACAGTTGTGAAACCTGTGATTTAAAACCGAACTTTTGTTTGTAGAATTATAAAGTCACAGATGTTGGTTCCATAGTTAGAATTTGGAAAATAGTACGTTATTAGCAACTATCAATATGTTTTAACACTGTTGTATGCTTTCGACGCTGTTGAAAAAAAAGTAAGTTATGGATTAATTATAAACTAGGAAATCTGTCACTGGTTACATAATTTTTTTTATGTATATAGTTGCATCTAAAAGTCAAAATGAGTCTGTGTAGAATCAGTTACAACACTGAGCAATTTTAAACATAAAATGAGCTATATTATAATGTGCATTAATTGGTTGTATCTGATTTGTACGCACCCAAATTATCGTTTTAGTCGAAGTTCAAACTAATATGTGAAGTTGAGACGCAATATATTACATATACAGGGATCTATATGGCAACCAAATCTTTCGACTTCAATCAATAAGACGTATAACTATTTTATTTTGAATTTGACATGCATGTTCTCATACATGCATGTGATATTTTCTTTTCATATTGGTCTTTTACATGAATGCATGTGATATTTTCTTTTCATATTGGTCTTTTACATGCATGCATGTGATTTACACGAGACCTGTTAGATGAAACGTATCAACCTGTAAATTACAGTATATAGGAGATACGTTCGATCCATTGTAACTCACAGGTGTTGTTTACTTGCTTGCATATAGAAGGATTATATCATTTATCTTACTGGATCTTATAATCGTACTTTAAATAAAATAAAATGTTCAAGAATAGATGAAATATTAGATAACTCTCGTATAACTGATTAAGAAACACCGAAAATCAATAAAAACGAAAATATATTCTTTGATTCACACACAAATCTGACGTACGTTATAACGTTAATATTAATATATTCGCATGCAAACCCTGAATATACAATTGAAACAATCATTTCTTGCTATGGAATGAATTAAGAGGACAAAATGGAAGAGACTAACGTACGTGAAGGGTTTAGGGTTACATATTTAAGTAGAGTGTATTTTAATACAGACAAACAAACAAACATTAACTAAATGGAATCAATCAATGACTTTTAATTATACCTTAAATTGAATATTTAATTGGAAATTGGGAAGGCAGTTTTTCCAAAAAACCCGGTCAAAAAAGAGACATTGACCAAGCCTTTAATTTTAATTCTTTTTTTTCTTTTTCCTTTTCCCTTTAAGAGCCGCAAATAATCACGTTACAGGGCTGTGACTCAACACTCATGTGACAGCCAAAACACGGTTGTGGCGTGGTGTACCTTTCTTTTCTTCTTACAGATATTTTTTTTCCAGTGGGACCCGCAAAACGAACTTCGAAAGGACAAAGGATCGACGGCTCTGATTTCTTGTCAGTTATTTCCTCTGTAGTAGGGCCCATAGTATAAAAGATGGACCCACACGAATCGAAAGGAGAAACCTGAGCTCAAAAGTTCTACTTCACTACGGCCCGTTAAGCCCATTTACGCTTTAATAAAAGAAACTATGTATTTCGATTTGACCCAACAGACTTGTTTTGACTGTCTGATGAGCGGACCAAAAGTCAATATTAAAAAGGTCAATGACCCGACCCGGTTCGACCCGCACCGACAAGTTCATGATAGGGGAGACCAAGTGGCTCTAATGGCACAAGCTTCTATGAGGATTTTCAGTAAATTGATTGGCTGACACGAGGAAGCTGATCTCACCCGTTTCTTGGGTCGATGTATATACATACATACATGCAAGTATTGTCGTTGAGAATTTGAGACTCTGATCCGTTGCAAAAAGCCGGAAGCTTTTCTTGGTAATCTTTCTGCTTCTTCTTCTATTTTCCTTCCCTTGTAGACTTCTACAGTTATTTCTCTTAACGGTCGTGTGGTTGTATTAGTTTTTTCTGATTGCGATGATGTGATGAATGCTAAGTGTTTGATGTTTTGCTCCAGAGAAACTGGTCTTCTCGGTTGGTTCTGTTTCCTTTCTAAAAATGTAAAATTGAGCTTGCTTCGAAGTTTTTACAATCTATTTTTGGAATTCTAAAAAGGTTCCTTTGGATTTAGTTTTAGTACTATTCCCGCCGTATAAGTTAACTTGGAGAATTGTTCTTTGGACAAAGTTAGAAACAATTTTTTTTTTTTTTTTTGGCAAGGTTTAGAAACTTGAAATTAGATAGCTTCTTTATTTTTATAAGACAAATGGGTTTGATTTTCTGGATTTTATTTTTTTCTTGGTTGAGTGAAGTAATCTATGTATCTCTAATGTTTCATATCTAGTTCATGAAGGAGATCTGAAACAACTGGCTCAATCCTCGTATAAGAATCTGGAAAGCATGTGTTTTTTCTTTAAGTAGACTAGACAGTCATCAATTCATTCAATGCAATTGATTCTAGGTGTGTCACTTATTAGAAATCTTTAGGACATTTCATTTCGTAAGTTACACGTAATTTGAGTCTTGCTCTGCTTTCTTGAGCCTTAGGATTTGATCCAAATGTCTGCCTCTTCTAGGTCTGGCTTTAAAACCATTTATGTCCGAGCTGTTTCTTATGTATTTGTTTAGAAACCATTTTCGTTGTTATGGCTAATTGAGTTTTTGTCTAGTATTTTTCGCTAAATCCTGTCATCTGCTTTCAAGTGCCTCTGTTCTAGAGTTAGTAACAAAATGATACCTTTGGCATCTTGAATCACATGAATCGCTCATGTTGAACGAAGAAATTCCAAACTGTGTATTGATACTGTAAGAGAACGAGAACCCTTGTCTAGGTTTTGTTTGTTTTGCTATTTCCATGTCTATTCTAATCCGTCTTCTAAAAAGTACACAACTTTATGCGATTCCAAATGCAGAACATACACACATAAATCTCCCATGGCTGCATTTGCAACCGCAGAAGCGTGTGACAGCAACGCAGCACTAATATCAAATGGAGACCTACGCGCTCTCCACCCAGTCTTCAAGATCTATGGCCAAAGAAGATGCTTCTCAGGACCAATCGTGACACTCAAGGTCTTTGAAGACAATGTCCTAGTCAGAGACCAACTAGAGACCAAAGGAGAAGGCAGAGTCTTGGTTATAGACGGTGGTGGAAGCATGAGATGCGCGCTTGTTGGAGGAAACCTCGGACAGTTAGCTCAGAACAACGGATGGTCAGGGATTGTGGTGAATGGATGCGTAAGAGATGTGGATGAGATCAATGACTGTGACGTTGGTGTTAGGGCATTGGGTTCTAATCCATTGAAGTCTAGTAAGAAAGGTCATGGTGAGAAGAATGTGCCCGTTTACATTTGTGGAACTTTGGTTAGAGATGGAGAGTGGCTTTATGCTGATAGTGATGGTGTCTTGATCTCCAAGACCGAACTCTCCGTTTGATTCAGAGGGTTTGATTGATGTGCCAAGAGAAGAGACTTCCGTCATTTTGTGGACCCAGCTGGTTTTATCACGAAATCTGAATAATTTGTTTAATATTCTATAAACCCAATTAAGTGGTGTTTGTGAACTGCTGTTACATTACAAAAATAAGAATGAATTATTTATTTTATTCGAAGTGAATCAAAACCTTTATTCTTTTGCAACTTCTATATTCAATTCATTTATATTTTTTTTTTGAAATGTAATCATGTGGTAGACATGGTAAAAAAAAACTTGGTACAAGTACTCTCAGATTTTTTTTTCCTTTAAAAACTTTACTCAGATGAGATCAGTGTCACAGTGTGATACTGATATATATAAGTCAAAACATATGTGTACACTACAATGTTCTAACAATTGGTCAGTCATGTTAACAGTCTAGACGCCTTGGTTTAGACAAACTCGGTGAACAAAAAATGTTAGAAATTCATAAAATTTGTGTAATCGTCCTATTTTGAGTGACCATTGATCGGCTGATTGGATATGCGGTAAGGAAAAGTTGATTTTAAATTAAATAATCGCAATATTAACGAGAATAACAAGTCAAAACGTGTGTATATAATACTATTGTACACAACAAATATTTTTGCTAGACAAGAAATACACAACATATTCATTTTCTCAATAATTATCTTCGTTTTCCAATTTCCATTATTGCCTAAATACATTGCATTTCGGTTAACAGTTAACACATATATTAATTATTTATAAACGTAGAAGAAAAACAGCAATTGACCATTTTATATTATCAAATAAAGTACTAAACTTTTTGATGGTCGGAACTTCGAAAACATTCCTTCATATACCGCAGAGCTAAGAAGGTAAATATTCGACCATTGATTAAAATAAATGTTGATTATTAAAACGAAATCATGCCGCATAATTGTGTAAATCTTTTTTTTTTTTGACAACGCATAATTGTGTAAATCATATTGTGAGTTATGACTTTTTTTTTTTAATAAAGAGACAAGTATGAATGAGACCTCCCTACCATATACTTGAATTTGAATCCAAAATTCTGTCATATGGAATTTGAAAGAGTCCAAAATTCTGCGATATGGAATTTAAAAGAATACATATCGTGGTGGACCAACTACCTTATTGGAATTGAAACAATTGAATGAATTCCATCTCAATTAAAAAAAAAAAAAAACAGATTCATACCTAACCAAAATAAGATCAGATTCATTTGTCACGTTAATTTCGGTTCACTCATTTTTTTTGGACCAACATACACCGAAAATTCGTACGAAAAAATCGGTGCTCCCCCTTAATAAAAAAAAAATCGGTGTTTCCCAAGAGCGGTGTATCCGTGTGTATATAAAATTTTCAATATATAAGTAGTATGTATATCCAAGGCTAAGAAAAAAATTACTATTACATTATGTATTTATGTTCCGTCACAATAAAAATAAAAGCATTATAAAAAGTTAGACAGACCACACCATCAACATGCCAGTGATAACTTGACCTATGTAGACATTTCATATTTTCTCTAACAGTTCTTTGTTTGTTTTTTTCTTTTCATTTACATAGTATCTATAAGAGTAATAGTCTACTGTCTACCCTCTGTTAAAGTAATATTATATATATTTTGTATCTATCGAATCTTCTAATTCAAAACGTTAAGTATGCCGAATTATATTTTCGATAACGCAGATTGACGCATACATATTGATGTTGTTTGAATTTTATTTTATCAGTTGAATCTTTAAACTTAATCAATCAACGTATTGTTCAAACTTTTTCTATTCTGGATGAACAAAAATAAGTACATTCTACACCATACGTATCAAATTATGATTGATTCCAATTAAACACGAATCTATTTTACCTCAACGGATTGTTTCTCACTTTATTTTTTAGTTTTTAATGTCATGTCTTTCTCATTCTATTTTTAAGAAATTTTGAAGTAAATAGTTTTTTTTTTGGAAACATAACTTAATGAAACTTATTAATCCAAAGCTATAAACGACTGTTCTTGTTATTCATCATTGCGATAAATTTATCATTCATGACGACTCCACACAAAAAAGTGTCGCGTAGCGAAGGAAGTATGGGACCTCTATAAAGTCCATAGGGCATGGAATATGACTTATGAGGAAAATGATGTTTGACTAAAATCCTCAGTTTTTAGCCCTTACGTTTCCACAAAATGGTACTCTTTTTCTTTCTTTTAAAACAAAATATATTTTCATATTTTCTATAATAAATGTGATGATAACGATAATTCTGGCTGCTAACTACTTACACGCGTTAACAAAGAACAGTATACACTAAGATATTTGATAGTTTATTAGATGAATACCTGCGTATACACGCAGATGTTTTATTTATTATAATATAACTTATAAAATTACATTTTTTCTACAAAATAAACATATTTTTTATTTTTGATAATATAAATATCATCTAAATTTGTAAATAAATAATCATTAAATGTGATTTTTTTGTTTTAATATAATTTATTAATAGACATTTTTCTATAAGTTTAATCTATTTTTTTGTATTTGGTAATATGAATATCATATGAACTCGTAAAAATATAGTCATTATTTTTTGCAGATGTAATAACTGAAACTTCAAAATAGATTTCATTAGAATTTAGAATTTCAAAAGCTGATCTTGAAGTTTTGTCATTGATTTGCTTAAACAATACGGTTCATTTTCTTGTTTTTTTTTACTAATCAATCAAGATTAAAGGAAATAAAAAATCAATGAACATTATTTGAACCTAATCATTCGAGATTAGCTAAATTCCTTTGAGATGAGCTTTTTCTTAACACTCAGTGGCAAATTCCCAACGAGAACAATTATAAGAGCTTACTCTCTACTTCGAATCCTCCTTTCAAAACCATCTTATCCTCTACTCTCTGCCTCGTCTCACCAAGTGTCTTCTCCATGTTGTCGTACTTCTTCTTTGTGCTCAAACAGTGTTGTGTTCTTTCTTGTTTTTGTTGATTTCTGCCCGAGACTTCAAATCTCAACCCTTTGTCATGGTGGTGTTGTCATCGATGGGTATGATTTTATACTAAGAAGAATTCAATACAAAGAATATAATAGAGCTTTCAAAAACCCATAAATCAAATAGGAGATTTGTGGAATTTTGAGTCAATATTCGATAGCATTAGAGATTGTTTGAGATTCGATCTTTCCAACTTCCAAAATAGAAATTAATTTGCAGTTCATTATGAACCATACATTAATATGCATTTCTTTTTGGTTTTTGTGTTCAATTAAAATGAAATTAGTATAATTTAATTATTTAATTCTCTCATAAATTTTTTTTAATCTGATGTGTCAAAAAAAATGGATGCTGATGTGTCAAACTTGTGAGACTCAACTGAGTCTTTATATAATAGATAGTTTATGGATTCTATCTGCTTTCTAATGAAGAAGATCAGCTTGTTTGCACACAACTTTTGAAAAGAAAAAGAAAAAAACATAGGGAAACTGCTCTCATGAACCAACCAAACGGGGTCTCATGAAGCTCAAATAGTAGAGACATACAGACAATCTACATGTGTGTCAATATAGGTTCATGAAATACAAGTCAGATAAGTCACACGCCACACCAAATATAGACTCCTGATCACAGTGATGAGCCGAACCTCGAGTACTCGTAGGAACGAGCATGCAATTGAACCTCGAGTAACAACAATTGTTGTCATGATTTACTTACTTGATAATCCACATGTTAGGGTCAGGCAACCCAAAAGACAAACTTGGATCAGGTAAACTTTATAAATATCACATTATTATTTTCCACAATAAAAGGACCCCATCCAACGTACACAACCATTTTGGTCATATTTTCAAGCAGTTGAATCCGTTTTTCCTTAAGACTTTGACTTGCTCTCTACAATAGTTGGACTCCTCGTTTCTTATGCATTTTCAAGAAAGCACACTAAATAATATATTGAATCGTGCATTATCACGTAATTCCGAATATAAATCGCCCTTCTGTTATCTTCTTGATTCCAAATTCTTAGACCGTTTAAATAATTTTGTTATGACTTGAGCATAAGAGAATTTATATATGGGACGACATCTCCATTTCATTGTTAATACATCATGACGATTTGTTTGTTCCACTTGTTGTGCTTCCACTCTGGTATACTTCGAATATCCCCTCTCTAGCTTAATTACAATCTTAGCTTTTTCTATATTTCTCGATCGATGGTATCACGAAATCCAAAAAAAGAAAAAAAAAAAAGAAATCCAATAATCCATAGTCTTTAACTCTTAGAGCATGTGCATTGAGGTTGCATATGTATTTTGAGGTGGGTAGCTAAACAATAAAACTAGATAAAATAATGAAATTGAGGCCCCAAAAAAGAAGAGTCGGCCCTTCTCCAAACTTTTTATGGGTTGACATGACGCTTTTCTATTGGGGAAAAAAATCTTGTTTTTAAAAATTTCATAATTTCATGTACTGTTTTGCAAATTTTGAATATCAGTATTTTGAATCTTGTTTTTAAAAAATCTTGTTTTTAAAAATTTCATAATTTCATGTACAAGTTTTTGCAAATTTAAATATCTGTATTTTGAATTTTAATAATTTCATGTACTGTTCTATAATCTTGTTTAATATGTAATGAATGTTTAAATTAAAAATTCAGTTAATAAATTTTTTTTTAAATATTAATTTTTTATTACTAAGCAACTCTTACCCCATCCACTAATGCAACACTTTACTTAATTATCCTTAAAGCACAAAAAAGTATTATATTAATATTAAGCAACTTTTTTACAATCCCTCTAATGCACATGCTTTTAAGGTCATGAGGATGAGGAGCCATTAGATGCTTACTTATAAGGGACCATTGGTTCACAAACTGTCTCGTCCTTGTACGTGAAACTTTTTCCCTAATCTGATAAACTTCCTTTAAAGACAATTAATCCCCAAAACTGATGCTAGTCAACCCACATCTTAATTAGTCCTTTAAGGATTTTCAACATCTATAGATTTAACTTCTATTCATAAGGATAAATTTGGCACAAACAATAAAATAACAGAGTTTTTTTAAATCATTATTGATAAAGAGTACTCATAATTTTTTATAAGTGAAAATTTTTAAAAAATTTACATTTTTATCATACAAAATGTTAGAAACCACTCGTTAAACACACAATAAAGGAAACAGCCTCTAGTGTCTCTCGTAGTTCAGGTTCAGAAGTGGAATTTTTTTTTTAAATGCATAAAAAAGAATAGTTTTTAAATTCAAAACTCTTTAGGAATTCACACAGCTCACTCAGACACAGACAGACAAAAGGAACAGCAACGAGGAAAAAACACTATATTTTTAATTTTCTATTTTAACATATTTATTTCTATTTTAACATATTCATTTTTTTTACTTTACCTTATTTAATTAAACAATTTGTTTATCTTATTACTTAGGGAACCTGATACCACTTTGATGTGTTAGTGCGTGGTTCTTGTTCATCTTTCTCTCCCCATCTCTCTCTCTCTCTCTAAAGAAATAGTTTCTTCGGCCAAGAAAAACACTTTTGTAATAATCAATTCTCTAAAGGTTTGTGTGTATACAGTATATTTATTCTGTATTTATTTTTGATCTCTGGAAAAACTATTTGACCAACTCTCTTCTTCTTCTACTTCTAAGTTTTTGTATCGTATCTCCGATTTTCAGTTTCTTGTTCTTACTTTGCTTTGAATCTTTCTTGATTTCAAAGATCCATTTCTTATATTTTTCGAAATAGGTATGCATGTATGTACATAAATATATTTCTCTACTTTGTGTACTGTATGATCCAAATTCTTTTCTGTTCATGACATTATGAAAAGTTTTTGGTTTTGTTGATTTTTTTCCCCAGATTTCTTGTAAGATCTCATGTTTCTATGGTTTTTCTTCTTATTATTAATTTATCCGTAAATAGATATTCTTTCTCCGGAACTTTTTTTTTATTTATTTTTTATGGTTTGCTTATCATCTTTCAATGTTCTAGAATTTTTTTTTCTCCATTGCTTCTGAAAAACAAAATCTCAATGATCTTTGGTTTATGATTACCAAATGTTTGTTTAACTTCTCCTGTGGGTTGTCTATAGTCTTGATCTATCAGTCTATTGTCTTGATGTCTTAAAATTTCACTTTCTTTTGTGATTCCTCGCATAAAATAACACTCCAATCAGATTGGAAACTGATGTTTTGTGGAACTTGAAATTTTTGTAGTATAAAAACTCACTCTTTTTAACTGTTTCTGTTTGTGATTTCCTTCACCAATCGGACTCAAATACTTCAAAATCTCACCCACTTGTCCTAATTTTATTCTCTGTTTTGTCTCCTTCACATGAAATGATATTTATTTTCTAGAAGGATCTTCTCAAGCTTCTGGGTTTTACACTTTCCTCTTATGGTGTTTTCTTCAATACAAAGACTAAAAAAAAGTCAATCTCTTTAAACTCTTTCAGGTTTCATAGGCTATCACAGATTTTTGTAGAATAAGATCTGGTGTTATGCAGAAGAGCAGGGAGAAAGTTAAAAGCGAGTTGAATAGTAACAGTGAAAGAATCAAATGTTCTTATCATCCACTGATCAAAGCTCTCCAAACAATCCATCATCTTCTTCCAATTTCTTACATCTGACCAACTCTAGCGATGAGTTAGGTCAATCACATCTTTCCAGTTTCTCCATCAGGTAAATCTTAAAAAGCTTTTCCTTTTTTTTGTCCCATTCTCCGATTTGTTTGGGGGAGTTTTATGAAGAAGAAGTCAACAATTTCTTTCTTCACCATTGTTTTAGGCAAAGTCTTTAGTTTTCTTGATGAGTCTGATCATAGTATAGATAGATCTTTTCTTCCCATCCATTCAATTTGCTTAATGGGTCAGATTCAAAAACATAAAGTATTCCTTTTTCTCTCTTTCTCTTTCACCTTCTCGGACTATGTGGAGCTTAAATGGTATTGAGTTTTGACTCTTATCTTTATTTTTGGTATACTGTGTTATTCTTTGATCCGTTGGTCCATACCATGTGAAGTTGATCTGAACGAGGCTCAGTATATCATCAAAGACACAAGCTTTTCTTTGTTGTGTCTTGTCTCTCAGAAGTCAATCTTTATAAAGTCTTTACCTTTGTTTTGTCTGGTTGTTATACCAATAGTTAAGAATTGGGAATTTGGTTTTGCAGAGATTATGCATTTAGTCACCGGACCAAGGACATCAAGAAAAGTTGGCCTTTTTCCTCAACAAGTTTGCAACTTTGTTTGAAACATGGCTTAACTGATCCATTGCCACCGATTCAGCTTCTCGGCTCTGTGAAAACCCCCACGGTACATCCTCCTGAAGCTTCGTCATTGAAGACGCCAAACTCAACTCATGTTGAAGCGACAAGCTACAAGAGAAAGTTAGAAAGACTTGGTTCCAATCATACGTTAGCAGAGACTAAACAAGGCTTTGAGAATGCTTATTTGACGAGTGGTTCGAAATCCGAAATACAAGTAGCTACCGTTAACAAGAACCCCAGAAAGAAGTGTGGGTTAATAGTGAAAACTGGAGCTTGTGTGGATAGTGGATCAAAAGAAGGTCAAAGTTGTCACTTTGCGGCTTCTGAGTCTATGGCTTTGAGAACTTGTCCCATCTGCAAAACATTCTCGTCTGCTTCTAACACCACTTTAAATGCGCACATTGATCAGTGTCTGTCTGTTGACTCGGGACAGCAGCCAATTAGTAAGCCGAACAAGCCTAGGAATAAGCCACGGTTGAAAGTTAAATCGATAACTGATATCTACGCTGCTGCAAAAAGATGCACATTAGAAGATCTTGATATAAGAAATGGAACAAAATGGGCTGTGATTTCGAGCTACTCTAACCGAGTTGCGTCTGATGATAAGCCTGAAGTGTCCAACAAAGGGAAGAAGCGGAGCATGTTGCATGTTCGCATTGATGAAGATGATGCTGGCATTGGACCTGTTTACATTGATGCTAAGGGCCAAAAACTGCGGATTTTGTCTGAGTTTAACGAGAAAGCTTCTGATCCACCAAGAGAGCAAGAAGATGTCAGTGAGAAGAAATCTTCTAGTGAAGGTAAAGGGAATCACAAAAGCTTTAGGAAAAGACTTCGAGAAAAGAAGTATTACAAGCATTGTAAAGTTGTTCCTCAAAGCAAAAAACTCACTATTCGTAAAGGCAATGCTTCAGAGGTATGTTCTCATTCGACCTTTCATAGTTTTTGCGGTGGTTTATGCATTTGCACGATCCATTCTTGATTTGGTTGCTAGATTCTTAAAGTACACCAGATTGCTTAACAAATTCACTTGTTTAACAGATACCTGAGTATCAAAGAGGATATTCTGAAGATGGTAGAGGCATGGAGAGGTCAGAAACTCCAGGTACAACTCAGCGTAGGATCTTCAACCAGCGGATGCTAACAAAACGTCGTCTTTCAAGGAATGAAAATAGGATAGGGAGAAAAAGTGATCAGCCATCCGAGAATGAGCATTCATTGTTAGCAGATCCTCTTATGTTAAGAGGTCCAAGTCATGCGAGTACTGATTTATCCGAGACAGTTTCTTCTCCTTTAAAGAGTCAAAATTCATGGAGAATTTGTGGGGAGAGCCTAGTCACTGGAAAGCGCAGTAAAAGCGCATCATTTGGAGCAAATCCCTTGAGATGTTCAAGACCTGTGGATAAGGTGTTTGCATCCGAGACAAAGGGCTTTATGAAGTTGAAGAAAGCTCGGTTGGATTTCTCGGAGAATGAAGATGAAGATGAAGAGGAAGATTCAGGGAGATGGGAGTCTGAAATGACTCAAGAACGTGAACTGGCAGATTATGATGATTGGGATGATAATGAAGAAACTGATAAGGTCTTACTAAGCTCAAATCCTTCATTTAGTGGCCAAGACAATGACTATGAAAGCTATGAAGGCACTGGTAACAACAAAGGAGAAGATGATATGTTGGACAGAACAAATGTTGCAGAGGCTGAGTTTGAAAGCATGATTTACGAGAAAACTGGTTGTGAAACTGCAGAACGAGGAAGCTCATTTATGGAGGTTGATCCCATTCCTATTCCAGGACCTCCAGGGTCATTTCTACAGAGTCCTTGGGATATGGGGATTGATGCAGTTGAAAATCATGGAAACTCCTCAGTTATAACAAGCCAGGTCCAATCTTCCCAAGATCAGCTTGATCTCACTGACAGAAATTCATCGGAATCACCTGTTTCAGCAATATCAAACTTTGCAGCTCCTGAAACACAGACACTCAGTCTTCATAACATCATCACTACTGACAAGAGACCTTCCAGATTTAGAGACAGTGATCAGTCATGTTGTTGCCAAAGAAAGGAGATAGCTTTTGAGGATACAACATTTGGGCAACCGGGGACAACACACATGATCCAACAAGATTTGGACCTCTTGAGTAAGTCTGTTCCCGCGGTTTCTTCAAATTCCAACCCGGTTTTGCGACTAATGGGAAAGGATTTGATGGTTATTAACCAAAGAGAAGAGACCTCACATGGAGATTCAAGTCTAAAACCAACTTCTCAGTTTATAGATCTCTCTAAGACACAACAAGTGTCTCCTCCTGTTCATCTTCTTCATCGTCCTTATGGTGGAAGCGGTTTGTATTTCGATACCAGCACAAGCTTCTACAACATTCCATGAAAATTCAAATCAAGACCTCTACATTTCTCAAAGCTTCTACATTCCATGACAATTCAATTTCCTATGCTTGAGATCTCTTGAGAAGTTTTCTCCTCAACATTCAACCTCAAGATTTCATGACTCACTTATAAAGAGGTTGAGAAGAATCTCAAGAGGCTGCTTTGAAGAAATGGTGATATAACTCTCTTTGAATCTACCTAAATTCATAGGATATTGAGAACTCCACTAAGGTAAAGGACCCCACTTTTTTTGTTACTTTTAATCTGGTTACAAAGGGGTGAAATATAAATATGGAAGTTATTATAATGTTATGAAAACGAAATTTAAATAAATTATACTGTATGAGTTTACCATCATGGTTCATCTATAAATATATATATTTATATGGTTGAAATCAGATGAGGTAGTCAAGATCATAGTCAACGTCATGACATACATTATGTATACGCAATTGATCATTTTCTTATGTCTCACTAATTCCTAATTTTAGAGTGAAAACTCCTAATTTTAGAGTGAAAACATATAAACTTTATTATACACATAGATACAGACTTCTGTTGAGTGTAAACAATGTCAAAATTAGATGGAGAAAGATTTTATACATAACAAACAAAAAGAGAATTTGCATTTGGCGATGATGAGCTGTTTTCTTGTTACAAGAAAACTAATATAAAATATGGATAATATAGTAGTGAAAAATAAATGTATATGTACTGAGATGAGTACAACTACAACGGCTATATTGCATGCGCATTTTCAGAATCATTTGCTCATTATCATATGCTTTTCACTCCATGTCTTATTTTGTTTATGCTTAGTTGATGCACATGTATATATAATGTATGTACACATTTGCAAATATCCATGATATATAGTTGGATATAGACATATAGTGGCGGGCCTATAAATTATTTATCTCTGTGGTATAATAGTATATAAAAAATTCTAAAGAAAATGGCCGGAAGTATGATATGAATACATACCGAGCGTAGATAAAATGGAGTGAATAAGCAAAGATTTACCAACTATTATTCTCCTAGTTTTTTTTTTGTGTGAATAACACTTCCTTACATTTATTTTGGTTTAAACGATTTAACCGGAGTTATGTAACTTCACTGCCTCCTTAGTACTAGCCCCTTTTGTACATATAAACGATCAATGCATTGGTAATTCAACTAGTTAGAACAGTGTTGCTCCGGTGCTTGAGATTTAAACACAAGATAATTATGTTATTCGTTTATCAAAGTCTGAATAATGGTTATTCAAGACTCGATAAACCAAAAGTTTGATATCAGAACTTCAACCTCGTTCCAACTTTTAGATTTATTGCGAAGTTTGAATTTTGAGCACTCTCTTGGTGTGCAATATTAATGGTTGAGAGGGACTCTTACATCAGAAGAGGTATGTCTTTTTTTTTTTGTTTCTTTTTTGAAGAATACATTACATGCATGTACCCTTGTTACAAATACATGCATGTCCACTCTTACAAAAAGCAATATTAATTTGGTCACTGCATTGTCTTCTTTTTTTTTTCTTTTTTTAACACCAAAGTTTGGTTATTTTATTTGTGAAATTACCACTAACTCCTAAATAATTACAACTTGTGACAACGTTTGACCGTTTGGGAAAAGTTATTATCATGATTTTTTTTTTTTGGATAAAAAGACTAGTTGAAAGTTAACATTATTGAATATTGAAAAGCATTTTCGTCAACATTTAAAAGCATTTATAGTTGACGAAAAACATCATTTATATCCAGTTTGATATATTTAAGTTTTGTAATACCTACGAGACCATAAAAGCCCATATATAACAAACTTGAGGATTTTTTATTTAATAAAATCATATCGGGATTTTGTATATATTAATTTAAATTAGGCGCCGACAAAATAATTATGAATATTAGGTTGTTATCTAATTTCTGTTGAGGCGGAAAAAAAAAATATAATTTCTGTTGAGAGAAAATTGAGTCGACATGGGAAATAGATTCATTGTGAAATAAGAGAATGAAATATAATTTAAAAAATACGATGAAGAATTAACGATCTTGTACGAACTCACCAGTCGTTTCTTCAAATAAAGAACTTTTTATGTTTTTTACTTTTAACGTTCGACTATTCACTAAATATTTAAATGTAAGTTCCACTAAAGAAAAATCGGAATGCATGTTATTATTATTATTTTTTCTTCAACGTATTATTTTTAGCATTTATGTTGATGTCATCTAAACCGGGCCCACTTAGCGGGATTTTTTTATTTTGGCGTGAAGATCGCAAATTAAACAAGAGATGAAATGTTGGTTTTGGTCCTCCATGAGTAGCTATACAATTAATTAAAAATAATTATTGTTCTAACAATCTTTAAAACACGACATGATATACGACTTTAATACTATATAATTTGGTGCACGATTAGTTGCCATTAAGTTTTTTTTTTTTGTTTTCTGTCAAGTCATTAAGTTCACACACAAAAAAATTACTGTAATTTGGTGATTAGCTGTCGAAGAAAAATGATCATTTTTTCTCTTTCATTAGTTCCACACAATCCTACATAATTTGTTAATTAGTCCATACTACAGAAAATTGGATTTGAATTTAAGTGCTCACGAGGAATATCCACATAAAACTTATTGGACTAATTAGCTTCCATTGAAGTAATAATTTGTCTCAATATTAGTTAAATTGCAATGATGTAAAATTTACAAATGATTATTTGAACTCACATATGGTCGTAATACAACAAATTGTGACCAATGGCATTAATACTACACGAGGTCGTCATATGGTTTGAGATTTAATCATGGCACATGCATGTATAATTAGCAATTCAATAAGTACTAAAACAAACATCTTGTTTTTGGTTTGGTTAATCTGTGAACCAAATAGTCCTTAGAATTGAATTTAAGACGAATAGCTCTTCTAACACACAGAACATACATATCTCAGTTAATCCATCTTTATCTACCCGGAAAAACAAAATTGTGACATTTTATCCTACTTCTCACAACTACTAACAAAAGCTAAATGCGAATCAAAGACTGATTATAATCTCTCTATATTAAAATTGTAGATATGGAATATACATGTATATATATGGATTATGGATATATTGTATGTACAGTCGTGTACGGTATGGATGAAATAATTGAAAAGATTGTGCACATGCATGCATGCATGACACTACGATTTGGGTTAATCTCTTCCGTCCACGTCGAATCGACATATTCATACCTTTTTAGTAAATTTCTGCGATCATGCTTCTTTTCCCCCATGTTTGCTTTAATTTCTCAAATTTATTAAAGTTCATAGTTTCTATGACAAATCCTCGGAAGATAATATAGATAATAAAAACTTCATATTCCAACCAAAGTTTGTTCGAGTTTTTAAATAGAAATAGATTGAACAAAAAACTCTTGAGAAAAAGGGCATAAATGCATAACTACCACAGAAAAATAAAATACTTTAATACTGTATAGTTTTGGGGTACAGTTTATATATCAATGCGAATATAATATTTATGTACATATTATATATAGACGCGCGTGGGCGCGTGTAACGTGTTACTGAGTTGAAATATCTAAGCGCGTGTGGGCGTGCGTTTGTACGTGTTTCGTAAATAAGATTTCATCGACGTACAAAATGATTTCGTTTTGGTTAAAAAAGTAAAAATAGTAAAACATATATATAAAAATAATCAATAATTTATAGAGAGTGGAGGAACAACGGCCCCAAGATTTTTTTTAGATTGACGTGATTGCGACGTGTCGCTTGCTTGTCTGCTTGATGGGGTCCCACATCCCAGTTGCTCCTTGTAACAATTCATTTTAGCTTAATAAAACTTTAAACAAGTTGCTCTTCTTTCTCTAACCTCAAACTTTTCATTAATCCAACTCATGTTTACCAACCTTAAACATATTGGAGGTCTGAACGATGACTAACTAAACGCAACAAAATAAATTCTAATATTGTAAAATTCTAAGAAATCATATAGACTTATTATAATATTGTAAAATTCTCACCACTTGTATGTAGTGGAAATTTTAACGGTTGCGTAAAAACATATGATAACAAAAAATGATACTCTAATATGATAGGTTTATGTAAAACTTCTTCCAGTTTTTTATTTATTTTTAATTGGTTACCATTCATACCCATTGAACTATCTAGTTTAACACAAGAATTTGAAAACATTATTCATAGAAAGAGTTTTATTCGCTATTTGATTCGCTATTTCCTTACTTGCTTTCAGATTATATAAACATCACATTATAATCTTCAAATAGTAAATCTTTGACATATTGAGAAAGAGTAAAGATGGACTATGCTTTCTCATGTGCAACTGGTTCAATCAATTTCTTTAATCAATAATGTAATGATCTAACAGTAGTCGAATCTTGTTGTAGCATAGTTCATATAGTTTGTTTAGTATTAATGGAGTTTGGATGAATTTAGGAAATTTATTATGATATATATATTTATTGAAGTTCTTCAAACTGTCACTTAAAATTATATAGAATTTGGTTTTTGTCACTAGATAATCATATCAACTATTTGAAATCATAAAAAATCTCAATAACAAAATATTTTAATTTACAAATCATCGGCTAAATAATGAAAGGTATCGGAAGATTTCGATTGATTTTTTATAAAAAAAAATACATTGAAATGACCTGAAATTATACGAGATACTTTAATAATATTTTCAGAACCAATAATAGAAATAGATTATAGAAAACAAAAGCCTTTCGAAATTCATGATCCAATAACATTGGTTTCTTTTAAGGAGCTCAATTTCAGATATTTTTCTTTGTCTCAGATCTCATTTCTTTCGAATGACAATCTCATCCGAGGTTTAATTTGATGTGATATAAATAAATTTGGAAGAACTACTCTGAGTAAATAAAACAATAGCTCGAATATACCAAAAATTACATTTCTCGGAATAAGAGAATGTAGCAAATTAACTAAACTTAAAATTTAGCAATACCAAATCTTATACAATAAAGAAATAATAAAAAGAAAGATGGTGGAGTGTGATAATAATTGAAGTTAGTGTGGACACTTTCAATTTTTTTCCTCTTGCACTCATTTGTTTTTCTTTATTTTATTCACATTTAGTGATAATACGTATGTGGACTTATATGGAACACCAATATTCATTTTTTTAGTGCTTGGTTCTTCTCTCTCTCTCTCGCCATCTCTTTCTTCAATGCTCTCATTCTCTCTCTAAGAAGCCATTTTTTTTTTCTTTTGCCAAGAAAACCCATCTAAGGTTTGTAAATCGTTTCTCAAATCTATCTATACTGAGTTTCAATCTTGTTCTTCGTCTTGGTCTAAGGTTGTAAGAACTTGGTTTATTCTTCTTCTTCTTTCCTTCTTCTTGATCTTCTATTCTTCTATCCAATCTCAAGATCCCAAATCTTGAAATCTTTCAGATGGGTATGTGTGCGTGCCATAGCTAGATTTATGAGTATAGATCACTATTTTCAAAGTCTTTATTTTTCTTCTAACTGACTTCCAAATAGATTTAGTTTTGGGGTTCTGATTTCAAGTTTTCCAGATTTCCCTCTCTGTGTAAATCTCATCTTATGTTGTTGATCTCATTTATTTTTTCTCCTTTCAGATTTGTTTTTATACTTCTTCAGTTCTTCTTAAAGTCCATGAAAATCCATTTGAAGTCACATCCTTTTATTTTTGGTTAGCTGATCAAGAATCTTCTCCATGTCTTGAATTTTCTTTGGGTTTACATAAATGCTCTCATATGATCTTTAGTTTATGAGCACCCTTACTTTGTTTAATTTACTTAGTTGAGTTCTTCTTCATCTTATGTATGTCTTACTTCACTTTTTTCTTTGTCCTAATGACCCCTTCAACATAAAATAAGCTCTCGAATCAGATTGGAAACTGAATCACCAAAAAAAATTAAAAAAAACCACTGTCTTTTTTGCGTGCGAATAATTGTTCCTCTTTGTGATTTCACATCATCAAATCACACACATAAACTTTAAATAATCTCTAATAGCCACTAATCTAACTTCTTTTGTTCACATGAAATAATGTCACTTTTCCTCTTGGTTTCTTCAAATCCACAAATCTGATGAATAGTTTCTTAATCTGAGATGGTTGTGTTGTTGTTAGCAGGAGGAGTCGGAATTGGCTGGTGATGATAAAGATCTGGTGTTATGCGGAAGTATTTGGGAAGCGAAGAGGCAAATAGTAACAGTGGAAGAATCAAATGTTCTTATCCACTGAGAACCCACCAAATGACCCACTTTCTTCTTCTTCCAATTTCTTACATCTCACCACCACTTCTTCCGATGAGTTAGGTCAATCCCATCCCCAAAATTTCTCCATCAGGTATATTAAAAACTCCTCCTTTTTGTTTTCTTCCCCTTTTTCTCCTCTGAATCTATTTACCTTATTTTTTTTTCTGGGTTTCTTCGCCAATATGGTTTTTGGCCAAAAAAAATATATAAAAAGTCTCTGGATTTCATGATGGGTCAGTGTCAGATCATAGCTTAGAGCTCATCCTCATAGCTAGATCAAAAGTTTTGATCTTTCTTCCTCTCTTCCTTGTAGTGATTAATGGGTCAGATTTCAAAGATTCATAATTGTTCTTTCACCTTCCGGTTTTTGATTCTTCTTATTTCAAAGTTTCCTTAAATATGCTTAAGTTTTAAGAAACTGTAACTCTTTATCTTTGGAGTTTCTAAAAGTACTTAACTTGTTTTTATCTATGTTTCATGCTTGCAGAGATTACGCATATAGTAACCGGAAGAAGAACATCAAGAACAGCTGGCCATTTTCCTCAAAAAGTCTCCAACTTTTTGCAACTCATGGAGTGACTGATCCTTTGCCACCGTTTCAGAAACTTTCCACCTTAAGAAACCAGTTTGAGAGCACGGCTTGTTCATCGTCAGCGAAGCAAATCGTATCCTATGTCCATCAAGGAAGAGACTTGGCAAAACTTGGGCTAAATCAAACAATAGCAGAGACTAGAAAAGGAGGAGTTTGTAGCCAATCGATGATAATCGAGAATGGTTCGTTTACGAGCACAAGTGTTTCGAAGTCCAAGGTAGATATAGTAGTAGCTGCTACAAGTAATAACAACAAGAACAACCACAGTAAAAAGTGTGGGCGAGGAATGGTGAAATCCAAAGAAGATAGTTGCGGTGGCCTTGTTACAACTTCTGAAACAAGCATGGCTTCAAAGACATGTCCTATTTGCAAAACCTTCTCTTCAGCTTCCAACACTACTTTGAATGCTCACATCGATCAGTGTCTGTCTGTTGACTCAGCGCTGCCACCGGTTATCAGTAAGCCAAACAAGCGTAGAGTTAAGCCACGGATGAAAGTTAAAACGATGGTTGATATCTACGCGGCTGCAAAAGGATGCACATTAGAAGATCTTGATAAAAGAAATGGAACAAAGTGGGCGTCGATTCTGAGTTATACAAACCGTGTTGTTGCTGATAAGTCTGAAGTGTCTAAGAAGCGGAAAGCTTCGCCTGTTGGCGTTGGTCCTGTTTATATTGATGCTAAGGGACAGAAACTGCGGATTTTAACAGAGTTCAGCGAGAAGAAGACTTCCACTACTCCATTACGAGAGCAGCACGAGGATTGTAGTAGTGAAAAGAAAAGTTTAAGCCAAGGTAGTAAAGAAAACAGTAAAAGCTCAAAGAAAAGACGTCGGGGAAAGAAACATCACAAGTATCTCAAACTAACCAATCACAAAGCCAATGCTTCAGAGGTAATGCCATAAGTTGCTGTCATTTTTTGGTTTGTTTTTGCATTTCATGGTTGTGTTTTTGTAGCAAGATTCATAAAATAACAGTAACATTGCTTTGTACAGCAGATACCGGAGTATCAAAGAGTGTTTTCTGGAGAAGGTAGCAGCACGGGTCATCGTAGGATCTATAATCAGCGGATGTTAGCGAAACGTGGTCTGATCTCAAAGAAGCTAAATGAGAAAGGACATAAATTTTATGCTTTGCGAGATCAGCCATCTGAGAATGATGATGATTCAATGTCAGGAGGAGATCCTCTTGTGCTGAGAAGTACTGATTTGTCTGCCACTGAAGCTATAAATAAACAGAAGCTGCTTAGCGGAGTTGCTAGAGAGATTAAGACTTTGTGTGGGAGTAAAAGAGCTCAAAGTCGTTCATTTAGAGTTCGGATGAGTGAAAAGGAGGAGAAATCACTTGCAGGAGCTCATTCAAACACTGTCCAAGTGAAGAAGAGCCTTGCTTCGATTCAAGAAGATAGGTATTCACCTGGAAAGAATTTCTGCTCAAATGCCAGAGAGGTTTCAGATGCGTCTCCTCGTCCAAGTAGCATGAGAACACCATTTGTTGGAAATGCCTGGAGACGACTATCTCTTCCTGTGGAGCAAAAGAAAGCTCAGTTAGACTTGTCGGAGGAAGAAGATGAAGAAGAAGAAGCTGGGAAATGGGAATCTGAAATGACACAAGAGCGTGAACTATCAGATGATGATTATGCTTCTGGTGATAATGGAGAAATAAATGAACGAAGATCAAAACCTTCATCTAGTGGTTACGATGATTATGATGATGATGACGAAGAAAGTAGTGAAGAGGAGAAAGATAATAACAAAAGAGCCAATGTGTTGAACAAAACCGCTGATACAGGTGCTGAGTTCTACCAATCAGACAGTCCACCATTTAATGAAATGGTACCTAGCGAGAGAGCTATGTATTACTCTGAAGAAGTTGGAAATATGATTTACGAGGAGGATGTGAGGTTTGATTCTGAGGTAAGACAAGGAAGCTTATTTGTAGAGGTTGATACTATTCCCATTCCAGGACCTCCGGGATCATTTTTACCAAGTCCACGGGATATGGGTTTTGATGAAAACATTGGAAACTCGTCGGTTATCACGAGCCAGGTCCAATCTTCCTTGGATCAGCTTGACAGAAACTCATCTGAATCACCTGTTTCTGCTGTTTCAAACTTTGCACCTGGTAGACTGAGTTTCCCCAGAGAGTTATCTTCCTCTTTCCAAGAAAATATCTCCCCGGACATTCCTGCTTCCTACTCGACAACCCCGATGAGCTTTTGTGTTCCATCTCATCATGGGACAATCGGCCAGGCTGAGCAGATAACCGTTGACAAGTCTTGTTGTTGCCAAAGAATAGAGAGAAACTCAGAGGGCATTACTTTGAACCATCAAGCATCTCATCTACTGCAGCGAAGAGCAGCTTCTTCGACAATGGCCATGAACTTAACGAAATCTCCCAAACGTTTGGATCCAAATCATCCATTTGAGCAGTCATCACCATACATGATCCAGCAAGATGTAAATCTTCAGAGTAAATTCTCCAGCAAACCGAGTTTCAATGGCGCTGTGCCTCCAAGTCCTTCTAATCCGGTTTTGCGGTTAATGGGAAAAGACTTGATGGTCATGAACAATGGAGAAGCAGACAACGAAGAAGCATCTCGGGCTAGCTTAAAACCAACCCCACAGTTTCTTGATCCTCCTCCTTGCCCTGGAACCGGCTTATACTTCAACACAGGTCTCTATTTAAGAAACAGTTTCGAGTCAACACAGCATCAACCACAGATACCAAAAGCACAAGCACAAGCACAAGCACAAACACAAGCTTCAGCATTCAGAATCAATTTTGATCATGTAAGGTACTTTTCTCCGAGCTAGCCGTCGTGAACTTTCAAGTTTCAACCTTTATATAGCTTAAGAAGAAACCGAGAAGTGGGTTCCCTTTGAAAGCCGATCATCGAACATTGGGTAGATTTCGAATGTTGTACGCCATTTTGTATGCTTTTTCTCTCTTTCTGCAGAGACTTGTGTGTAGTTACGGTTTACAAAAAAAAGAAAGCAAACACTTGAAAATAACAAACACTCTGTAGAAGAAGATAAGTAGGGACTTAAAAGGCTTTCACTGCCACCAAAGTTGTCTAAAAGCTCCACAAAGTTTCAAACTTTTACTTTTATCTTGAAGATTTAGCCATTGTAGTAAGAACAAGTAAGTAAATTTAGGCTTACACTGCAACCAAAAAAAAACTACTTTATTTTACAAATTGATTTGCTTAAACAACTCTTGAACAAAAGAAATCCAATTAATATGTGTACTATAGGGTTAGAGTTTGTTGATTTGTATAAGTTAGGTTTTAGAATCAATTAAAAAAACAAATCTGATGAGCTGGCAACATTTGTTTGGTTGGTGAAATGAATGATGTAGTAGTTGACTAAAAAGTCGTTGGACACCTTTTCTCTATAACATTTTTTCTCTCACCACCGGCTATATCCCCGGTGACATTTCGGGTCGGGTCAAATTAGGTCAACGATAACGGAAAATTCGCCGGATGAAACCCTCTTAACGGAAAATATGGCTGCTCCGACGACGACGACGACACCGACCTACACATCAATTCCGATTCCAACCGGCGACGTCATCTCCCGATCAATCCATAATCTCACTTCCACCATCTCTCGCCACCGTCCCTGGCCCGAGCTCGTAAATTCCGGCGCTTTCTGCTTCCCGGAGCGGTTCTCTTCTCTTCCCCTCCGATCTAAGACGAATCTCCGCTACTTCTTCGTCAACTACTCTCTCATCGTCGGCACTTGCGCCGCGCTCTCTCTCATCGCCGCCAATCCCGTCGCGCTGGTCGTCGTCGGAGCGATCACCGCCTTGTGGCTTATTTTTCACTTTTTCAGGGAAGACCCGATTATTCTTTGGGGATTTCAGGTCGGAGATCGGACGGTGGTGGTCTGTCTTGTCCTAGCCTCCGTGTGGGCCATATGGTTCACTAGCTCCGCCGTGAGCTTGGCGATAGGTGTCGGCGTTGGGTTGCTGTTGTGCACCATTCACTCCGTTCTTAGAAACTCCGACGAGCTTTTCCTTGAGGAAGACGATGCTGTTACCGGAGGCTTGATCGGGTCTAATCTCCGGTGATATTTTTCTCATTTTACTTTTCCCCAATTGATTGTTTTCAGATGTTCAATTTTTTTTGCTTCCCTGAACATTATCAAATTTTTCCTAAGGGGAAGTTTTGATGTCTTGTTTTGAAATTTGAGTGTGATCTAAAAATCTGATTACTTGTTTTTTTTTTCTCCTTATTCTTGGAAACTTGTGAAGTGTTTGATGTTGGACTGTAATCAGAAGAGAAGAATGACCATTTCTTGTTTGATTGGTTCTCATGGTGACGAAACCAACTTGCTCGGTCCATTTTCTTCACATGTGTTACTTCTGATTTCCAAATACAACGTATCATATTTCACAACAGCTGTTCAGTTTTGTCGAGACTTTCATGAAAGAAAAAAGAAAAAGAGAAATGATTTGAGGTCAAACTTGTTTAAAGTAGATCGTGTAGTCTTCAAATCTAAAAGGGTTCAAGAGAATTAAGGGACCCAAATGGCAGAGATTGAGTAAATACTGATATGAGTCATATCATATCATATAGTTCTCTTTATTGTCAATCAAATAACCTCAGTAATCTGCTTTTGTTTTGATTCTGACTAACTTGGGTATAACCAAAACCAGATGAATTAAACTAGCTCAATTTGTATGACAAGTCAGATTTTTTTTTGTCTTTTGAAAAGGAAACAAAACTGAGCAGTGAACTTTGGGACCAGAAACAGGAGAGGGGAGAGTGACACTTGTTGGCAAAACCCAGACACTGATTAAATTTCGTTTTTCTTACACCCATACCTATTTTTCTGTGTTTTGTCTTTGGTCCCACTTCTTACAGGAGGAGTATTTGGCCTTTATTTCAATTCTGTTTATAACTTAGATCTGTGGCAACTCTTTTGTTTGATTGGCTAATGTATCAGGTAAAGGATTCGGCTTGAGAATCCTATGCATTGAATGTTGTTTTGCTTAGTAGTAGCCATTTGATTCATATACACCCTATTAAGAACTCAAATAAGTTGTAATGACTGTATGATCAATTGATCTGAAGGGATAAGAGGAGATTAAGATCAATAAAGGAAGTTGGTAATGTACATAGAAATAAGATTGTTCTTAACTGATTTTAAAGTAACCGTTACATGATTTACTGTCTTCAACAAAACTGAGATTAAGAGTAATTGTGGAAACAGCCAGGAGAAATGTTTTTACGTGTGTGTTTCATATCTTGCTTCTCATTCTGACTAACTTTGCCAGCGTTTCTTGAGCAGCCAAAGTGAGCTCATGGTTATGGCCAAGCATCACCGTCCTGATACTGATACAAGTCCTGCAAAGTTCTTCTCCACTATCGAAATGTCCGCCTCGTAGCAGCAGCTTCGCTCTGGTCTCTAGCAATAAAGCTTTCAACAATGTAACATCCTGCCACACGTATTCATCCACCTTCTTGCTAGTCTTCTTCTTCCAACAGAGTGAGCCTTGGCGCCAATCTTGTATTTGAGACACAAACGACTTCTCCACTTCCTCTAACACATTGGTGCATACTTTGAGGAGCTCCAGCGCAGAGTTGCACCTTGAAAACTTTGTGAAAGCTGTGATTGCTAAAGGAAGTGCTGTTCTCTTGATGTAAAGTACCATATCCATGGCTTGTAGTTGGACCAAAGGAGGTTCTGATTTGAATCCGAATACTAAGAATGCTGAAGCCCATAAGTGATCAAGATTCAACAACGGGTTATCGATTTTCCTCACGCCTTGAACTGTTGCCTTGGGTGCAAGTATGTAGTCTCTTCTCCTCGCAAAAGTTTGAGTTATTGGATGAAACTGAATCCAACACCCAGGTTGTCTATTAGTCATCCTCGCTAGTCCTAATCTGACTAGTAAAAACGCAGCATCCTCTTCGCTTCTGCGTCCTAGACCACAACCACCGCACCAAGCAAATGTGTGACTCAAACATTTGTTCCATTTGCTAAACCGATTTCCACTTGTGGGCATGTTTTTAGCCGCTGCTGCTAACAAGTTAACATGGATAGGGACTGGCGCAAACCAAGCTCCCACTAGTAGCATTTTCAGTGAGAGAAGGTTTCTGTTACCTTCAGCTTGCTCCAAAACAGCCAAAACGAAAGCTAAGACCTTTGCAACGAATGGATTGGATTTGCAATACTGCTCATCGTTTAAGTTCACAAAAGGCGAGGCTGAACGTTCTTCGATTTGAACTTTGTTCACAGCTTCAAAGAGCGCAGAAGGTGGAATTGAAAGCTCTGAAAGCAATGATCCTATCACCCAAAGACCGTAGCTCAAACGTCCCAGTTTCTCTTCGAAAAGCTTGAGGATCTCAACCTCCTCAGCCGGGTAATCTTTCTTTCTTCTTCCTCTCAACAACACCATTGCGTCAGACGAAGGCAATACAGAGAGCTGCACTGTATCAAAGGTCATGACTTTAGGAAGTCTAGTAGTGATCAACACATGAGTACCTCCGGTGTTTCTTGGAATCAGATCATTCAGATCTTTCCCTTCCCACCAATCTTTTTCTATCTCAAGATTATCAATGACCAGAAGATAAGGCATGTCTCTGAAAAGCTCACGCTTTATCCTCTTAAACGCTTCAAACTCTTGTTCATCAAAGCTCCGTAGTCTACCTCTATCCTTCTCAGCATCCGCGCTCATATCAAGCCCCAAACTAAATGACAGATTCAACAGGTTCTGTCTGAAGTATCGAGCTTCCCCTCCGACCCACAACACCATCTTATACCTCTGAGAATACCGGTAAGCGAATTCAAGAGCCAACTCTGTCTTCCCAATCCCAGGAACTCCATTTACGCAAACAACACTTGTGCTACCTTTGCAGTTATTACTGTTTCTATATTTTTTAGTCTTCAACAGTCTTTTAAGCGAGTTTTTCCCACCGTTTGGATCACTCCAAGCCTCAGATCTTGGCTCTGAGCATTTTCCAAGCTCCAAGCTGATAAATTTCCCATTTCTAGTTGATACAACATCTGATTCCTCATCTGCAAGTCCTTCAGATTGTCCACTTGCTTCTCCTTTAGTGCTTGGTGTTGTAGACTCTAGATACTCTCCATTGCCAAAGAAAGCAATCTCCATTTCCGTCATCTCTTTCTCTCTGCCAAGAAAAGATCTATTTCTCGGAAAAGGAAGCTCATCGATCCTATCCACTGTCTCTTTATCAACCACACTCTTCCTCCCAAGCTTTCCCCTGAGAATGGTCGCGGTCTTTGCCACACAGCTTCTCCAGTTACTCTCATTAGCTTCGAGTTTAAACTCATGGGACTTAATCAACCCATCAATGGCTTCTTTACACTCTTTATCTATGGCATTACAGTTGAGAAGACCCATTATCTCAGAAGGTCCAGTTCCATAGAAAATTGGGATCAAGTTCTTCTTTTGAGCGAAGAACCTAACTTCCTCCAAGCTAAGATAGTTGAGCAAGCTCGAACAAGAGACAACCACAATCCCATAAGTAACGGAGCAGATAACTCTGTCAGCGATCTCATGACTCTGTGTGTCCGAATACTTAGCTCTGTCCGCAACGAAACAAGCGATACCCTGAAGCTCAAGCTCTGACTTTAACCATTTGCAGAATCTCACCAAGTTTGGGTTTTGTCCATGGAACCCTATGAAGACATCGGAGCTCCTGAGCTTGGTGTTAGTTGCAGGCGAAGAAACAGAGACTTTAGCTAAGGAAACCCTAGGAACAGGGAAAGAGAATGAGATCCTTGGAGGAGCAGGATCTGGAGTACAAGCTGATAACTTGAGCTTCCGATCTGATGGGTCATCGGAAAACTCATACTGGTCAGAAGGAGGAGTGTAGGAGCTGCTTGGTACATCTTCAGATTGTGAGCCTTTGTAAGAAACAGGCGGTGATGGCTTGTGAGTGGTGGTAATGGGTTGTGTGGCTCTTGGGGATATATAAGGAGATTGTAAAGCGGAAACAAAAGCAGAAGATGGTGGGGACACAAGAGAAGGTGAATTGAAAGGAGAGTTTTTGATACTTGGAGATGAATCCGAGGCATCATTTGTGTGGAGATCTTTACCTTTTTTACTTGAAGAGCTTGCTGGTGATGATGTTCTTATGGTTAATCCCACTAAGCTTGCTTCTTCTGGTTCTTCTTCTCCCCTCATTTTTGCTGTACCTTCTTCTTACTTCCTCACCAGACCCTAATCAAACCCAAAATGAAGCTCACAGCTCAAAAGGTTCCGTCTTTATCTCTCTAACTTGGTCTAAATCATTGTGGTCTTCACTGACAGATTATATTGAAGTGAGTGGGACTGTGAGGAGATGAGTCAGAACATGAATGCAACAGTTGATGTTGTTCAAGGAGATTGAGGTAAAATCTGAGAAACTGCATGTGATGTATCTAACTCTTCCATTTTGTGGGGTCCTCTTCTTCTCAACACTGTTGAAGACCAACTTGTTATTTCTTTTTTTTTATTACTCCTCTTAGCTCAGATTTGACCAAAACCAAGGCCAGTTTCAGTCTCTGCAACAATGGAGGTCATGGGTCAGAAGAAAAATCATTGCTTTACAATGAGCGTGGTCTTGTGTTCATCATCATCAACAAGATTGAATCTTCTCATTTGAATTAAAGTCAGAACCAAAAACGAATAGGAACGAAAAAAAAAGAGCAACATCTTAGTCAAATCATTAAAGATGATTTTCAAAGACTTACCCTTTGTTTGATCTTTTTCAGACACAAGGCAAAAGACGTGTCACTTCCCCTGCATATTTTGCATTACAAACCTCTTTTTCTCTCTCTCTGCTTCAATGTGTCTTTTTTCAGGAAGAGCAGATAGTGATAATGAAGAGGGAGAAGAATCTGGATTTGTGAGTTGGATCTGAAAGTGCTTATGGAGCTTAATTTATAAAATAGTGATTAAAGAAATGGTTAAGAGGAGCAGCCTGGAGAGGGTTAATGTCTAAACATGTACCAATGTATTTTATAATGATCACCCACTAATCAATAACCCTTTATAATTTACTCGATTTATAATCTTGGATTCTCCTCTATTCATTTGTTTTTAGCTCTCTCTCTGTCTCTCCCAACCTCCTCCTGCGGTTAGATTCTTTTCTCTCACTGATTTTCTTGAAATTAGACATTTTTTTAGTTTGCCAAGAAGAGCTGGTATTTAAGATTTAAAATCGACTCATTAGGGATAATAATCTAACATGGGTTACATGGAATTTATGAGAATTAAATACTCCCAATCAGATTTAAGACATTGAACTTTGAGCTTCAAAGAAAAGAGGTTGGATTGAAGTAAAGGAACCATTTTCAATTTCCTCAGTACTTTGGTTGTTTGTCGTTTAGTCCTTTGTATTTTATGGTGTATAGAAAACTCCAAGACATTGTAGTACATTACAATATTAATCAAAATATATAACACCATCATTGCTGTACTTAATGGAGTAGGAGAAAAAACCAAGACAAATTGTACGTTTTAGATTAATGTAAAACTTCAAGGGCATGCATACTTTTTTCTAAAAGCCGAAAAGATTACATAATCCGTTGGTGACAGGTAAATACGATTTGATCCGTAAAAATGCAACAATAATTGCTTTTCCCGCATCAGAATATTGTGTATCCTAAATATAAAAACGGTCTAATTTTGTAAGTGAATTAATTCGTTCGTCCACTGCAAACGAAAAAATAATAACTTGAACATAAAATAAGGTAGTTAGAAAACTAATATTTCACAGTTTACTAAAAAGGGGGCAAAACAGCTTAACATTATGTGACAAAAAAGTGAATAAATTATCAGGATTTATCATTTAGAGAAATTTTAATGTTGTCAAACCATGTTTTTTCAGTTCAAACAATATATTATTCGGTAATGGTCCACATTGTCATTCGTGTAGGTAGAATTTACTTTTCATAAGTTGATTGCTGTGTCAAAATTCTACTTTGATTGCACATTATCGTAAAACTTAGATTTTTTTTTGTTTTTGAGAAAGATAAAACTTAGATTTAAAGACTTTTTTTTTATATATATGCTTTTCATTTTCACAGTAACGTTCTAGTCCGTAATTTTGATTTTTGGGCAGGTAAAATGTATAAATTTTTATAGTAAGATCAAACTCCAAATAATTATCTACAAATATATTCTCTATTTTTTAAAATTAGTTTACATAATGTATATATGTGTAATGTATGTATATTATATATGTGTACACTTGACACAACATTTGAAATCTGATGCGCGATGGGAATTGGTCCAAGACCAGTGCACTTGTGACTTTTTATATACTATACTCCGTTTATTTACCCCACACATATTCACATTTATCTACAACCATAAAGACTATAAAAAAACTTTATAGAAAAACATATATTACCATCAAAGTCTTGGAGTATGTGACGTATGAACACAACAAGATTGTTTTTTTTTTTCAGGTAATAAAGGTTTTACTATCTACTTCTTGTTGAATTGGTTAGTAGGTTCTAATCTCCAAAAAATACTTTATAACTTTATATTTGAAATTTTTTTGCACTTCAAAAAATATTTCAAACCTTCAAATTTTGAAGAATTGAATAGTAATAATCTAAATATAGAGTATCACTATTCAATTCTTCAAATTTGAAGTATCATCTTTCTTTTTGCATTTTAATCCTTATAATTATCTATCTTTATAGATAATGTTATTAGTTATGTTTGTTTATCATTTTAATTCTATAATGATATATCTCATAATTATTTTACATATATCTTCATAATTATAATTTTAACAGATAAAATTAAAAAACAACTTGTATTTAAAATAAAATATATTAACACATAAAAATATAGCATAACATTACAATCTTTAAAAGAACACATAAATTTTTAACTCGTAATCTACAAATAAAAGGTAATCAACGAGAATACCCAGTTTCAACAATTTTTAACTCGTAATCTACAAATAAAAAATAAAAAAGCTTATCTATCACTTCGAAATGCATCAATTGACGAGAGTATTTCGGAAATAATTTTAGTGAATAATTTAATATTTTATTGTAATTTATGATTTTATTAATATATTTTATATTATTTATCATGTTTTATTAATTAATGTTGTTTGTGATTTTTCTGTGATGTATGTTTAAATGTTATTTATAAAATTTTGTGATTTTTAACTGATTATGTTGAATAGAAAAGATTATAATACAAATTAAAATTTTTTTTGAAGTTTATTATGAAGTATCACCATTGGAGAGAAACACCTCGTACTTTAAATTTGAAATATCTGATACTCCAAATATAAAGTATCTATTCTCTAAACGAGAGAACAGACGTCGAAGCGTTGATCTAACGCTGAAGGAAACTTCTCGTTGTTTTCTTATTTATAAACAACAACCAATGTATATACAGAAGCTGTAAACGTCACAACTGTAGAAGAAGTTGAGGAGACGAGGGGTAAAATAGTAAATTGCAGAGCATCGTATTTAATTTTTTAACGGCATATCACACACCGTCGAATTCTAGATCGGACCAGATAAGATCACGTCGAATCGAACGGTTGTAAAATGCCCGACTTGTTGGTGCAGTTGCCAGCGGTTTCGCCACGTGTCCCGACCAAGTCGCTTACACGTTCGCATTTTCTCTAACTAAAAAAAAACAAGAATTTTGATTGTAAGCGAAAACAGAAAGTTAACGTTTTTCCGCAGCGAAACGTTCAACATTTCAATCAGTTTCGGATGTATAGATCTGCGAATCGTTCATCAAATTAGGGTTTTTCCATCATCTTCTAGTTTCGTTTCGGTCTCTCTGTAAAGGAACCATCTTTGAGGTTTTGCGTCCCATTTTAGGTACGTCAGCTCGAAATTTCGGCTCAATTGGATTTGATTTTCCAATCATTGGCTCTCTTACGAAAACGGAAGAAAAAAGGATTGTGATCGGTTTCTATTGCATTTAATTTGGGAATTGAGTTAAATTTTGACGTATAGTATGATTTAATTTGTTTTTTTTTTTCTGGGTTTTTTTCCATTTTGGTTTATTGAATATTCCTCTGGTTCCTGCTGGAATGATGGTTGTTGCTGCTCTTGATATTTTGATCCGATGTTAATTTGGAGGATGAGATATTAGTATCGTCATGGATTTGGAGAGTGAGAGCTCTGCTCTCGAGTCTGTTGAAGATAATGGCTTGATTAATGAAGTTGAGACTCTTGGGGATAAACTGGTCTCTGCTTCTACAGCTGATAACGATAAACAGTCGAATCCACCGGTTGAGACTTCTCCTCCTATATCAAAGGGATTTGGTTTAAGAAAATGGAGAAGGAGGAAGGTAAGGAGAGATCTTGTTAAGGATAATACCTCTGTGAATATGGAGAACAGTAAAGTTATGAAGAGGTGTGTCAGGAGCTACAGATCCTCATGCTAAACAAATGCATTTTCTTCATTGAAGTGAACAGATAGTCTGCTCGTGCTCGTGATACGTGCTGATTTGCGAAAGCTGAGTCTAGTCATGGCCCTAGTCTTGCTTTTTCAGCTGGTATGGATTCGGATAACAGTGAGGACCGAAGTAGCAAGTCCTCGACTGCAGCCAGTGGTTCCAAGGTTAGGTACGAGAGGAAAACGGGTCATTCTTGGGGCAAACAGAGCGCAAAGTATAAGAGTGTGATTAGCTTGGGTGATAGTGGTCAACCAAGGAAGAGTAGTGTAGAGAAGAGTAAGAAAGTTAGAGGAGAAAGGATCAAAATCGAGAAGGAAAACTCTCATTCCAGTATGGAATCTGCTGACTCAAGAAGCTCCAACTTTGTGTTTATGCAGGGTGCTTCCTATAGTTTGAGTAGCAGAGAACAGGGAGGGAGAAGAATGATGGATTACAACGAAGAAAATAGTGATCATGAGGCACATACTTCCAACCATAAAGATAACGCTAGAGAAGAAGAAGAAACCGAAGATTATTCACAAGGAGACTCTGTGGAAGAATCCCAAATCAAGAACAATGGTTCCTCAGACAATCTGGATCCATTAACTGAGGCCTTCAACAGCTTCCACAGTTTGCAGGAAGCGTTAAAAAAAGGTAGCAACTTCATAATATATGGTGTTTTCATTTGGATTTTGATGGTTGCTGCATTGTAGTAGTCATTAATATTTATATCACTGGTTCCTTATAGTTCCTTGTAAATATTAACATGGTTGTTTAACTGAACTTCTGGTTCCGTTTTGTTTTTCAGAGCTTCAAAAATTTCAAGAGCTTGGGAAAGAATCTATGTCATCACTGCATGATGGAGCAGAAAGCAGAAGTTGCATACACGCGGGACGTGAACGAGCTGGTGAAGCAAGTTCTTCTCGCCGGTTTGGGTCTGAAAATATGGGAGAACCGGGATTAACTTCTCAAGATTCCGAGATACGAAACCTGGTGAACAATGTAGAGCACCTGGAGATCAAACTGAAAGAAACAAGGTCTATCCTCGAGGCTAAAGAATCTCAAATCCGTGAACTCAAATCCACAATAAGCCTTTCAGAGCCGCGTAATGGAGGAACAGAGATCGGGATCGAAGACATTTTCCAGCAAAAGATGGAGGCAGAGATTGAACATCTTGTATTCTCAAGCTCAGTGGAAAACTTAAAAGGACAGATCAAACTGATTGGAGAAGAGAAGACATTGGCTGAGAATGAAGCTCATAAGACGCTATCAAAGCTTGGAGAAGCAGAAACCAAAGCTGAGATTCTCAAGAATCAAGCTCAAGATTTACAAAACCAGTGTGTAGAGATCACAGAGGTCCAAGAAGTGAAGAGTTTCAAGAAGGGTATGTTTAAGACCATCTCATGTCTTCTTCTACAGTTAGGCTTGCTGTTTATGCTTTTTAATTTCCTGTTAATGCCAGAGTCCGAGAATGTTGTACCCACATGAGAATTTATTTTTCAAGGTACAGATATGTTTAGTTATGATTATTATTGTTATTATATTCTTGTTCACCATTGTTTCTTTTTCTTAATAATCCATATATTTACTACATATAGTGTAACATATTTGGCTTCAACAGACCAACTCTCTGCTTCTTCTTTGTTTTTCTGTGTGCTGCTATGGCATGACGTCGGTGTGAATGTTACGTATTGTTGTCTTTTTGTCAACTTTGCCATCATTTTCCATACACTCCTTTTAAAATAAGTCGAAGATAAGATATATAATAAACAGACAAGTGAAAAAGTTTGCACATTCACATTGATCTTTATCTTATGAGAAAAAATGGAATTGGGTACCATTCCATATGATTAACCTGGTTTAAGGAGCAATTTAGAGTGTTAGTCATTTGTGTCCGAGTGATTTTCGTCAACTTTTTGAGTAACCATAAAACTCTGAGCTTTAATTTCGTTGCACCGGAGACCAAATCAGCTTAAAAACAGTCACTTTATCATCGATTTTACTGTATTGGTCTAGAATAATTTTGCTGTCGTATAAAATTTAGTTGGATGCGACAAAGTAGAAACTGAATATACAAGCTCTTGACCAAATAACAATCTTAGCTCTTAAGAATAAGACAAATTCAATTTAATGGTAACATTATGTGGTGTTTCTGATGACACTAAAGAATTGGTCTTATGTCATTATCTGCAAGTGGAGACTTTGACATTTGACGATAAACAGCCATCTTAATGTTGGTTTATGCACATATATAGAAAATTAACAATGCCCACGTCTTGAAGAGTTTTAGACCAAACCAACAATCGAATAAACAATATACTTATGATTTAGACTCATAGGTGTCTTATCGATGATCATTGGATTTGTAAACTTCCAAATCCTTTTAAAACTTTGGATTTGATGAGATAGAGATTATATTTAAATATAGAGATTTAATTCTTCTTTCTTTCTTTCAATCTAGCTCAGCTGTTGATGTGTTTAAAAACTAGAATTTTGGTTGTCTATAGTTCGGTATTCCTATTAAAGGTAGCAAGTTCTACTATTGATGATCAATTCGTCACACACAACAACAAAATAAATCCGATTATCCAATATATGGAGTAACCATTTGTTTGAAAAGAAGAAAAAAAAAAGATAAGATGGTGAGATGAATAAGATAGTTTACTTTATGGAACTTTGGTCAATTTAAACCCATCATGCTTTATGTGAATCCAAAAGCACAATAAAGGAAGAAAGAAAAATCAAAGCTTGAGAGAAGCATACAAGATAGTATATATATCCCCTCTCATCAAATAAACAAAAGACCCCACCAAATTAGATTAAAAGCCAAACACCAAGAACCTCAAGAACCAAAAACCAAAAATATCTTTCTGTTACTCAGACTACAATGTCAACAACTCTTTTTACCATCATTACTCCCTAATTTTAGATATTTTTTTTTCTTTTTTCTTATTTTTTTGGGGGTTTTCAAATTAAAAATCTTACTTGCCTGCATATATACGTTTCTTAGACTCTTTCTTCTTCTTCTTATTCTTCGTTAGGTGGCAACTCATTCAAGTCAAACTCCAAAAACGTTCTCTTCAATTTCTTCACCTCTTGCACCACTGTCTCTGTTACTTGACTAGCATATGCTGCTGCTGGTGCGGTTGAAGCTGTTGTAGCTGCAATGGTTGCAGCCGCCTCACTAGAAACTGGTCCAGTCCAATGACATCTCTTGTGACCTCCAAGAGCTTGACCTGTTGGGAAGCTTTTATGACAAATGTTGCAAACGTGATCTCCATTGTTGCTACTGCTTAAAGATGTGTTTGATCCTTGAGCGCTAGCTAAACCGGTTATTATTGCTTCAGTTCCAAGCAATGAAGCTTCACCGTTTGCCCTAGCTTGATGATTCTCCAATATCTTGACCTTGTTGTGACTTGCTCTATGACCTCCTAAAGCTTGATAAGAAGTAAAAGACTTGTTGCAAGTCACACACACGTGCTTCTCACGTGCACCACCACCTTCCTCAGCTGCAGCAACAACCACCTCAAGCTGATGATGATCATGAGTTGATGATGATTCTTTATCCATCTCAGACAACCTTTTCTTCTTCTTCTTCCTCCTCTTCTTCATCATCATCTCTTCAACGGAATGTGAATCAGAAGTCTCTGTAACATCGAGATCAACAGCTTCTGCAGTAGTAGCTAAGATCAATAGATCCTTAGCATCAATATCCTTCATATCTTCTGATCTTGGATCCTTCAAATCTGATTCACCAACCTTGAAAACACTTCTCCTTGCTCTCTTCCCCCATCCTTTAATCGATTCTTTAAGGTCAACAACGTTTTCAGATTCCCAATGATTATCCCATAACTCCGAGTTCTCATCATCATCATCATCTTCATCTTTATCATTATCATCATAGTCATCATCATCATAATCCGAGCTTATAAACTCACCATGATCATGATCATCAATAGAGAGTGTAGAAGACGAAGAGTAACCAAGTGGATGAGGAGGAGGCAAAACTCCTTTCCATCCTCTGTCTGGATGAAACCTCATGTGTCCATATAAAGCCTTCATTGATGTAAACTTCTTATGACAAACACAACAATCAACTTCTAATTCATCTCTCTGATCAGATCTACCAACCACACCAGACTCCATCTTTGGTCTCACCATAGCCAATTTTCGAGCCTCGAGCACATGAATCCGTTTATGACCTCCTAAAGCTTTACCTGACTTAAACCTTTTACCACATTCACAACATATGTGCTTCTTCTCTTCTTCTTCTTCCACATCTCCTTCTTCGAGATCCATGCTCTTAGCTCCATCATCTTCTTCTTCTTCTTCCTCGAGACCGATGCTTTTTGCTTCTTCTTCTTCTTCTTCTTCTTTAACTTGATCTTCTTCTATGTCTTTTCCTTTTTCAGCTATGAAAGGTTGGAAGTTGGGAATTCTAACCTTAACAGATCCGAATCTGGGCCTCCCAAGTGAGAATCCACAGTTGGTTTTGTATCCACGTAAGTGTTCCATTGCTTTCGAAGCTTGAATCCACACAAAAACCAAGCTTAGATCGAAGCTGAGACAGATCTCACCAGCTGATAATTAAAAGTAGGGTTTTCTTCTTCTGTAGATACCCTAACTTAGTGAAGAAGACAATCTCTCACAGCTCTCAAACTAAACAAAATCTCAAAGATATGAAAATCGAAGAAAGATAAAAGAGAAATCGAAGGAGAAGCTGAAGAAGAAGTTGAAGAAGAAGAAGAGGCAATAGAGAGAAAATAAGAGGCTATGGCCATAAGAGTGAAGAAGAGTCTGTATTGTGCCTCACGTTTTTGGATGAATAGTCTCTATTTATTTTGTTGATATATAAGAAATAGCTTTTGTTATTTAAGTTTTTAATTAAATGTTATACTTTTTTTGTTAAAAAATTAAATGGTATAGTTGTGTATCGTATCTTCTTCCTTCTAGCACTTAGCCACTTACCAAACTATACAAGATATGACTTTAACCTACAGAAGGTCGTATTTGACTGTTTATACAAAACTCAATTGCTAAAGTATTTGACTAGTAAACACAGTTTTTATGGTAAATGTGTAAGCAAATACTATTATTTGATTTATGTTAATTTTACATCTTTTTATTTAATAGTAATTAGTATTACCATATTTTCTTTTGGGTATATTCAAAGGGTATATTGAGTTTCCTAGTTTGCCAAACGCGGGCGTGGTTTTTTGTGTACTTAAAGTTGAGTTCACGTTTTTTGGGTTTGGGACTAAACACGTCGAAATCGATCGTGCACTAGGGATTAGGGGAGAGTAATAATAGGTGATTAATCTCCATTTATTTTTTCGTGGGCATTGCAATTTATGGCAGTTAAATCAAGATTTTATCTGGATTTTCATTAATTTTTATTATATGAGATATCCCTTTGTATCAAAAGAAAATCTTTGATTGGGATTCCAAAGGTTTTTTTTTTTATCAAGATGGGACAAGAAAAAAGAAGTAAATTATTTTAATAATTATCTCTTTAAATCCAGTTTACGTCTTCAAAAATTACGGTTCTTAATATTTGTTTGGCCCCACGCGCTTCTGCAATCACGATCCTCTCAAATTCATACTTCCGGTTAGAGTTATACTATACATGCTTTATAATATTCATTTTCAATCCATCAATGAATTTAATTTTTTTTTTGTAACTAAGTTAACGTCTTCCCCTTTTTGTGAAATCAAATTACTTTTCTCTTTTTCGGTTTGTTTTTTTTGGCTTTTTTTGCATATTTTTTGTTTTTGTTGGTCAACAGATAAATTAAAACCCATTTTCATCAAAGACGCCATTGTTTTTCGTTCAACTTTGAAATATGTTTTGAGTCACTGTTTTTTTTTTCTTTTTCTTTTGGAAAGAGTGTTTTCAGTCATTTCAACTGCCACATATTAGTATAAGATCTAATAACAATATTTGTCCCTCCCTGAAGGTAATCTTATCTATTTTTACCTTTTGAAACATTTCCATTTTTATTCAATGCTTTATGAAAATAAAAAGTTGTATAAGAAACAACACATGTAAAATTTTTTGATACTGTTAGATACATTTAATTAATAATTATATTTTTTTGTGGATCATATTAATTAATAATTATTTGTTCATATAATATTAACAAAGAGAGACTTTTGGTATTTCTTAATTAGAATAACTTTTTTTTTTTGAACATTAGTTAGAATAACTTAGAAAGGTAAAGTATTTATCCAGTCTTACATTTATGCATATCTCATTCACCGCCTCAATCAACTCAATTAATATTTTACATAAAGGATAAATCCATAAGATAAATCAAAATTAATTTGTTCATGTAAACTTTTGCAAATCTTTTTGTACATAATTCATTCTCGTAGTTATTGCAATTTTTTTTTGAAACCAAAATACAGCACAAACTCCTGCGAAAAACAACGGTAGAGAATTTTGCGCAATGGACGAAAACTTAATGGAACAAGGCCGCGTGGAGGTAGATAGCCTTTGGGTTATCTAGTAAGTTCTTATATTCACTGGTAAGTAAATAGTAGTAATACTAACAATATATTACCTACATGTTGATAATTAATTAGTGGCCGACTTAGTGGAGGGCCACTCCTACGAGTCATTCAAGTTGTGAGAGATTTAAACTTCAAAAAAATCATAATAAAATGGAGGATCAGTGAGTTAATAGAAAAAAATCCTCTTTACAATCAATGCTTAACAACTTGTAGGAGATGTTAAGATCAACTTAGCACAGTTATTTAATTTATTTCAACTTATTTGGTATTATTTCCACACAAAATAAAGAAAAAAAACTGAAAAACAAAATGAATCTAAACAACCTAAATTTTCGAGAAGATCAATCACAGCCATAAGTAAAAATAAAGTAAAATACAAAAACCAACCAGCTACATTATACAAGTTTTTATATATCCTTCCATAATTAAGAGAATATTCTTCTAACGATATACAATCGATGCTCAATTAAGAGAATGTATCTAACTCTATGGCTTTTTGTATTTGTTTTATGGGATAAAATCTTCGAACTGGAAATCTAGAAGATCTTCGAAGGGATTGAGTTTCGACTTATGATCCCAAGGCAATTCCCAAGTCCGTGGAAAATGTACATTTTTAAAAACACAACAAAGCATATTACACAAAAGAACAGCTTCTGAATCGAACCGTAGTCTCTTTTTTTTTTGCCGGTATGATTATGAACCTAACCAAGACGGCAAATAACAGATTAATGTAAGTCTTCTTTTCTTTTATATAAATTTTATTCTTTTATCAAAGTAACGAATCGAGATAAGAGTAGTCTCTGGTTCGACCATACTCCAAGAGACTTCCATAAGTCCGGTCCCAAACACCGATGAAGAGAGATTCAGTATCTGGGCTAAACGAAATCCCAGAAATCTCTCCAAAGAAATCAATCTCTTGCTCCTTTTTGTAACCTGTTTTTGTATCATAGATATGGACAAAATCTGCTGGCTCGGCCATTGCAATGTACTGTCCGTCCGATGTGAACCTGATGGACCGGACCGCTCCAAGGTTACCTTTTAGTACAGCGACTGATTCCGACAGATTCCTTGTGTCCCAAATACGACAGGTCTTGTCTTGGTTTCCCGTGGCAAATGTTACACCGTTGGGATGCCAAGCCGATGCAAATGAATAATCCAAGTGACCTTTCAACGTCCCGACCGTCTGCAAACAAAATTCAAAACCATAAGGCTCCAACACCTAACCGGAGTAACATAGACTGTACCGGGACAAAGAATGTTAAGTGTACCTGTCCGTTGCTTGAGTCTACCAATAGACCATCTGGGTCGTCTCCCACCACTGCTACTAGTTTTCCATCAGGACTTAGGGAGCTATGCTGTTAAATTTTGCAAAGTAGAATTTTGTAAGATCGAGTGTTATTTATCCACAGGTGATTCAACAAAATGAGAAAGTGAGTGAGCTTACATTGACGGGCCAGAGATAACGGAAGAGTTGGACAAGCTGATATTTCTCCATATCAAAGTCTCTGACTCCACAGTCATTATTTGAGGCCATGAAATGAAGTGCGCCGCTAATAGGACCACGTAACTAGTTTCAGTTTCTGTTTGTCCTATCGTCTAAACTCAGAAGTCCAGAACCACCAAATTTATATGAAAGGCAAAGAGGTACCTCGAGTTTCTGTATATATCTACTGCATTGGTGATAGCATTTTCGGTGTAAGTTGTGCGTGAGCAGAAGCTCACACCAGGTCTATCAAGATGCTGTGTAGGAGAAACAAAAATGCACAAAATTAGAAAACATGAATAAGTGACTTCGTTGGAGTTTTAAATCAATGGAAAGAGAATTCAAAGCAGTTAGTGGAAACACCGCCATGTGCTATTATCCTTGAGATCCATTCAAAGCCTCTAAACTAACCTTGCAAATGAGCTCTCCCTGAAAACCACCAGCAACTAGCAGCCTTTCTTTTACTGCAAGAGTGCTAACTTGAGTTTCTGTAAATCCTTCCAGTAAACTCTCGGGATGTTTCTGAATAAAATGGAACATCGGCTTTAGATAAACCCAACAGAGACGAAAAGAAACCCAGAATTTCAATCTAATTAGATGTTTAGATAAGGCTTCAAAATCGAACCTCAGACGGAGCCACATGACCTTTAACATTCAGAATTTCATTCCTGCAACCTGTCAAAGAAGACCAGTGGCTGATAGAGTAGTTGGACAACAGGTACACATCGTGTTTTGATGTAGCCCAGACCAAATTCCTCAACTGCAGTAAAGAATAGAAAATAATTTAGCCTGACTATGATCAGCGTTCCATGACACACTGGTTCCATCAGCAATACTAGCACAGGGGAGTTTACATTTGAATTCCACGAATCACACAATGAATAAACTTTTCAATAGAAACAGGGGTTTAAGTGTAATGGTGCACTTGACAAACCTGAAAATGAAGAATGGTTGATCTAACTGATCTAGAATTCCTCCTGAACGTGTAAAAAGAGCTGCCTTTCTCAGTCTTCGTGCAGTTCTGCTTCCAATATAGAGGTCTAGATTGAGAAAAGGACAACATAGGTATATCTCCTAATAGATAACCTTGAAGAAGCATGAAATGAAACTCACCTTCATAGATGCCTCGCCCGAGTTGGGTATATTTTCATAGTTTTTATACTGTTCTAGCCTAGTTTTCCTGTACTCTTTTCTAGTAACGCTAAGTCTATCCCACGGTATCCCCTGAATGTCCTTTCCATTCCGAGCTTGAGCAGCAGAAGTATCTGCAGCCTTGTTCTGAAAAATACGTAATTGAGTGTTCAGAATATATCCAAGACAATCAGAAGACGACTAAGAAAAAAATGAGAAACAGAGGAGAACAAACCAATTGGTCGAAATCTTCAACTTCGGAATCAGATGCATCGATATCCCTTCCATCAAACTCTGCATTCATATCATCCTCCAGATCATCCATGTCGTATTCATCAGCCATATATTCATCTTCAGGTTCATCACCATTGTAATCAGACATGGTGAGATCAATTTGGAACAGAGGTGAAAACTCTCAAATCACAGAGATGAAACAACTTCCATTAAACAAGGGAAACAGAACAAACCAAAGTCAGCCATATCGACCTCTAAACCAGGCAAATCCAGCTTCCAACCTGCAATAGTAATAAATACAATCTCTGAGACGAAGATCATGCCAGTTCATAATTTTTGAATATCAAATCCACGAAATCACGCAACAGAAAACCTTTCTAATTATATCGTCGATCATTTCTCAAAACGAATTATGATATGAAATTTCAAGCTCTATGAGCATAATAAGAAGTCTCCCTTGAGAAAATTTGGATTCCAAATTCTAAATTTACGCTTACCACAACTTCAAAGAAGGAGGGACAGATTCAGTTTTCACTTCTCCAGAAATCCGAATTATCCCGGAATTTCAATTCAATTGAAAATTCCAACGTAACAAGCACAAGCAGATAGAGCCGACACAAAAGATCAAAATATTTCGATATCATGCACTAAAATCCAAACTCAAAAACACGAAAAGATAGATATGGATTCAATTAGATCGTCATCAACCCAGAAAACCCTAATTTCGAAGAGAGGGGTCTCGTCTAGTCTCACCAGGAAGAAAATAATCGGAGGACTAAAAAAATGAGAAGAAAATCGGATACCCAATCTGAAAAACTGGTTGAAAATTGACGTGATTTAGGTAATCACCGGATCTGAGGATCGAATTTGTACACAGCGTCTCAAAAAAATCTATACTCCATATATAAAAAAAAAAGTTGGTTAATTATTTTGCATCATAGACATTATATCCACATCAGCAATTTAATATCCAATAACTAATCACCACGCATTCATCTAAATCATCGAAGTTAAACCAATATTAATTTGTTTTTTATGGTTTCATATAAATAAAGTTAACAATTCTCGGTAACATTCGTAGATTCTTCTAATTAATCCCTAAAACAAGGACTGAAATTCACGAACTTTTTTGCAGAATCATGAACTTTTTGCTGTACTTCTGCATGAACCAATATATGTATATAATTTAATTATGTAATTTCGAACAAAATAAAAAGAAAACTCGAGCACGTGGTCCTGATTTTTTTCCGCACTGTGGTCACAAATATCGTTATGATATGATTGACATTTGAGTCGGTGAGTGAGAGAGTCCACTTTCGTCTTAAAGTCCAAAAAAACTTCGCGCGTGGAGTAACAGAATCATTAGCGCGCGAGTGGACACGTGTCTATATCATGAACAGTCCACGTCGTTAAGTCTCATCCCAACTAAACGTCACACAACATTTAGCCTCTCCTCTCTCCAATTTTTTTGTTTCTTTTGTCAATCAAAGAAAAGAGAAAAACGCCGTGTGTTATCAAATCTTTTCCTGATTGATTCGTTTTCTCGGGAAAATTTCTAATTTTCCTGTCCTTTTGAGGAAAAAAAACGGCGCTTCAGGGGAAATTCGGCAATGATTCTGAGGAAAGTATGGGGATCGGTGTGGAGCCGATCGAATAGTGGTAAGGACTCGGCGAGCCAAAGGGCGATTCATGTTCCTGTGTCGTCTTCTTCGTCGTCTTCTCTTGGCGCGTTCGATCAGCTACCGATGGATATTTTAGTCCAGATACTGATGATGATGGAGCCGAGAGATGCTGTGAAATTGAGCTTAGCGTGCAAAGCATGGAAATGTTTGGCTGGTGGTAATCGTCTCTGGATATTCTATCTCCAGTGTTCGCAAGATTCATGGGACGCCATTTTCTTCGCCGAGACATGTTTGCGTTCTGGATATCCCCTCCGGTAAATTCTCGAAGCTAAAGTCTTCATTTTGATGGTGAATCACTGTAAAAGATTCAAGCTTTATCTGTTTTTTTTATTGCAGAATGGTTTCTAGTCAATCAGGGGAATTGTCGTTCATGCGTATTTATGGTCAGAGGGCACAAGTTCCTGGTTCTGTAATTATTGATGGTATGCTTTTGTTTTGTTCTTTTTGTTGTTGTTCCTATTGCATTTGTATTGTTTGTTTTGTCTTTCTTTTAATTGTTCTGTATTAATAAAAAAAAAAAAAATTGTTCTGTATTTAGGTGGTTCTGGATATTGCAAGTTTGGCTGGAGCAAGTATGCTTCACCTTCTGGTCGTTCTGCGACTTTTCTGGTGAGTTAGTTCTTTGTACGAGAATCGCTTCGGTGTTTTCTTATTACAAAAGATGATAAGCTTGCGCACTTCCTCTCTTGCACACAAGATAGTTCTTACTAGTTTGATCGCCAGGAATTTGGCAACATCGAGTCGCCAATATACGCTAGGCTTCAACAGTTCTTTGCAACCATTTTCACCAGGTCTTTTTTTTTTGCTTATTTTCATTTTGTTATAGTGACAGCTAAATGATGTTTGAGTTTCTTATGAGATAGTTTTGTTACAGGATGCAGGTAAAGCCCTCTATGCAGCCAATAGTGGTGTCACTACCTCTCTGCCATTTTGATGGTTGGCTACGGCTTTACTTGTTTATCTTCTCAGGGCTACATCTTGTTTGTTCTAGCTTAATTAAGGTTTTCTTAAATTTTGTTTTCAGATACTGAATCGGCCAAAGCATCAAGGCGGCAACTTAAGACTGCTATCCTTAATGTCTTGTTTGACATGAATGTTCCTGCAGTCTGTGCAGTGAATCAGGTGAGCCTTTATTCACGCGTAAAGTGTTTTTCTGGTGATTCAGAGAACTGTTTCTCTTAGATAGGTTCATACTCCATCTCTATAGCCACATTTTCCACAGTTAAAACACAAAAGAACTAATTGAATGTATTGGCGAGATATTGGTTTTTTAATTTTTCCAGAATTTGATATGTTAGCTCACCAATTAACTGGAGATAGTTTTATGCATTCCTTGCCAAATGATTGGTTTTGCCGTTTTGTTACTATTACAGTCATAAGCCAATCATGAATGATCCGTGCTATATTTTTTCAGGCTGTATTAGCTCTATATGCTGCACGACGGACATCTGGAATTGTTGTTAACATTGGTTTCCAAGTCATAACCATCCTTCCAAGTAAGCTATTTCTTTCTCTAGGATTCAACTCCTTTTGTGTTTTTTCAATGAGGAACATTTCAAATTGTTAAAAAAGGTCTTGTGTATATCCCTCTGATTCTCTCTGCACCATTCATTAGTGTCTTAGCAACTCACTTTTGCTGGGTGTTTTGCAGTTTTGCATGGCAAAGTGATGCGTCAGGTAGGTGTAGAAGTCATCGGTTTTGGAGCGTTAAAACTCACCGGCTTCCTTAAGGAGAAGATGCAAGAGAACAATATTACCTTCCAATCGCTCTACACTGTTCGTACTCTAAAAGAGGTATTACCAATTACTTATAGTTACTGAAATTTAACTTGTTCAAAGCGCTTTGTTACTGAGATATCCTTACAAGGCTCTGCATTAGTTCACTAAACGTTGAAGATAGAAGTAACTGACTATAGCTCTTTGTACTAAATCGAATTTACATGATGATTTTTTTGTTATGCGAACGTAGAACCTGTGTTATGTGGCTCTGGATTATAAAGCTGAACTTTCAAGAGACACACAAGCTTCAATGGAAGTCGCTGGTGAAGGATGGTTTACTCTGTCAAAGGAGCGTTTTCAAACTGGGGAGATATTATTCCAACCACGTCTTGCTGGAATGTAAGGCCTACCCTACTTATTACCATCAGTGATTAAGAAAAGATAAAACCTTGAGTCATACTAAGAGATGCAATCTGAATTAGTTCTGAAACTAAGAATGGTATCATCTGACCATACAGTATACTGCAGAAATTTGTTAGCAAGTTACCACTATTTTCATCTTGAATCCTAAATTTCCTTCTTAAAATTAGCATTGTGAAGTAATATTCTGTCATTGCGTTAACAGGCGTGCAATGAGTTTGCAGCAGGCAGTCGCGCTCTGTATGGACCACTGTGATGCAGCAGGACTTACAGGTGATGATAGCTGGTACAAGACTGTAGTTTTGGCTGGAGGAAGCGCTTGTTTGCCAGGACTTGCAGGTACAATAATATTTCCTCTTGTTTTTAAGTTTATGCCATGATCTACTCGGGAATAAGTAAAAATCAGTTCTTCTTGCATACTACTTGAAAGATCTTTGAAAGCCAATCTAAAAGCGTGCTTATGGGCTTTTTGCATGTTTTGTGAGCTGTATCCAGAGAGGCTAGAGAAAGAACTGCATGACTACCTTTCTCCATCTATATGCAATGGAGTCAGAGTAATCCCTCCTCCTTGTGGCGTGGACACAGCCTGGCATGGGGCAAAGCTTATCAGTAACGTAAGCTACTATCTGAAGCCTACCCTTGTATTCATATACACACAGGGCACATTTTGGTCAAATAATATTAAGCAGTGTGGGACTGGCACTAAAGATGAGATTTAACAATTTTTCCAATCTTGTGAGCCTTACTGAACTGCATTTTTTACTAATTGCTATGCGCAGTTAAGCACCTTTCCTGGTCCTTGGTGTATTACAAGGAAGCAGTTCCGTCGCAAGTCAAGACTAATGTGGTGAATCTCTCAGAGTTTTTACTTCTCCTACGTTATATATATATATAGAGAGAGAGAGGCATGTAACTGTTAGTTCTACGGTACTTTACATGTCTTTATATAAGTCCGTATGTATAGTGATAGTGTCCATTATTGATTGCACTCCAAAGCCTATAGAAAACAATAATTTGTGAAAACCATTGTGAACAAGAATAAGATGTTACCTTTACATCTACATACTGTGCTTAAAAGAGCCTATTCTTGGTGATTTTGTAATCAGTCCTTACTTCATTGGTCGATTTATAGATAAAGATACAATGATACACACAAAAGTCATACAAATAATCATTTAGTAAATTTTTGAAGCTCCTAAAATCAAAAGAATGAGACATTACAAGTAAAACAAATCGTGGATATACAGACACTCTCTTCCTCAGGTTGTTACAAGTACATCACGTACATTCTGCTTTCTCCCGCCTTAAAACAACTTAACAAACACCAACAAAGCTGCGGAAACGGTCAGCCAAAGACGAGAAGAAGAAGCAGTGGTGGCTGCGTTTGCGTTTGCGTCTGCTGCGGATTCGGGAGGCGTAGCGGGGCACTCGAGACCTTCTTTGCCTTCTTTACACTGGTTAGCGAACAGTCCAGGAGGGTATTTTCCATAGAGGTTGATGTAACTGAACATGGTGGTTGCACAATCGTTGCTAAGGTCGTTGAGCTCTTCGGTGTAAGGACAAGCAAAGTCCTTGAAGGCGGCACAGCATTCCTTTGGTGGGAATTTGGGACCTTTGCATTGGTTCTTTATGATTGTGTAGTTCATAAACTCAAAGTTCACGGGACATGCTGTTTCCATTACAAAAAAGATGAAGAGAAATCATGTCAAAACCCAACATTACTGTCTGAAAATCAGCTATATCCCGATGAAGCAAAACGGGCAAAGAATCGCTACAGACTCGCGAGTTGGCTATTCGTAAAACGGTTTTAGGCTAATGCCATGATCCAGAGGCAAAGAGTTTTGAAGAATCAATAACAACATTTGTAGAGGTTTGAAGATCATCATCAAGCAAGGTTATAAACAGGACCAAAAGTAAAGAGCTTTATAAACACAGAATACTGACAAGTGAGAAGATAGTAATTCCTGACTCAGATGTATAATCAAGAATCGAGAATCAAGATTGTAACTTTACATATTTGGTCAATGAACATGTAGTGAAATGCGTATGTTATATATCTATATATGGATGCATAGTGATGCGGGAATGGTAACTAGCTATATCTGGATCTGTATGCATTTATTTAAGCACATTGGGATACATAAATGGAACTCTCACTAAGATCTTCATACAAGAAAGAGACTTAATACTGGAATCAAATGAAATGATCAAAACAGTAAAAATTTCCGGAAACAGATATTCTTTATTTAGATTTAAAAGAAGTTGCCTTTTTTGGTCTGTAGTAGGTTTCGTCCAATAGCCAAAGTCTGAGATTCGAACACATCATCTGCAATTAACGGGAAAAAGACAAGAAAATCGGTGAGGCATCTAACGAATCGAATAATCTCATCGGGGAAGTTGAACATTCGAATAGATTTTATGTGGAAGAAAAGAAGAAGAAAGTGTACCTGAGATGAAACTAGAGGATGAGAAGGAAGAAAGTATTGTGAGTAGAAGAAAAAAGAAGAGAGTTCTAGAGAGGAAGTTGAGCTCCATGATTCTTTGGTTACAGAAGTGACGAAGAGATCTGACAAAACAAGACGACTTTGAAGAAGAAGAGCTATGGCGAACCACGAAGATAGAGAAAGAGACAGAGAATGAAAATTAAAATATACTAAATATAAATAATATAAGAGAGGTCGATGACATTATTTAACATTGGATTACAGCCTAGAAGAACGCGGAAACTTGCGACCCTGTCTGATTCTTTAACGCCACCTCCCAAAACGTTGACGTTTAATTGTCTTAATATCCTTGATGGTTATTCAGAATACTCATCAAATTTTCATGATTTATTATTCCACTATATATTGTAGAGACAATTTGCTCAAAAATTCTAAAATTGGTCAAAATTCGGAAACTAGGAAAAACAGTAAAAAAGGAGAAAATTTGAATTCGAATTGACGTGTAGTTACGAAAAAAACCCTCAAATCGAGTTTCTCGATTTTAGACCCTATAATAATTATTTAAATAAAGAGATATTGATGCAGATAATATATGCTGGATCTATAGGGGTGCTTAGGTCAGCTACTAGGTTTATGCGGACCACATAATTTTGGTGCTCACAAAGCTATATTAATAGAATGAACAAAAATTAGATCATGTCATTGGCGTTACTAGAAATGATAGAGTGAACAAAAATCTGCAAGTAAAAATGTTAGATGATATCACATTAGGTACTCTGCTAACAAATATAAAAAATAGTGAATGAAATCTTCGTTTTTAGAAATTAACAAATGTGATAACATGATCTAATTATTGTTATAGGTTACAAAACAAAATAACACATAACACTAGTTAAACCATTACCTTCTCTTCTTCATCGAGCTCGCGTTACTAGGAATGATAGAGTGATAATGGCATCGAGCTCATGTTACTAGGAATGATAGAGTGATAATGGCATACTCGGCGTTACTAGAAATGATAGAGTGAACAAAAACATACAAGTAATTTAAATGTTAGATGATATCACATTAGGTACTCTGCTAACTAAATATAAAAAACAGCAAACGAAATCTTCATTTTTAACAGTTAACAAATGCGATAACATGATCTAATTATTGTTATAGGTTACTAGGAATGATAGAGTGATAATGACACACTCGGCGTTACTAGGAATGATAGAGTGAACAAAAACCTGCAAGTAATTTAAATGTTAGATGATATTACATTAGGTACTCTGCTAACTAAATATAAAAACAGTGAACGAAATCTTCGTTTTTAGCAGTTAGAAAATGCGATAAAATGATCTAATTGTTGTTATAGATTACAAAACAAAATATCACATAACACTAGTTAAACCATAACTTTCTCTTCTTCATCGAGCTCACTTACATCGTCGTGTACATCAGACTCATCTTCACTGTCACTGTCAGAGTCCCTAGACGGAGTTTGAACAACTTCAGTCAGAGTTGGAATGGCCGCCATCATTACCAGCTGAATCGCATTAAAAAAAAAGCTTTTCACGGCGATTGTCTTCTGCGACAACTCCAACTCATCCTTGGATTTAATGTTAGAGACTAGCAAATCGAACCCAAAACTCCCAGAGAAAGAAGGCATCTCCATGGTCGCTAGCAGCCTCCCCAACTGGGAGTCCTTGAGCTGCTTTACTTCATCTTCATCAAAAGCATTAATAATGGTCTGAACTGATTTGGATTATTGGTAAGAATTTACCTTTTCTCCGATCGGTTTTTAACCGGCGGCAAACATCCTCTCTGGTAATTGAAGATTGGACATCGGCGTGAAATCTATAGAGGAATAGAGTAAGAAAATCAAATTTGGGTTTAACAACAAAAATGAAAATTCTAAAAAGGATAAACTTACAAGCACAACTGGCTACGGATTTCGGGGGGATCTGGACCTTTCAGAAGCAAATTGGAATATAATAGTTGAAGAGGAATAGGGGTAATCACGTTATATTAAAAAATATAAAGGACATAAATAGTGGATTTTTCCTATATGCCTAATTATGAACAGTCCTGTGGTCATATAGCACATTTACTTTATATTGTAAGTATGTCAAAACTATATATTTAGAAATTGAAACATAATTCATATATTTAGAATCCGATTTTTAACGGTTATGGTATTTTAGTTTGAGTATTCCACCATTTTACTATTAGTATGATGGATGAATTAGTGTACAGTAAAAGACTTGTGACTTTCTTTTTGGCTGCACACAGTGGATCTACGTTAAAAACCAAAAACAGACAATTAATATTCCCTAAAAAAATAAGTAGAGTTTCTATATTTATGCAAGGTTATGATTACGAATGTTGCTATAATTAGAATCAGATAGGCTCATATCTTTTCAAACAAACTTTTTTACGGAAACGCCTGTTTAGGCCGATGCCGAAGTCTGAATAACTCGGAGCCATGTGTTTTTATATCATCATCAATGCACCATTTCATTCGGAGCCAAGTTACTAACACAAATGTTTTTTTTTTTATTTCTAAAAGAAAAAGAAGGGTTTCACACATATTCGTTATACTAATATTAGTTCCACACACGGGAATTTACTGATGTTTACAAGGATGTGAGCAAAAAAAAATAAAAAGAACAGAAAAATCCCAAAAGGTCTGCGTATAGATTGTTGAGTTTTTTTTTGTTGGTATACTGCTGTTCACAAAAAAAAAAAATACCCTCAATTTCTGTAAATTAACAAGTCTCCGTTTTAAAGGTTTCGTTATGACCAAAATCCAAAAGCTTCAGATACAGCATCGCTTTCTTCGCTGCCAACATAGAAAATCAGTTGAAAAATCAAAATCGGGTTTTAACTCGATTAATTCAATTTCCTTTTATGATTATTATTTCACTACGTGAAGAAAAAAAAAACAATTCAAATTTAAGAACAGAGGAGTGAGTGGGTTTACTTCTTGGTAACCAAACTCGAGCTGTTCTGTGATCTGAAGCTGTTTTGTTAACGTTAAATGTAATACCTGAAACAAAACAAACACACACACACAAATAAAGAGATGAATTCACTAATACTATAATAATATTAGCATCAAGTCAAGATCGAGAATGTACGTACTGATTTGGTTTTGTCGAGATCGAGTTCTAGAGACTTGATCCTCTCAAGCGATTCCGTTAATAGCTTCTCGTTTTCTTCCGGGATTTTTACTGGCTTTTTACTAATCTCTGTCAATTCTTCCTCCAGCTTCTTAAGACGATCTAAACACTGTATAATCTGGTTATTCATCGATGAATCTGAAACATCGACACAGTTCTGTCTTTGCCAGTATCCAGGTAATAAGAAACTAAAGAGAGCAAATAGCTTCAGTGGGAAGGCTATTAGTATCTTCACCAAGTGAATGATGTTCTCGCCTTTGATTTTCTCTCTAAGAGCATCACTAAACCGTAGAATCTGACCACCTGAAATGTGACAGTGATCATAATAATGAGCTTTCTAGTAGCGGTTAGAATCTATATAAACAGGGCACGTAGAAATAGAAACCAAACCTTCTCTTCTGGATATATTTGCAGAAGAAGAGTTTCCAGTGTCCGTGTTAAGTAACTGGGCTTGAGACCATTCTCCTTGACCCGGTTCTGCAGATTCCACGGTGGTAATGAATTTATCACCGTCTGATGTACTAGCCTGCACAAAAGAGGCTTCGTCAAAAAACTAATTGAAATAATATGTTTTGAGAAACAAACAGGTCGAGAAGAAATTTCGGTTCTGATAAGCACCTTATGAGAGAGTGGAGGAACTAAACTGTACATTGAAGATCTTGACCGAGTGGAAGAGTAATGTTCTTCAGTATCTGGCTCTTCTTTTAAAGTTTTGATACATCTTTCCTGACAAGAATTTGAGTTACTAGAGAATTGTACCAAACATAAAAATAAAACCTCAGAAATTAACAGAGCTCACTTGAGGCGGATTCATGCTAGTAGCGGAATCATTCTCTCTAATATGAGGAGGCGCTCTTGTATTTTGCGGTACAGGGGTTACTTCCATGTGATGTACGAGCTGCAAAACGAGACACCGATAATATTAGCTCAAACTATCATATTCCCTCATCGGATTCCTGAATATTAACAAAAACAAAACGGAAACATGCCTCAACTATTTCAGGATCATTCCATGGCCCTTTGTTAGATCTTAAGCACCCTCCTTCATTAGGACATTTGCATAATCCTCCCAAAAATTCTGGAAGTTGACTGTGTGCAGAGTAAATAAAAGCAGTAATTAATAACGTTAGTATATGCCTTTAACAAAAAGTTGAATGAGGTTATCTCTGAAAAACAAAAACTTATGAGGTGAGCTACACCAAATTAACCTGGAATCAATTGCTTCAAGTAACTTTGACAAGGACTTTGGCTCCAAAACCTGCGTATTACACGTCATGAGTGGCTGCTGACAGTAAACAGTAGAATATATGCTTAAAATCAGAGCGATAATGGTTACTTGTATCTTTGCAATAGTCATCGGATCAAGGACCTTCTGGGCGGCAGGCCAAAGTAAATTCCTGAATCCAATCCCTGCATTGACAATGAACATTCGGTGCAAAGTCTGCAAGAGTCAGAGAAATATTACAAACTTTTAGAGCAACCGAAATATCCATGTCCACACGGCTCATTGGGTCCATGAAAAAAATCCCCTCTCCTTTTATGCTTGGAGTAGAGTAGTAACAGAGACTGTATTCTTCAAAAGAGTTAGTTACCTCAGGGTAATAATTGCAATCTACTTTAGCAATGGAGGCGAGGAGGTTCGCAGCTGTGGGAGAGAAGTTCTTCATACCCTGAGTCACCAGTAGAGCGATGTCATAAAATCAAGAAAAAACCGTGTGATCACTTTTTAAGAGCATCTACAGGAGTTTACCATACCAGTCCTTCAACATCTAGTATTGTGGTTGTTGTAGTGACTCGTCGCTTTGCTGCAATGGAACATGCAGGGAGCCTCTCTAGAAGGGCCCTCTCAAATTCTTGCACATGGTACTTCAAGTATCGCTCTATCGTTGTAACATCCATAAGCTTACCGGGATGAGCTTTTCCGAGCCTCTCGATATAGAGAGGTCTACCATCTTTATCAACTCCATGATACCCCTGAGGATAGTGCCGTATAACCTTGTCCAACTCTTTGAAATTAAAATCCTATTAGATCGAGTTGTGAACTGTTGTTAGACCCAAGAGCAATACACCAAAACATATTTTAACTTACTTTCTGTAACCACAGAGTGGTGAAGAAACAGCTGAAAAAACCATATCCCTTACCTGTATTATTCGATCTGTTCCAAACTCTTTCCTCCATTTGAGCATTTCTTCCCATGCTGTGACAGTTTTCTCGATGTTAAACTCCGTATTCTTCAAAAACCTTAGTAATCATAAGAGTACAGTTAACAGATTAGAGAACACAACAAAAGCATTAAGAAATTCTTCAGTTCTATGATAAGAAAAGGGTTTCTGAATCAAAAAGCTTTACTTTTACCTCAACAGCATATGATAATCATCATGCCTTGGAGGCAACAAATCTTTCTTGAGAAGTTCTTGACGCAATTCAAGAACTATCCTCTCCTCTTCCTCGTCTCTAACGTCTTCAATGAGAGGAATTTGGTAGTCGATTATCCGTTTGCCTTTACGCTTTAACGGGTGTGTAAGTTTACTCGAACAGCTAATCGCCTTCTTTCTCAGGCTCCCGATTCTACAACGCCAAGGCTCGTCCTCTGTGCACTCAGAATCTGATAATCTCTCTCTTGCACCCTCACAACCTGCAAATATATTCATGTTTTTATACAACAAAAAGGAAAAAATGATAGCCAAAGAAGCTAATTTTATTTTCACACTCATTCACTTACCTGACATATTCAGGATCAGTCAAAACGTCTCAATACTGATTCGTATTCCGCAGAAAACTTCAAAACAAAACAAGAGGCCTAATCTGCCACAGAATTGCCGCAAAGTATTCAACACACAAGTCGAAATCAAAACACTCGAGACTAAATTCCTCGAGAAAAAAAAAAAAGAAGAAGCAATGCAGATGAAGGTTACAAAACCTACAAAACCCTAACGAATCATTCAAGCAAGGTCGATTGCAAAAGTCGAGCAGGCGAGAGATTTTTTTAAAAATAGTAACAAAAGGTGTAACAGAGAACATAAGCGAAAAGGATAAACGACGGTTATACCTCTTACTATAATACAAAGAGATCCGTAGAGAGAAATCAGAAAAAAAGTTTCTATAATCAACAGTTTCTCCGATCTCGAGAGATTTGAGATTTTGGAAAAAAGAAAGAAAACAAAAAAAAAGGATTTCGTGCACTTTTATGTTTCTGTGTCTCTAAGAGGGTTTTCTTTTTTTTTTGTAAAGTATTTGGGGACTCTGTTTCTTTCTTCAATTCAACCATGAAAATGAAATGGTCGACATGTCTCATTCGCTCTATTTAACTCCTTCCACGCCATTTTTTTATAAATAAAATAAAACAATTAAATAAATAAGAATCCGACGTCGTTTTTTACGCAGATGAACCAACTCGACCTTGTTTTCTGGTTCAATTTGGTAATAATCGCCTTTGCACACGTTTTCTTCTACGGTTTTTATCATCGCGTGTACAGTGTGTATATGCTTATTTCGCATTAATTGTTTACCACCATGCGTTTCTTTAAATGTCAGACGCATCTTCTTTAATTGATACCAAAATTCGTCTTCATCTCCAAAGTGAAACAAACCAAACCAACTTAGATTTTAATTCGGTTTCTCGTAAAATATTGTAAGATAGAATAAAAGTATCATTGTATCTGTTGCATACCTTAGGTCACCGAACCCCACAAACATTTTTAATGGTGGCTTATTCATATTTTTTTTTCTCTGTCAGTTTGAATATATTATGTATCTTTGTCAGACACACGTACACCAGTGGAAAAGACAAATAAATAGCTAAATTCGTACACACTTTAATACCTATAATCATATTGAATTTTTCAGAGAAAACCGTACCTATTGAGTATTGATAAACAAAAAGTCTTATTCAGTTGTTTTACTCGAGACTTTTCTAATCTTAAAAAGACTTAATAAATACCATACAGAGACCTGTTAAGATCATCAAGATATATGTTGGTCCAATATAAATTTCTGTGTATAACAAATCTGCAAACTTGTGTATTCTTCAACACTAGCAAGAGAGTGACTCATAATAATAGCCAATCATTGGCCAAAAGCATTAGAAGATCTCAAATGTGTCAATAAGGCATAATAACGATCATGTACACACCCAACACACCACACACGGCTTAAGATATGAAACTAATAAAAAGTAAAAAAGTAACCAAGCAAGAGCCACGCTCAGGTTTTTCTTATTTTCTCCTATTCTTAGACAATGCGCATATGCAATGTACTGGTGCCGGGTATTACTGCCAATCCATCCATCATCCCATTGCATACTTCTGGGTCCAGGATCGGGCAGTGGTCTCGTACTTGCTGCGGTCTGTCTTGTACATGTGAGCTATTTCAGGAACCAGAGGATCATCAGGGTTTGGATCTGTCAGCAGTGAGCATATCGACAGAAGAACCTGTGGCAAATGCAGACCAACTTTTTAGCACTTTAGCTGATATGCCGAATAAAAAGAACATCACAAGTATCTTCAAGCAACTCGCTAATGAACAATATTTAAACATACAAAATGAAAATCCGGATATCATGTCATGAAGGCCTTGACCATTATAACATAAGGTAACTCCTGATAGAAGAGATAGCTATTCGAGAATTTAATTGCCTTCTACGATATCACGACATTTTAGACCAGGAACCCAACCAAATATCAGTTACATCTATATGATCAAGGCCTTTACTAGACCCAAGGGATTGGGATGTTTGTTCATAAAACAAGAGATTAGCTATATCAGATTACCAAAACCAGAGAGAATGGACAGAGACATGAACTCGAGAAAGTGTAATGGAGAACAGAGTGATAAGATAGAAGCAAGTATGGAAGGTGAAACAATTTAATCACCTTGGATATGGTAAGTGCAGGGCTCCACTGCTCTTTCAGAATGTCAAGACAGATACTCCCATTACTGTTGATATTCGGGTGATAAACCTTGGTGCGGAAAGAAACCTACATCATAAAACAATAATTGATGATTGCCATTTGTCACAGAAAAAATGCCTAATTGATTGACCACTCGCTCTAAGCACAAGGTGAATGATAAACTAATCCAATAAGCCCCACAAATACAGAACGTAAAATAGCAAAATCGTTACCTTTGGTGGCTTGAAGGGGTAATCCGGTGGGAAGTGAATGGAAACAAGAAATACACCTCCGGCGAATGGGCTATCTGTTGGACCCATAATTGTTGCTTGCCAGTGGAACATATCATCACCCACAGGACCTAATAATAGCATCACCAATTTATTTAAATCTAAACATCTCACACTGAAACTTTTCGAGGAAAGACCATTCATTATCCTAAACTGATAATGAATTTGCTAAATCAGCTCCAATTTTGAGAGAAGTTATATACAAACCCAAGTGTTAAAGTGGTGTGCTTTCATAGAGTATAAGATAAACGGTGAAAAACAACGATCATACTCACCGGCACTGCATGAGACTGGAGGATCCCTTTGCAGGTCCCTAAGCTCCTTGTTAATTCTTTTCGAAGCCATATCTACAATTGTCCTCGCTGCAGCTAGCTACAAACAATCAAAGTCTGATCAAGAAAAGAAATTTCCATAGTGATACATGTATAGTAGAAGCACGAGCACTACGCAACAGAGATTTAGATTACGGTTATCATTAAAAGAAGATTATTTATGCGAATAAGTTAACAAGAGGTATGGAACAACTAAAGAAAATAATATAAAAAGACACATGCAAGCTTGACAATCATCCGATGATACGAGACCAGAAGAAACCAATCAGGAAACTATACGGATAATGCATTCAGAATCCAAATTAAGATGTTATTAGATGATTCAAGCCCAGCAAAAAAGCCGATCAGAGAGGTTAATAAGTAAGATACTGTTTCCGATCACACAGAGGCAAATCATCGAACAATTCAGAAACTATACAGAAATTACACATCAGTAAAGCGTTACCGTACGAGAATATTCTAGAAACACGAGATAGAACAAATCGACGCAACAGATTTCGAAAGGAAACAAAACCGAGAGAGAGAAAAGGAGGGAAAGAAACAGAGATCAACGACGAAGATCGGGAATTGGGAAAGGAATAAACCCTTTGAAGAAGAGAAACGATGATCCAATCTAATTTTGACCTACCTTTCTTTTAGGGTTTTGAATTGATCTTCGGAAATCTCAAGGGGTTGTTTCGAAGATGAAGTTAAGCAGTCGATACGCTTTAAATAGATTCTCATCATTCGAGCGGTGAAGCTTTGCCACGTAGCGAGATGATTCCAAAACGGGCCCATTATAAGGCCCAATATTATACAAATGGAACCCATTGCCTTTTTGCATCTCTGCAAAATAGTAACTTAACAAATGCAAAATAGGAAAAACAAAAATTAACATTCCCTACATATGTATGTCTTTTGAGTTTTGACCAGAAGAAAAAAAAGAGAAGAAAATAGAATGACTTTTCGGTCAAGATTTTCTTTGAATGTCAATGAAACAACAAGCAGTTTTAACGTCACTAAATCATCAAATTCAAAATATTGCTGAACGGGGATAAACAAAGTTCATGATCACGTCCTTCACAACTCAGGCTTTGAGTGATGGTTATCTTCTGGAACAGAGTCAAATTATAGCAAGTAAGGAATGGTACGTTATGACTCACTTGATCACGAGGACAACGTGTTTTGTACTAAAATTACGAAACTGCCCTCGACAACTTATATTTATCTTACTTCGGAATCTGGTTTAGCTGGTTTTCATTGAAAGTGAGAGAGATCCATCATTACAAAATCTCATTTTATTGGTTAATCGGCGATTACATAAGACCCGGATGGAACAAATCAATACAAGCCTTTCTTAGCTCCCAATAATCCATCTTCCGCTCTTGACTTTTGAGTTTGAATAAGCATGTTTGGTCATCTGTGAAAGAAGCTGCCTTGCATTACAAGAAACCGGGGTTTTGTGGGGATTTCGATTAACAAGTACCTGTATCTACGTTCTAATTACTCAGTTCTCTCATTCTTTGCATTGCGACTATGTATTGATCTCTAAACCCAAACGGTTCATTCATAATAACCAAACCGAATGATTTATTGATAGTTCAACCGATTGATCTAGATAAAAACTGTTTGGCGACTAATTAACCAACTAAGGGGTGCTATTCAATCATGAATTTAAAATGAATTTTCTATGATTTATAATCTTCTAAATTTAAAAATTGATATCAGTTTGATGGATTTATTTGTTTAGATTCTAAAATCTCTGCAATATACACTGGATTTTGATTCTAATAATTTACTCATAAAACTCTATTAAAATTGATTTGAAATGATTTAATGTACAAAGATTTTAAAAATTATTTAGTTTTGAATAACACTGGATTAGAAAGATTTGAAATCTTTATTGAATAACACCAAACTTTAAAACCTCTTAAATATGATTTACAATCAAAAGAACCAATAACACTTGATTTTAAAACATTATTTAGAATTATTAGTTGAATAATAGTAAATTGTGGTTGGATTTAAATTCTATTAAAGACCATGATTGAATAACACCTCCTAAATCGACTAGCCTGTCAATTTTAAAATTAAAGTTGATTTCAGTAATGAAAAGGTGAAAAATACTCGAGAACAGAATATTATAACGAAACAGACTTTACTTTGACGTTTATGTATCCCAAAACATATTATCATTACCAGACAGATACCAATACCAATCATGATTTTATGTTTATTTTTTACACTTAACAATACGAAGCTTATAAAATTCCCTTGGGAATCGAAATCCAACTTTGACCTTCCTAAAGAGAAAAAAATAAAATAAAATAAAGTAAACAAGCCCAACCCAAAGTCTCGGAGAGAGACAGAGAATCATCATGCCTTGTATTTCCTTGAAATGTTTGTCATCTGGTCTCTCCCCGGGACAATGATAAATAGACAAACACATTCATAATCATATATACAACACTTGTATTCCAGGGACAAGAGAACAGTACCGTGTACTCAAGAGTGATATGGCCTTTTTGTGTCGAATTGGATCGGTTTCATATTCTTTTAAGATGTGCGAGACCACGGCATTTGGTTTTTTTCACCCTTCTCTTGTTTTGGCTCTCTTCATGCCGAGGCTATTGTAAGGAGAAACAGAACCAGACATTGGAGATCCTTCTTCACGAAGAGTTCCATTGAGCAATGCCAGCTCGCGCAGCTGCTGTTTCTTGTAGAAATCATGAGTTTCCTCCTTAAAACAGAAACCGAATAGTGTTATAACTTTATAAACCATACTATTATTAGCCGGTTTAAAAACCAAATGGAGAGGGAGCTAAAACAAACCATAGGAGTGAGAAGATCGTCGAGTATTTCGCGAGCTTGCATGAGACGTGCATCGACTATCTCAATCGGTAATTCTGCTTCGACTAAGATATGAAGTGGCTCGTTTAAGTGCTCGAATCCAGGTTTTCCTCTCATCATTTCCTCCTACAAGAAGAAAAAAATATTAAGGCTTTGAACAAGCATTTGAATATGGATACAAATGAAGTCGTAAAGGAATAGTAATAAATACCTTCATTGGATCTTTTATACTGCCTCTTCCTCTTATAAGAACACGGCAATCAGTACTTGCTTCAACTCTCTTCAGGGAGTTTCCTCTAGGGCCCAAGAGGCGACCAACAAAATTGTACTGTCATATCAAAAACTTAAAGAGTTATATTCCGACCAGATAGTATACATGTAAACACATTCTCAGTGTAGAAATGAGAGTTCATACATTTGGGTAATTGTCGACTGGAATATCGACCCTAATTGTTCGCTTGGCGATCAGACCAGAGGGACTACCAGGTGAGTTAAGCCAATTTGGTCCCGGAGAAGATGGAACAGATCTCTACAAAAGATCAACCAACACAATCAAATGCCATATTAACCTTAGAGCATAAGGACCTGTAAATCAACATACAGTAGCAACATCAATAGGAAACAATATCGGAACTTCCTTTCCATGGAAATGAGCACTCTATCGAGGCGTTTCAACCTGTAACTGCTATATCCTAATAATATGCATACAGTGTTATATGAGCATGTTATAGCAAATCACAGCATCATTTCAATCCTGCTCGCCAGGGTAGTGGATATCTAGTTAGAGTTGATATAATTAAGACAAGATCCTGTACAAACACTACAGGTATTAGTGTTAGCCAGAGCTAAACTAGGACTAAAAGTAGTCAAATATGTTGTTATGTCAGCACAACTAAGTCAATAAAACTTTTATTGCAGTAATATGAATTAGAGTTATGTTAATGGTTAGTAGTCATACTTCTGATGGAAACTGTGAGGCCCATCCGCTCAGGTCAGCTCTTGCATTCTGATATATCCCTCCCGAAGACAGAGGGCTAGGGTGGTCTAGCCCGCTCTGACTTAAAACTGTGGCATTCTCCAATAGTGTGGTTACACGCAAAATCTCTGTTCCAAAAATGTCAATTTCCAAGAGAGTAAGACGCACCAGTTAGAATTAGTCAACAAAAATCAGTTAGCAGGACACCAATGAATGGAGAGAGAGACATCACAGTTAATTGAGTTAGCAAAGAATAGTATATTTTTCCCTCACTCTAGTTGTATAGAATGACAGAAGTCAGTATATATTTTTCAAATAATTAGCACTGTCATTTTGTGTTCTAGTTCTAACTTGAAGTACTTTTGAAAGGAAGGAAGACATATAGTCTCTCTGTATTAGTAAGATTTGTTATATAGTTTCCAGCTGCTAGCGAGACGGTCTCTTATAGGAGCATGGATTAAGTATCTATGAGAGCTTCATAGTTCTGAAGTAAAGAATGACATATTCAAATACATGTAATAAACAAGACAAAACAGCAATGCTCACCCTGGTTTAGTAGCCGACATGCATGTGGAAGAACGGGCAAGAATGGTGTAAGATTATGACGCTCTGCAAGTAACTCTGAAAGATACCTGCCATTGCAATAGTACCCAAATTAAAGACGCATCAAACTTATGAGAAGATCCACTCAAAAAGCTCATCATGGTCAAGAAACCAATCCAAATTTTCAAATCTGTGCAGCTAGATTCAAAGTCCCATTCTTTTAGTGAAGTGGATCTAGTCAAATGTGAAGTTAACAGTTTCATCAGTCAAGAACACAAACCAACAATAACAGAAGGAATAACCAATGATCTATAAATCCACCATAACACTACAAAACTGATGCTTAAAAGACACACACACACACTAAAAAAAAGTGAACTGGATTGAGACAAATCTGAAGCAGAATGAGCTTAAAATGAAGCAGAATTTAGCTCCCAAATGTTGAGATTCAATCAAAAGAATCAGGATAGAAACATAGGTAAACAAGCAGAAGAGAAATAAAACACAGAGAACCCAGATCAAGTAAATTTTCAGATTTGCGATGAACAATTGAGATCTAAGTATTAAAAAAAAAAGATTAACATACGCCATAAGATGAATCAGCCACAATAAAATTCACAAAATAAAAGGAAACAAACAAACAAAAAAAAGAAGAAGAAGATGAAAACTGAGATTCAATTACTTCTCCTGCTCAACGAAGACGGAAGACTGTGATCGAAGAACACCGGAGAAGTTAGGCGACTGAGGAGCAGAAGGAGGAACCGAAAGAGACGACGAATACGTCATAAACCTTCCTCCGCCGCCGCCACCAACTCCACCACCACCACCTCCTCCTCCACCACCACCTCCAAGCGAAGTCATCATCATCATCTCGACGGAAAGTTCAAGAAGAATTAGAGAAGAGCCACCGGAGATCGGAAGATGAAGCGGCGGAGTAAAGAACAGAAGCTGTTGTCTCTAACGTCGGTGGATTTTAGGGGTCCATTTTATAGAGAAGACTGATGTTGTGTAGGTTCTGTAGAAATGATTAGCTGTTTTTTAACTTACGCAATTTTTACCGCTCTTGTTGGTTTCTTTGAGAAGCCTCTTAATCATCTAGAAGGGCCGGTTTACTGAAATTCGATTCGGTGGAGCTATACCGGAACAACGAAACGCTGCGTTTAGGAAAGCGAAGCTCTGTACATTTCAGTGAGCCGCGAAAGGTTGAAGAAGGAAAGTGGAAGAAGAGTTGAAACAAAGAAAAAAAAAATGGAAGAGACGATTCCTTTCAAGAGTTTACATAGCAGGGAATATCAAGGTCACAAGAAAAAGGTTTTTATTTTTTCGATCCTCATCTGATTTTTTCTGTTTTTTAAAGAACTTGCGAAACCCTAGCTTCTTTGCTTAATCTGGGGGAGTTTTTGATTGTAAGGTACACTCGGTGGCTTGGAATTCTAATGGGACAAAGCTTGCTTCGGGCTCGGTTGATCAAACGGCTCGTATTTGGAACATCGAACCTCACGGTCATGTAATTTCTTTACCTTTGAGCTTGAAATGTTTGTGTGTTAGTGATTTTACATATGCACAAGTGCTGAATTGTATAAATTAATGGTAGTTTTGATTCAAATGAGACTTCATTTGATTCAGTATTTCCTTTTGGAGTTTGCTATTAGTGGAGTTTTTGGATGCAGATTGTGTTTCAAATCGATTATTATCTTCGTCATTGACACTACGAGTTATGTACTCTTTGTAATTTGATGATTTATGGGTGTGTGGATACAGAGTAAGGTCAAGGATCTTGAACTAAAAGGCCATACTGACAGTGTGGATCAGCTATGTTGGGACCCAAAACATTCAGATCTGCTTGCTACTGCTTCTGGTGATAAGAGCGTTCGTCTCTGGGATGCTCGCAGTAAGTTATATTGCTTTGTCTATGGAAATTTAAAATGTAAAAGGCTTGAGATTTCTTGGTTTAGAAATCTGTGGTTTTACTAATGGATGAGCTTTGTGTCATTTACAAATGTTTCTCGCAGTCTTGGCTTTTGCTCTTGAGTTATTTCGTGGAAACTTATTGATTGATGAGAATATGATTAGTTATAAGTTTCTAAGAATGATAAACTAGTTATTTAGCCAGATTCCATAATAGAGAAATTTTAACAGGTTTTCGTTTATGTAGCTACTATTGTGTGTGTTTTAGTATCAATATAAATTTGCTGAGAAATGTCTTCTTCGAGTTACACAGGTGGGAAATGCACACAGCAGGCAGAACTTAGTGGGGAGAACATAAACATCGCCTACAGACCTGACGGGACACATATAGCTGTTGGTAATAGGGTATTGTCTCGAGCCCCATGTCCATACACTTGCATTGTTCCTTACTAGAGTGTTTTATGCATTGCTTGATGGATTCCTTTATCTGTGGTTGTTCTTTCTCTTACTGGCCAATATAGGATGATCACCTTACCATTCTGGATGTCCGCAAGTTTAATAAACCTATATTCATGCACGAATTCCAATATGAGGTAACGAAAGCTCAGAGTCATGTTAATCTTAATTAGTGGCTTTCTTTTTGGTCTGTTCTATTTTAAGCTCCTGCGGTTATATTTCACCTACCTTCCTTCTTCATGTAAAAATCAGCTGGGTTGTAATAGTTAGTTCATGCTTTGGAATATGTACCACAGCGGAGAAAATAATTTTATGGCGCTGTATGGAATGGTTCCTTAGCTTTGGTTTTCTTGTAATAGGTAAATGAGATTGCTTGGAACATGTCGGGAGATCTTTTCTTCCTGACCACTGGACTTGGTGAGGACTTATATTCTGTTCTTTCTTCCTGCACACAATTCCCTAGCTTAGTTTTATATGTTCTTGAACTTGATACAATGATCTTATTGGAATGTTACTTTCGTATGTTCTTTTGTTCAGGCACTGTTGAAGTTCTTTCGTATCCAGATCGTCTCCCACGTGACACTCTTACAGCCCACACAGCCGGGTGCTATTGCATTGCAATTGATCCTAAAAGAAGGTAAGAAATGTTTGCATTCTCTGTCTTAACCACCTGAGCCACAAATTATTGAAAATTTTCCGGTTACATCCGATTCCTCTCTCCTTTACCTTAACAGATACTTTGCTGTTGGGAGTGCGGATTCCTTAGTCAGCCTTTGGGATATCTCAGACATGCTTTGTTTGAGAACATTTACCAAACTTGAGTGAGTCTCAGCCTTCAAGAGTGTGAATTCTTAGTCAGGCTGATATTTCAGATTAAAAAGTTTAGTTTCTGTCTCATGTTAGTAAATTATTATTATTTCTTACAGGTCACCCGTCAGGACAATAAGCTTCAACCATACAGGAGAATACATTGCATCAGCCAGTGAGGATTTATTTATAGATATTGTAAGTTTACTTTTCAGACTTAAAACACTGTTAGTTATATAGTTTCCTCGATGTGAGATTAGTGTCTCATATCTGACCATTAAACAGTCTAATGTCCAAACGGGGAGGACGGTGCATCAGATTCCATGTCGGGCTGCCATGAACAGCGTTGAGTGGAATCCCAAATACAATTTACTTGCATATGCAGGTGATGACAAGAATAAGTATACTGATGAAGGTACTGCTTGCATAGTGATACTTCATTGTTAGCAGCAACGCAAACTTCTTAATATTGGCTGCAGAAAATGAACAAACTCTCTGGATCTCTTTTGCAGGTGTTTTCCGGGTATTTGGTTTTGATAGCTCGTAGGAACAGCACACCGCATCTGGAAACATGATAAGCAACTCTGCTCGACTCTTGGTGAAATCGGAAAAAGTTTATGTGCCTTGTGTGCTACTAAATATGTATTAACAGTATCACAAGTTCGATTCTTACAGTAGTAATATTACATGGAAAGTTTTAAATTCTGATTTTATATGAATCTGGCATTTTATTTGATGCTAAAGTGGTTACTGCTACACAAGCTGTGGCTCTTTATTACAAAAGAAAAAAAAATGAAACTTTATGATCAAGATCAGAATTTGATTCCGAGTTACATATCTATATCTAGCGTCAGACATATGATCTCTGCTATGTGTGAGCGTATTGCTGTTAAAAGTAACAGGCTGTTCTTCAGTCTGGGAGATTGGACAGCAACTCTCTCAAGCTTTTTGCTAAGATCGGACCAAAAGCTTCATCCCCACAGCGGAGGTTGAAGAAAGAATGCACAATCCTGAGAAATGTATAAACACATTTATCACTGAGAGAGTCCGGATTTGGATAAGTAACGAACAAGTGCAGACTATTTGCTTACCCGAAAACAACAATGAATAGTGAGAGTTGTTCTGATCTATCAAAATCCGCAGAGGATGAACTTTGAGACCGGGAAGAACAACCCTGCAAAGCAAAGAAGAACAATGGTGATCAAATACTGAGAGAACCAAGTAACAGGTTTCCACTTGAACTCAACGCTTGAGCTCTTCATCCTTTTCCCGCTCATTGGCTCCTTTGACAGATCAAAGCTCGACCCTTTCATCCTCAGCTCCAAAACACACCGTGTAAGCGTTCTGTTATCGTTCCTCTCCCTGTGAACTCCTCTGTAAACTTTCCAGAACAGAAACAGCTTAGTCTGAACCAGAAACACAAGAACCAGTGAAGTGGCTAATGACACTGCAGAAGGTATCCACCATTTCTTGCAGACCGCATTGCTTTTCGTCACGTCTTCATCATCAGAGCAAGAAGACGAGTAGACAATTGTGAAGAAGAAACCGTGGAAGATGAGGAAGAAACAGCAGAGCTGAAAGATCTCTCTTTTGATTGACTCGAGTCTAGATTCTTTTAGGAGGACACGGCGACAGAACAGATCTTCCTCTCTCTGCCATAGCTTCAAAAGCAACAAATGTCCTGGAGACTCTGAGATTTCAGACAAGGGATGCTGCTGAATCACCCTGAGTATTCCCGTTCCTGGATTCGAGACTGTAACCAACTGTTGTTCTTGTTGCTTCTCTTTATGCTCTTCGTCTACTGGAATTTCCACTATATGAGAATCTTTAGTTCCCGCCATAGCAAAAATGATATAAAAGATTGGTACTTTATGAAGAAACAGAGACCCAGAAATGGAAAGTAACGAGAGTTTATGAAGAAATAGAGATCGAAAATGGAATCTAAGAATAGTAAGAAGATAGAGAATTGCAGAGGAAAAGACTGAGTTCGTTTTTTTTTTTTGGGTAAGATCGAAACTAAGATTTCAGGTATTTAAAATTGTTGTTCTTTAACGGCTATATGTACAACGGTCTTATTTTTATGTTCCTTTACGTTTCGCTGTTACTGTTCCGATTCTTGTACGCGACTTTTTCTCACTGTAACGGCTATATAGACTATTTTCTTTTCCAACAGCGTACATTTGGGCTTATAATGGGCTGTATTATTTGCAATGTGATTTTTAGTTTAAATTGGCCCAAAATTGATCATCATTCTAGCTTGGCTGGATGATTCCATTGAGATTCTTTGTTCCACCAAAACTTATAAAAACGTGAATATTTTTTTATAGCAATACGTAAGAGTTTTTTTATTTTACATTAGATAAATATGTAAAGGTTTGCATATTTTTCATAAAGACTTAATCTTTTATTAGAAAAGATAATATAAATTGCAATTGCAAACAATAATGTTTGTTTATGTATTTTTCTAGTCACCCATTTTTTATTGTTTAATTTGATAATTGAATAACTATATTTTATTATTCTAATAGTGTTTTTTTGTTTTATTGAAATTCTTTGTTTATTTTATTACAATTATTTGTGGAAGCTATTCTTTTATGTAGTCAAAAATTAAAACAGCAATGTCATATTTTGGAATGACGTCTTTGAGATTTGGTGGACTTTCTACGCATGCACAAGCCAACATCAATAGTTTGTCTTGTCTGAGATGAATATTTGAAATTAATAAAAATTCATTATTTACAATTCTTCATTATTAAATAATGCTTTAGAAAAGCAAAACTTATTGATCTCTTAAAAACAGAAAAACACCTAATTAATCATAACCAAATGTTTAACTACCAATGTGATCCAAAGTGAAAACCCAACAAGAAATCTAAGAAGAAGAAAAAAAAAAACTTTGAACCAAATATAAATCAAACCATATGATTGACGAGATCATCAGCTTGTAAATCCCACAAGACATTATCCACATTAAATACATGATGTTGATGTTGTTGTTGATGATGATGATGGCTCCTCATCACCATCATACCATCTCCTCTTCCTCCTTCAGATACAATCTCCTCTTGATCCATCACTTCTCCTTTCAACTTCCTCCTCTCCTCCTCCTCCTCCGCTGCGGCGGTTTCAGCCACTGCCGTACGTATTCCACCGTGACCCCTCCACGCCGCAACCGCAGGAGACGCAGATCCATCATTCCTTTCATCATTTCCAAACGACGACGAAGAAGAACCATAAGAGAATCCATGACCCATGTCCCATAGCTTCATTATCCCATTATTCCCATTCTCCAAACCATCCATTTTCATCTTACCAGCTTCGTTATCAACAATTTGGTTGAAGTTGTTAGGGTTAGGGTTTGAGAAGTTGATTTGGTTTAGGTCAACGCGTTTCTTGGTGAGCAAGTGAAGCATCTCGTCCTTGAAACAACCGAGGGCAGCTTCGGCTAGGTGAGAGACCTGAGGAGGGTTAAGTGTAGTGGTGATCTCTGCCATTAGATGAGAGAAAGGCTTGTGAGTCACCGGATCTATTCCCATTCCTGACAACTTCTTCTTCAGCTTCGTGTTCCAATAGTTTTTTACATCGTTGTCTGTTCGACCAGGGAGCTGCGCCGCAATCAACGACCACCTGAATGATATAAGTGAAAAGAAATATATAAAAACAAACAAAAATTGTGTCTTATATTCAATTTTTTTTCCTATAAACTTGTTAACTAGTTTGTTCATATAAAAAGAATCCTAGACAGCAATCTTTCAAAACTTATGAAAACAGTTCCCGCTATTCGTGAGTTAAATTCGCGTAAAGCAATGAATAACTCATTAAAAAAACCTGTCAAAAGATACTGTATATAGTTATGTCTTATTTAGTTTCTTGTTTCCCAAGAAATTTTGTTGACAAGTTCATATATAGAATTTATCAACAGCAACAAAAAAAATCAAAATCACATAACAAAAAAGGGAAACAAACCCGCCATTGTTTGAGTCCATCTTTACTTTTAATTATACACCCTAAATAAATAATTTCAAGAAAATCGAACGTATGATAAACCCTAATGAGATCTGGTGTATATATACATAAAGAAAGTCATCATACCGGTTACCAAGAACAGAGTGAAACTTGACAATGATATGTTCTTCAGCCTCAGTAAACTGTCCATGTTTTAGGTCAGGACGCAAATAGTTCGTCCATCTTAGCCTACAACTTTTCCCACATCTCTGCAATCCTATAAACAAGTTTTCACCGGTCCATTAAATTCATTACAAAAACATATTTACCTTTAACAAACAAAGATTACTTTTTAAAAGCTTATCTTGACATGGAACAATAGAGCGATATGGATGCTCAATTATAGGACTGTATTACTTGATTAAAGAAAGCATTTTTAAAGAGAAAAAAAAGTTGGGAAAAAATGAATTACCAGCGTTTTTTGGGATGAGACGCCAATTGCGAGTACCATGTTGAGCTATGTAAGAAGCCAATTTGTTATCTTCTTCAGGAGTCCATTGTCCTCTCTTCACATTCTCCTTTTCACAACATGGAATCCGACCCATTCTTTTTCTTTCTAGTTTTTTTTATCTCTTGCTTGATCAAATTTCTCTTTTAGTTAATTTACACACGAGAAAATAAATAAAAAAATGGTTAAGAGAAATGAAAAACAAAAGACAAATCAAAGATTGCTTAAAAGATTTAAAACTGTCAAACTTTTGATTTCTTTCCTTTCTTGTAATCAAGGCTTTTAAATTGCAAAAGAAGAAAGGAAATGTATGAATATATATAATAATTTTTTTGTAAAAAATTGAAACGAGAAAATTAGCATCAAATGTGCATGAAGTGATTAAACTCTTTAAAGAATTCAACGCTACAGAGCGTGTGATTCCCTTTGGCCGGTAGGTCACCCACTCTACGCTTGGTCAACTCCTTGTACACCCTTTTTCATCATTCTTTTTAAATTTTCTTATTGTATTTATCGAATTTCACCCCAAAAACATATATATATGCACATTTAAATTGTATTGTTTATTTTTTTCTGATGTTATCTATTCAAACTATAACTTTTGGCGGTATTGTATGACAAATTATGGTTTCAAAAACATAGATATATATTGAGCTTTTATAGATTTATATAATTGATAAATAAATAATATTTTTTTCGTTTTATAAAAAATGTAGTTTGAAGGTTTTATTTTTATTTCACAGGTTTTAGGTTTTATTTTTATTTCACAAAGAGTATCGTTTATATTTTCAATGCAGAATTTTAAACAATATTCTTAAAAAAAAGTTATTTAGTAAATAATATTTTTAATAGTTTTTTAATAAATGTTTAACAACACATTTTTCCATTCTTTTTTTTCTTTCTTTTTTGTAAGAGATTGTCTTCGTGATGTACGGAGAATATCTTAAAGCCGTTCGTGTGCATTAAAACGAACATTCGTGAAAACACACTGAATCTTAGGGAATTACCGTTTCCTTTTGTGTCTTTCGCGTAATAAGAACTTTACTTGCGCTTTTCGTTTTTAGACAGTTGGGGACCCCACTTAAGCAGTGATCACTCGTAAAATTCTACTTAATTTTTTCTTTATTATAGCCATCTCTCAGTTTTTTCTTTATTCACCATATTCTTTCAAATTTTCTTGAATCATGACAGGAAGAAACTCATTAATAATACGCATCAAGAAAAAATAATAAAGAGAGGCCTTTTCCAACTTTTAACTAAGAAGAAGAGCAAGCCTGAGAAAAAAAAAGAACTATCCTCTGACTTGTCTCGCAAGTAACTTGAACTACGAAGAAGAGTGAGCCTGAGAATAAGAACCATCCTCTGGCTTCTCACGCAAGTAACGACTCCGACCATAACCTAACTCTCTCACCACCGACTCAACCATCCTCTCAGCCACTCCGGTTCCAACACCAATCTCTCGTCCACAACAAACCAAAGCGGCAATCCCCATCAACCACATGGCTCCAGCCACACCAACACTAACCATAGCCGCCACAAGAATCGTCACCGTCGCCGTCAAAACCGGAACAAATATCAGCATCAATGGAGAAACGATCAGAAACAGAGTCACCGTCGCAACTAGGCTGAAACTCATCAGACCTAGAAGCGGTCCGACCACTCCCACGGCTGCTACGGTTGCAACCACAACCGAAGAACCAGTCGTCTTCTCTCCATCGGTTATGGCTCTATCTCCTCTTTTTCTTCCTTCAGGGTTCTCCATGACAGTGGTCTCAAGTTAGAAGGGACTTGAGAGTTTTGTAGCATATGGCTATATACAAAGGAAGATAATGGGCGGCTATTGACACGTGGATGCTAAGAAGCTACAGTTTAATGACACGAGTATTCTTGTAAACTCTGTTCTCTGAACGTTATCCATAAAGGCTCACGGATTTGTACCGGACTAAAATTACCGAATCATATCTAAGACCAAAACCGAACTCAAATGTAGCTTTGAACCGATTAGTATAAAAAGGATTTAGACTGAACAAACTGAATCAAAACACCGATAAAAACCCCTCAGAATTCTGGATTCATATGAAATTTGTTAATTGTATTTGTACTTTATTTTCCGAATCACGGATTGATTATACAACATAATTGACGAAGGATTCGATTGGAAGTTGCTAGTCTAATTATAATGTAACGAAAAGAATTGTTTTCTTTCTTTCAGTAAATCAATGAAGAAAAAAGGAAGATTTTTGGTGAAGAAGAGGGCTTAGCTGAAATTTGACTTAGCGACTTGTGGAAGAGATTTGAGAAGAGAAGGTGATGGCCTCCGAAGAGTGTGATTGAGAAGTAGTATCAAAGTGAGAAGTGTTAAAGCTCCTGCTTGGTGTGCACTTCCTAGTGAAACAGGAACATAACTCAGAAGCGTTGATACACCTAATGTCACCTGCAAAAACCGGAAAAAACCCCCATCAATGGCTTTGATTTTAGTTTCCATGAAAATACAAAGTTTCTGTTCAGGACAAAGACTAATTCACCTGAACAGCAGTCATTCCGACAGTGCTTCCAATCAAAGCTCTAACGGCTGGATGTATGTCTAGCTTCCTTGTGAACCACCACATAGTTCCAATTGCGAGCAGTGTTGTGGTTGCGAGAAGGCGATGATCGAGCTGAAATTGAGTAAAGTTTCAGTCTTTTTGGGATCTTTGTAGCAAAATGAGAAAGCTTTTTTCAATGGCGTACCTGAACAGTTGATGTGTTCTCGAAAAAGTTGCGTAAAAGTGGCTTCATCTCAAATATACCATCTGGGATCCATGTATCGCCCATTTTCGGGAATGTGTTGAATGCACGACCCTGTATAATTCACAAGCAGAGAAGACTAAATGCTCAAGATGTAACCGAGAAAAGTAGAAGCTTATATCCAAGTTTCTTAGTTTGCTTACAGCATCATTTCCAGCAACAAAAGCTCCTGAGATCGCAGTGATACCAACAATCAAGCTTACTGGTAAAGCAAGCTTCTTAACTTTAGCTGCTCCGCGAACCCAAGCCAGTGACTCAGCTGGTGGTTCGGGCATAACAACAGAGAGAGCGGTCCAGAAAAGTCCACAATAAATGGCGAAAGCTGAGGTTAGGTGAGCTGCAAGACGGTATGGGCTAACCCTCGGTTGAGAATATTCAGACGGCGGCTCCTACAGGACCAAACTGATTACTAATTACACAATATTCTGAAGGTAACAACATCCAAAAAAGATGATCTTCGCTTCAACAGTTCCTAAAAACGCTTACCTCTAAGCCGCTTTTAACCATCCACCAACCAATGAAGCCTTGTCCAGCACCAAGTGCAAATAAGCCAGACAGCTTAACTCCAAGGCGTAGAGTAATATACCCTTTACGCAGAAAATACGAAAAGGGCAAAGCAAACATGATTCCCAATCCTCTCCCCCACATTCGATGAGCATACTCCATCCAATATATGAACTTGAAGTCTTCAAGATTCATCCCTTTGTTCACACTACAATCACCAATCCCAAAACAAAAGAGCAAAATTCTCAAATCAAGAGTTCTTCCAAAGACAGCAAGAAAACGCAATGCAACAAGCAGCTAGAGTAACCAAAATTGCTTACTCACCGCTTATATTCAGGCGAGTTCTTATATTTCTCAAACTCCTTAGCCCATGCTTCATCTGATAGAGGAGGGAATTCACCGGTGAATTTCCAATCAGTCATCGATAAACCAGATCGAGTTAATCGGGTCACTCCGCCTAATACCACCATGCTGAAAACCCAAGCCGCGGATCCGAAAAGCCATATTCCGACCCATTTCCGAGCTTGAGGTCCTCCAGAGACAAGTAGCTTCAATCCCTCTGTACTCCCTGAGCTAATCGTCGCTACTGTTGACATCTTCCTAGAAAATGAAGCATTTTGACCCTACAAAAACATAATCTTGATCAAACCCAGCTCAAGAAACATATAATCGAAGCAACTAGATCAAATCCTAAGGAAACCGTTCTCAGGTTTGCGAATGTAAGCTAGGAATCGAATTAGAACATGAAGAGGAAACGAAAGGAGAAATTTACTTTGAGCAGAGATCGCAAGCCATATAAGGAGTTTCCAGCTATTGGAGAAGACCAAGCAGAATTTACTGTAGCAGCTGTGATTTTGGAGGTAAAAGCGCGATGTGACGACGTGGTGGATCCTCGTGCGATTACATCAAAGACCTCCTTGTTCCTCTTCAGAACAGATCCCAACGCTCGAAACATCTCTCTGTGTGTGTCTCTCTTTCTCTCTAGGGTTTAAGCAAGGTTTTGCGTTCAGAGGAAAAAAGACAGACGGCAAATCAATCCTCCTTCTGCAATTCCGATCCGGCCCGGATACGTTTCGGGTTCGGGTTTTGTTGTGGTGGCTCTTTTGCAGACACAAACAATGGCCAGATAAAGAAAACGACATGGTGTTTGATGTTAGCTAAACGAACGGCACGGTATTTACAACGTAAACTGGAAACAAGAAGTGTACACTCCAACAAGTTGGGAAGGGAAGATTTGTTTTGTAAATTGAAGAGCTTCTATATGTCCAAATTTTTTTAAACTTAATGATACTTGTATTGGTAGGTTTATACAAACACAAAAATTATGATGAAATTTTTTTTTTCTTATTTGATTGTAGATTTTTGTGTGAATCTTTAGAATGTAAATTATATATATATATATATAGTATGGTATTACATTAAAAGTTTGGCCATGTATCTAGGCCGCATTCTAAAAAAAATGGCTCCAGCGTTTTTGTAAAACGCTTTGCTTCTGCATATGAAGGAAACAACATGTTAATAAAAATAAAATGTTACCACGCAGTGACACAATGAAGTCTTTAAGGCAGTATATGAAAATAATAATGTTATGTAGAAGGAGGAGCAGAGTTCTTGCGTATCTTCAGATATCCAAACTTGCCAGCTCCCGGAGATGAACCTTCAAACACATACGGCATAAACCCTGTTGCTTCCTTATACTTTCTCTGTATCTGCAATTTCACATAATCAACATCTTTAATTATTTATATAACGTTGTAGCTCAAGAAACATATCTAAAGTTTTTGATTCTTTTGACCTGAAGAATCTGTTCACTGCTTCTTAAACTGCTCCTTCCAATAAAGCAGACAGTTCCTCCACTGCCACCACCTGTGATCTTGGCCCCGTAGAGAGTCCCGTTCTCAGTTTTAGAGTGCTTCAACTTCTCCATTTTCTGAACTAATCTCACTAATCTGTCTGTACCATCAGAGCCAAGCCCACACGCGCTATAGCTGTCGTGGCACTGCCAAGTAAACACTCGTGTAAGAGGCGACTAACTTAGGTAAGGTTACAGAAACAACGAAAGATGCTTTTTACGTTTGTGTTCATCTTAATGTATTTCTATCTCTACATACCATAACACTTTTTACTCTTATCAATTGATCAACTCGTTAATGGTTAACTAACTAGCAGAAAGTATAAAACTCTTTTGAGTTTTTGGACCATAAGAGCTTCTTCGTTTGTAAACTAAGATTCACCTGGTACATGAGCTCCCCAAGACCAATGACTTGTTCTTCTGAAGGAGTTGCTGTCAGCAATGCTTTGAAAGCCTGATGAAGAAATCAGTTTCATCATAAAACATATCCTTCTTCTTATTACAACTCCACACAATAACAAAAAGCTATGATTATATATACAATAAGATTAGCTAACCTGGACACGGAAATTCTCATAAATAGGATGTTTAGTCGGCGCCATTATGTCGTATGTGCCTTTTCTGTCAATGGTTGTGACAGAATCCCCGTGATCACCATACTTCTCGATGAATTCTTCTCCCCTGATAGACTGTGGGAGCTTACTTGCGTAATGAGCTTGAAATCTTCACAAAAGAAAAACTTATCATTTTGATTTTTTTTTTTTAAAAAAAAGAGAGAAACTTATCATTATCATCTTCTAAAATGGTAACACAAAAGAGGGGATTTAAGCAGTACCTATGAGGTGAAAGGTTGCATAAGTAATCCAAAGAAGCATCAGATTCAATCAACTCCGAGCTCTCCTCTTCAGCCTCTTCTGAGTTGGTTTCAGCAAAAGAAGAAGAAGCAAAAGATCTTATCATTGTCTTACCAATAAAAGCTCCTATCCTCACAGAACCATAGTCTGAACCTCCAACACTGCAGAGTAAAAGAATGTAAACAATTTGTGTTCAGAACAAAAATGTTAAGACTTTCTTGGTGTTAAAATTTGCAGACCAATGTTGGACTCAAGTGAAGAATATACACAGCACCTGTGTCGTATTCCAGAATCGATTCCCCAAAATCGAATGTGAGAAGGTATTTCAACAAGTCCTAGTATCTCAGCCGGCTGCAGCGAGTAGAATACTCTAACCCGGTCATTACTCAAAAATCAAGTGTTGGATTAAAAAATGAAGAGAGAAAAAGTACCTGACAGATCATAGCCAGGAGCTTGTTAGCTTCTCCACAAGCAGAAGCCATTTGATCCATCACTCCACAAGGTGCCCCAACAACATAATTCTCCACTTTTTGGCAAAGTAAAGCCACATCTCGCGGAGATATCTCAAGACCTGAAGATTCACCTCAAGGGCCTCAAAAAATGAATTATCTACTCGTTAGTTATCGCGGAGGAGTTTGAACTAACTAACCATGAGCAGCAGCGATAGCAGACATGGTAGCAACTTCAACTGAAGCAGAGGAAGATACTCCTTTACCTTCAGGAACCGTTGAAGAAACCTGAAAACGGATCAGAGCTGAAGTTAGACTCGTAGATACATTGGCATGAAACTCAATATAGTTTTTGTTACCAGTATGCTAATGCTGTCTTCAAATCTAACGTCCATCTCTCTCATTAGTACCAGAATTGTTCCTGCAACATAGGCTGCCCACCTAGAAAATGGACTCAAATCTATATCATAAAGCTTTTGATGATAATTCTTAATCAAGTATCTGAAAATGAGGAGAAAAGATGAACCAACTTCTGAGATGGATCCCGGGAAAAGTAATGGTAAGCTTTCTCATAGGAAATTGGTTTCCCATCTTCTTCCATGAAATCAGACAAGTCCATATCAAAAGTAGGCCCTCTGTTGCTCAACTCCGATCCAAATGAAACCTGAAGTTTCAAATATAAGTTTTAGAATGGTAAGTAAAGTCAGAAGAAGAAAACAGAACATACAATTTCAAGTATGGGAGTGTCTCTTGAATGATGTCTTGCTTCAGCGTGTTTCCAGAGTTTCTGTTTACTGGGATGATTCCTCTGAACAGCGGCATGGCACGCCTCTCTCGTAGGCATCTACTCAATAGCCAAAACACTATTCTGTAAAAGATGAATAATGAGGATAAAGATGAATGAAAGTAAAAATGGTCTTGAAGAGATAATTAACCAGCAAGACAAGACTTCCAGAGTAATCAGCAATGCCTCCCATTACATCAAGTCTACCGGGTGCTCTCGCCACAACAATATCCTCCTGAAAATGGGTCACAAAAACTTCATCAGTTCCTTAAGAATACACACAAACTCCAATAGAAAGCTTGAATCCAATAATGGGAACAAACCTCCCAGTTGAAAAGTGCGGCAGCCGCCAAATGCTCCCTTTCTTGATGATGCCCTCCAATTTTGGCTAAAGTTGCCAAACTATCCAAAAAACCGATTGTATCTGAAAGGCCATGGTGATCTCCATGAAGAATCTCAAAGCCTTCTACAAACCTGTTAAGAAAATACTCATAAGAGGTGAGTCAAAAAGATTCCACTTATAGCCCTATTCTGAAAGATTCAAAGTCCACAAGGAAACACACTTAGAGGGTTTCTGCGTCTGATCAACCGAAGGAATCCCAGCTTCGTTTCCAGCGACTTGGTACCATTCTGGAACTGAGAGATCTCTCCCTGGAGCTCTCTGTAGCTGGAAGCCTAGTATTATTGCATCCCGGAGTCTCCTCGCCCCGCTAAGCTACATTATCATTGTTTCCCTCAGGTAAGTACATACTGATGTTTGTCTATATGAAATCAATTACTGTACACATAACTCCACACATCTGAATCTCTCAACATAATCTAAGCAACAATTAGCATTATCTTGTTTGTGTCACTCTTACACTGAGCTTAGAACGCTTCTTCCCCATGGCTGTGTCCTGCAGTATTTTAGCCGCCACCTGAACTCATGAAACGAGGAGGAGCAATGACTTCATCAACAGGGGAAATTGTCGTGTAATATGAAGAGTTTGCACTGTCTACCTCGCCACCATCAATGCCTCCATCGTAGCACGGTTTCAATGTAACTGCACGCTCGAGATAAGGTGCCCAACATCCAGCAAGAAGATCTCTTCTGATCATTTCAACTCCTCCTTGGAAATACTTTTATGGAGAAAAGAAGAGTTTCTCAAGAAAAAGCAAAACATTTTTTAAAAGGACATATGCAGACTGTGTGTGTGTATATATGGTCTCTCACCTCAAGCATCTTTCTCAAGAATGGTTCTTCATTGAAGTAATCCCTTCGCACAAAAATGAACCGTAACTTGTATGCAAGTGCTTCACTCACAGTTCCATATCCAATTTTCCCTGAAGTTGCCGTGAGATTAGTTAAATAGCGAGGAAAGACTCATAGACATTAGAGGAACCGATGATACCGAGCATGCAGTCTGAAGCAGCAATCACATCAGGAGTATAAACATCTTTTGGAAGTGCTATGAAATTTGGAGGAAGCTCCTGTTTCGCTGATGCTCCACAAACCTATATATCGCAGGGAAATTGTCATTTGTGATCTTACTTTAAAATCAATCAACCAAGCCAAGTTATAAAAACAGAACTAATATCGATATTACCAGGCATAGCCAACCAGCTGGAAGATATTCCTCCTTCAGTTTCCAACCAGTTTGCTGCAAATCACATCATAAATGTTGTGTTAACAATAACTATAAAGAGAATTTGCATATTGAGGTTGAGAAGCTATAAGAGAATTTGCTTACTTGCCCACCAAAGTTAAAGATGAGTAGTTTCACATTCTCTGGAACTCCAAGCTCTCTCCTAACCTGAAATGAAAATGTGGACACCTTTAAAAATCTGACAAAAGACAGTGTCTATCATTAAGAAAAGGGAAAAAATTTTGTTTTTTTTTTTCCTTCAAACCTCTTCTCTAGATTTATGCAATGGCCTCACAACAAGGGGAATATCAATGACATCATGGAAAGCAGGCACTGTTACACGAACAAGATGGGTTTGTTTTTGGTATATTATAAGAGATATAAATATTTGTTGCCTCCAACAAGAACTTACTAGGACAGTATCCAGGGAGGCGAATCAGAAACTCGCAGTGAGAATAATCCTCAGCTATCTGAAGTAACCAACATCAAGAGAAACCTGAGAATGAATCGATAAAATCACATCTAAGCTTATATCAATCAAGAGTTTTACCTGCCAAACAATGGATCGGTGATGATGTCCTGCTGCCATCACATATTCAGCATATATAAAGTCCCAACTACAATGACCACAAAAAACATAACTTTCTTGAGATGTATACACAGAACTTAATTAAGCCATCTCTACCAGTAAATCAGCACAGACCTGAAGTTGGTGACACAAACAGAGCGGATTCCGGCATCTGCTGCAGCACGACAAGCGATGGGGACAACATCTGAGACCTGTTTTGACAATATATATTAGCTTTGAAACCAAACACTCAGATATATATATAGAACACTGAATGTGTTTTTTTTAAGTACCACAAGGTTGGCTTTGATTGACTTTAGCCACTCAACCTCTGTAGCTAAAATAGAGTCTCGAGGTTCAACCGCAATCTCACAATACTGCAAATTTTGAGAAAAAGATGTTGATGAAGCTAAGAACCAAATTGTCTAAATGATGAAATTCTGAGAGAGAGAGAGAGAGAGATTACTGGAAGAGACCTTCTCCAAGGAAGCACGACCATCCACGGTTAGAGCATCAGACTGTACTGATCCACTGTCCAATAGTATCTAACATCATTTTCATAAATTGGAGATCAATCTTTGGAGTGAAACTTAAAAAGAATCAATCTCCTCTCTTTCGATGAAAATATACAAAATGAATTACCTTTCGAATAAAGAGGTTTGGTGAGTGAATCTCCATGGTGAAAACAAACTCTGGAGCAGCAGAGACAACATGAACTCGATGTCCGGACGATATCAGATGCCGAACCACCTACGTGCCATTACATGAAGAGACAGAGAGAGGAATTTCAGGGGGCTAAAAATTAAATGTAATGATCTTCTCAGGCAATATAACGAGAAATCAAACCTCGACGACACGAGTGGCGTGGCCAAAGCCATGGCCAGTAACGTAGTAGGCGAAAACCAAAGACGACCGTGGTGATTCAGACTCAGACATTGGAGCTGTTTGAAGCAGAGTGGGCATTGCGATAAAAATGTTTATACTGATATTGAATCTTTTACTTTTGATTTTTCTTTTAAAGAGAGAGATAAAAGGAAAAGGGAAAAAGGTTTTTGTAGGTTAGCCATAAATGGAGAGAGGAGGAGATGATAAGATAAAGGCGAAATGGATTTTGGAGATAGAGAAAGTAAGCGTTACAATACATATGAGCTAAATCTGGAGTCTACCGATTTATTCTAACAACCTAACTTCTACGTACTCTCCTCTTACGTGTTGCAGGGGAAAGCTGTCATTTTCTTTTTCACTTTAACAAACTAAATACACTAGCTTCCAAATTGTATCTTATCATTTTTTTATTTTATTTCTAATTTTAGAGATTTCAGATATTTTCTTACAATTAATTATTTTATTCCATATTATTTAATGTCTATTATAAAAAAGTTGCTCGAAAGGAGAATTTAAACTTATGTCTCGTTTGTCATTTTTTTTTTTTGAATAATAAAAAAGGCATTTTTCCACTTTGCCATACTAAATAGTGTAGTTAAAAGAACAATCTTTGAAAAGGAACTATTTAAAAAAACTTAGAAATGAAACCTAAATAGTTGAATTATTTTTCTCAGTTTAGTATTTTTTTCACTCTTACAGTTTTACTGATATATCCCAACGAGTCTCTTGCAGTTGAGAAGAGCAAAAGTTAAGAAAAAGAAAAGAAAAGAAAAAAGCAAAAGGTAATCAACATCAAGAGTCAACTGATTGACCTATGTGCAGGTGCAGTACCAAAACCATATACATTAAACCATAACAACAAAAAATGTGACAAGGTAGTTTCATGCACTAGTTCTCAAGATTGATCAGTTCCTACTATTAGATTCATAAGGTGGACGACAAATTAAACGTTTCGAATTTCAGGCACACCCATGGGACATGACAAGGCTGTGGTTAACTACACTAGAGAAACCCTAAAAAATTTAGAAGACAGATCACATTCAGAACTATAAGAAAACCTGACCTAGTACTGCCTCTGTCTTTTGCCTTGAACGCTTGTGGATAGACCAGCCAAAGTGCAATCTCTTGCCCAGTGTCCTGGTTTTCCACATTTGTAACACTCTCCACCCGAGGAGGCAGCTTTTCCTTGCCCTGATTGGAACTGTTGATTACCAGATTGAGCGGTGCAGTCTCTCGCCCAATGTCCAGGCTTCCCGCATTTGTAACAATCTCCACCTGAAGAAGAGGGCTTCACTTGCCCTGCTTCAGAATTCAGATTACCAGATTGAGAAGTGCAGTCTCTCGCCCAGTGCCCTTGCTTTCCGCATTTATAACAATCTCCAGCTGCAGATGAAGACTTTACCGGTCCAGTTTCAGAGAGCGGATTAACAGATTGAGCAGTGCAGTCTCTTGCCCAGTGTCCTTCCTTCCCACATTTATAACAGGGTGTGCCTGTTTTTGCAGTTTGATATCCTCTGGTATCTGATTCACCGAAGTTGCTGCTTTTGGTAAAGCTATACGTTGTAGCAGAGCTGACTGCGTCATCGTTGCACCATTTGAAGAAACCACAAGAGCCCTGCCATCAAGAGGAAGCCATGTTATATTACACAGACAATCAAAGCTAAGCAAGATAATAAATTAATTTTTCACTTATTAAGGTGATGGTTCTTGGCACTAGTTGTATGCCAAGAATCTACGAACTCGTATTACTTTTGCTGACATAGTTGTATGCCAAGTTGTCACTCTGTTTCTATGATCTACCGTTTACAACGTATTTCATAAACTATTGAAGTGCACAGAATTTCTTGCTAAATGATATATGTATACTTGTTGCAAAACAAGTAAGCCCCGGGTATAAAACGAAAAACGAGAGATGGCAAAAAATGTAAAAAACGAGAGTCAGCACTTAATCAGAGAGAACAAGAATATGGAGCTCTGTTAAAAACGCAGCAACAGCTCACCAAACCAGAATCAAGAAGCAGATACCACAAAATGTACAACAGATTACAATGTCATGGATCATGGCTATGTTGATAATAGAAATGACAACCATGGAAACTAATTGATACACATACCTCGAAAACAGGACAGCGATAAAACTGTCGACCAATATTTTCCCCAGTTTTTGCGGTGAGAACACGGCACAGTCCAGCACCGCAGGGACATTGATGATCTGGGAACTTGGATTCGTTAGTGTTTCCATAACTATGATGAGTCCCTGGCTGAGTTCCAGAAGACTGAACCGCATCACACCACTGGAAAAACCCACAACCTCCGTTTTCCTGGTGGAAACGTAGCATTTATCAATTCCAACATCATTATCTACTAAATAAAGCAAACTAACAACAAAGCCAAGCCACTATCCAATCTTATATAATGAATGAAACTACTCTCACTGGCATTTTATCGAACACCTAGGAAGCATAAATGAGTAATTGCGGTACAAGTCAAAGCCAATTCTTGGTTCCCAACACGAAGATATAAACATTTTAAGAACCTCTCTATTAGGGCATTTGTAGAATTTCCGGCCTGGATTCTTCTGTGTGTTTGATGTGAGGATCAAACAGACACCGACTCCACAGGGACAGTTCTTCTCCGGAAAATCCTGCTCGCCGGCCTCTGATCCATAATTTCCGGCCGGGTTAGAAGGATTCACGGAGACGCCTTGAAAACCGCCGCGAGATTTGGAGGCGGGATTGAGCGGGCTTAGCTGCCATTGCTCGCTTTTGCTCCCCTTTAGAGCCGCCATGTAAGGTCCCTCAGGGATAGGAGCAGCGACCCTAGGGCGTTTCGCCAACGCCGCTTCTGCTTCTGCCTCTATCGCGGCCAGCTCCAGAAGGAAATCATCTGATTCCTCAACATCTTCCACCTGAATCGTCGTCCTTCTCTCCATCTTGTTTTGCTCGATTTTTTTTTTTTTTTTTTGTCTCTCTCGATCTAACACTAGTACTGTATGTGAAATTGATTCTCTCGGAAGTTTCTGATTTTGGGTATGTTTTGTGCTTAGGGATTTTCCCGGTTTTTATTTTTTTAACACATTGCCGCTTCGCTTGCTTTATTTTTGATTTTTGTATTACAATGAAACGCATAGAAGCCCAATCTGGGTTAGGCCCAAATTTTTAAGCTTATTGTTTTTGGTTCAGGCCCTAATTATCTTCCATTTTCTCCGTTTATTCCTCGAATGTAGAATGAAAATTGAGAAGCAATGAGATGGGATTTCATCTTACATTCTCCTTAATTAAAAATCTTCCAGCCAGGCTTTCATAAATCTAGACAACTTTGAAAAGAATTTGCAAACCACCTAATTGATATATAGTCTCAATTACAAAATAATAAGTAGAACAAGAAACCTAAAAGAATCCAAGTTCTTAGAAAAATGCCAAAAGATCATGTAAAATGATTGGAAAACCATTTTAACGACATCTCTCTGTTACCAGAAGAGGATAAGCTCGCAACAAAGACGATTAGAGGTTCCTGATTAGGTTTGGCGTAGTAGTACATAATCTACAATACTTTGGTCCACTACAATACTTATTTGACTACTTTAGTTTTTTTTTTTTTTTACTTATGATTTTGAATTGTAATCACGTTCAAAGTGGAGCTAGAATTCATATATTTAGTGTACAAATTTTCTTAGGTCTAAGCCAGCTTCGACATATATTGAAGAATGAACGGCCAATCTAATATTGGTTAGGTTTCGGTTCAGGTTTTAGTCTTTATGTAAACCTAGTGAACCAATATTTAAGTATGAGATAAGAGATTAGATAACTATTCACCTTTATAAAACATTTTGATGTTCACATTTTCAATTTCAAAAGTCAAAAAAAAAAAGAAAATCTCATGTATAATCCGATAATGTAAAAGGAGTAAATTTTATGGAGTAATGTGGATGCCGCATTAAGCATGTCTGTGTCACAGTAGGGCGACGAATGATCATGTTCCGCGACCAACAGAACACTAGTGGACCTTTGCGCCCTAGCTAGCCGGAACGGTTCCAAAGGATAGATAATACAATGCCGCCTCACCAAAGATCTCAGAGACAATGTACCAGTTTCTTGTCCACGTCCCGAGAGATTCAGCTTGTAGTGAATGTGACAATTAATGGAAAGTTTTAGATGGAAATTATTTTGGTAAAATTATTAACCTTCAATCGGTCTAAATTTCATTGTAAAAAACCCACATAACAATCTCGCCAGCAATATTCCCTTATCTTAAAGGTTTAATGTTTTCAAGTTCATACATGCATCTCCTGGAACCTTGAGTCTTGATACCGTATCACTATAATAGACGATTTGGAGATTTTCTTTTCAAAGTCATTACGTCGCACTCAGACTCAACAAGAGCATGTACGCACTTAATATATTTATCATAGTCACCATATCTTCTTTCTTTGGTCAAATGTATAGTCCATATCTGCATACAAGAAAGTAAATCTATACTATAGTATTAGTTGTTGATTTTGAAACCTGAACGTAATCGCTTCTTGTTTTATAGGATCGCTTAACGTATTTTGAGAGTTACGTATATTGGCCATTCATTTTAGGGCCCTTCGTTTTATGCAAGAGGCACTAACATTAATAAATGTAGAAGTAACATCAATCAATGATATTGTAAACCCTATATGTAGATGTCAAATTGTAAACCCTATATTTTTTGATGGTTTTATTTAATATCGTGCAACGTAAAAGAGATTTGTCATTTTGGCATAACCATTTACATTAAGTTCACAATAATTCAATGTTAAAACATGTTTTGAAATGGTGGTTTATATTCTTATTATGATGAGTTTAATTGATAACTTGTGCAATACCGTAATCACTAGATTTTGTTATTTACCGGGTTTTAACAATCACACAGTTCTACAGAGCTATAAGTTCAATAACCCAAAAAACAAAAATTAAGATAAATTAGTTGATTGGTAATAATTGAGAATCATATATATACTGAAAATGGAATAATATATAAATTATAAAAAATTAATTAATAATGAAATTAATAGACTGGTTCAGAGATGCTTTCTGCAATATGTGGAGGACGAAGAGGCCATGGAGACGAGACTAGTCCTCTTCTTCTCTTCCCTCGTCTCCTCTATTATTCTAAGTTTCCTCTTTGTTTATCTACTCTCATCAAACTTGTTTTTGGTACGATATATCTTTCATACCTTTTTTTTCTCTCACAAAACTTTTGTTATGCATTGTATAGATCATAGCCTTGTAACCATCTTTTAAAATAATATACCGTTTATCAAAAAAAAAATATATATATATATAGTAGAGTGGTAATTCTTTTTTTCTTAGCATGAAATTATTTATTCTTCTATATATTTAATCATAGCAGTCTGACCTAATCCAAAAGGTTTTACTAAACGATATCTGTGTATGTATTCGATCAGGACATATAGTCGTCTACTAATGGTTTGTAACTTTGTATTATAGTGTCATCTCCACTCGGGTTTAACCCCGTGTCTTGTTGAATTATTATTATTATTCTTTTTTTTTTTTTGATATATCTGGGTGAGTTAACCCAGAAGGATTGGTATTTTATTCCCAAGAAACATGCGAGTGAACGGAATCTAATATTTCGATGACTGTTTAAAAATTCAACGATATATAATATGTAATCCAACTAGCTAGATTATATATTTCTTATATAATATAGAAATGTGGTACATATTCGTGGCGACTTAACAATGTTATGAGACATGCCTAATTTACCAACTCTAACCATACGTTTATCTCGTTTATCCTTTTTATTAAGAATGATACTATTGAAAATTGAAAATAAAACACACGAAGACACATTAGTTAGGACTAAATCGTAGCATTTTCCTTTTGATTCCATTCATGTGTAATAGTGAGATTAATATATGTAATCACAAGCAGCGGCATACGTAGACGCACACATCACTAATGCAATTTCTATACACGTTAGTGTAACCCAACGTTTAATGCAACTTTTTTTTTTTTGCCTTTGCGCTTATTCATTAAAATATTATTGAAATGTTTTCTATATTGAAAACGCATGCATTTCTTAGGGTTTATGTATTTTCTTGCACATTGTCTAGAAATTTATGTATTAAATGAGTTTAACGTAGATAAGTAGGTTCATAATTTGGGTAGTTAAATTCATCTTTTTTTTTTTTACCTCAAATAAACGCCGTTGCCGGGATCGAATCCGGGTCATCCGCGTGACAGGCGGGAATACTTACCACTATACTACAACGACTTTTAGTTAACTTCATCTATTATAAGACTTAGTTTTTTTTTTTTTTTTACCTCAAATAAACACCGTTGCCGGAATCGAACTCGGGTTACCCGCGTGACAGGCGGGAATACTTACCACTATACTATAACGACGTTTAGTTAAATTCATCTATTATAAGGCTTAGTTTGTGTATTTTAATATAACTGATCAGTCTGATCTATTGACCAAAAGAATAAAATAAAAAAATACAACTGATCTACCCGTCTTTAAATTTATCAGCTCATATATTTATAGAATTTGATATTAGAAGAGATCTATGTATTAATCTATTTTTGAAATATCACTTTTAAAAAATTATAAAAACATAGAATGATATAGAGGATTTTTTTTTTTTCCGACGATAGAGAGGAAGTATTTATATTTTATATAACCTCTATATGAATAGAATGATCGAATAAAATAAGAAATAACTTACAAGATGTAGACGAGAATGGACCCCACGAGTGTCAATAAATAACGACACCTTGCGAGGGTTAAGGCCACACAACACAAGCTTCCAGTCTTTGAAACATTACAAAACTCTTTCTCTCTCTCTCTATCTCTTCATAGTGTCGACATGGCTTGCCAAGACAACCTCGTTGTGAAGCAAATCATGGACTTATACAATCAGATCTCAAACCTCGAGAGCTTAAAACCATCCAAGAATGTCGACACTTTGTTCGGACAACTCGTGTCCACGTGCTTACCAACGGACACAAACATCGATGTCAAAAAGATACACGACGAAAAAGTCAAAGACATGAGATCTCATCTCATTAAGCTTTGTGGTGAAGCCGAAGGATACCTAGAGCAACACTTCTCCAAAATCATAGGCTCTTTTGAAGACAACCCTCTTAACCATTTACACATCTTTCCTTATTACAACAACTACCTCAAACTAAGCAAACTCGAATTCGATCTCCTAGCTCAACACACAAGCCATGTCCCTTCCAAAATCGCTTTCATCGGTTCGGGTCCGATGCCACTTACTTCCATTGTCTTGGCCAAATTTCACCTTCCAAACACAACGATCCACAACTTTGACATCGACTCACAGGCTAACACGCTCGCTTCTAACATCGTCTCTCGCGATCCCGACCTCTCAAAACGCATGGTTTTCCACACAACTGATGTGTTAAACGCTACGGAAGGCTTAGACCAATACGATGTCGTTTTTTTGGCGGCTCTTGTTGGGATGGATAAAGAGTCAAAGGTCAAAGCTATTGAGCATTTGGAGAAGCATATGGCTCCAGGAGCTGTGTTGATGCTAAGGAGTGCTCATGGTCTTAGAGCTTTCTTGTATCCAATCGTTGACTCTTGTGATCTTAAAGGGTTTGAGGTGTTGACCATTTATCATCCGTCTGATGATGTGGTTAACTCGGTGGTGATCGCACGTAAGCTCGGTGGCTCGAGTGAGGCACGTAGTAGCCAGATTGGACGGTGTGTGGTCATGCCTTGTAATTGCTCGAAGGTCCACGCCATTATGAACAATCGTGGTATGAAGAAGGGTTTAATCGAGGAGTTTAGTGCCATTGAGTAAACAGGTAAGTGCAAGAAACACATCTCTTTTCTTGAGAGTGTGTTTATGTTTTGCTCTTTTAAACTTTTTGCCTGTGTTGTGATGCGTGTGGTATGTTTGTTAAGTATTATATAAGTTTGTGAAATTTTGTGAGTTCTTCGATCTTCATCTGTGTGAAGACATGTTGTATGTTTTTTGTTTTTTTTACTAAGATCAATAAATATAAACTTGAGAATCAGCATATAACAGTATAACGATAAGTTATGTTTTTATTTGTGATTGAAATAATGGTGCCTGCCTGAAAATGAAAAAAAAAAAAAAAATTTGTTATCGTCACTAACCAAACATAAAAATATATTTACAAATTGATATATAATTGTTGAAGATTCGTTATACTGATCATTTCATAATCGAGTTTCAACAATGTGAAAAAAGTCCAGTTTTTATCCACTTCAAATTTCTATTTGAAAACACCATTACCAACTTTTAGAAAAATTAGAAACAATTTAGAATGTTGGTTCAGAAATCCAAAACATAGTTACCATTCAGGGCATATTTTGAGATTTTAGCGACTAATTAACAATTATACACAAAACATAATCGTTGATTAAAGTGTTTTCTATCAGTTTATTTTAGTCCACACAATCAATCGTATAAACATGAATATACGGGTATGTCTCAAATCATGTAAACTGAAATCTCTTGTGTCAACCAAGAAAAGAAAATTTGAGATACTGAAAACACCAAATACAATTGACCATAGACTAAAAACAAATTAATAAAAGAACTGTTTCTTAAACATGAAAGTAGATGATTTTCCAACAGGGAAGCTAGAGTCACTGTAACCTCCACTTCCTCTCTTGTTGGAATAACCAGGATATTGACTTAAGGAAAACTCAATCTCACGAACCAAATCTAAGCCTTCTTTCTCACCTAGAGTCTTTAGCTTCCATTCACTAAATGGATATTCTGTCTTATGAATCACATGAATCTCTCCTCCGTCGTCTTCGTCTTTCACCAACACTCTTGCACTCTTCATGAACCCTCTCACAAGTTCTTGGTGTCTCCTGAAATCCGGTATTAAATTGAATAAAACGTTTAAACTGAAAAAAACAAATGTTCTTAAAACCAAATCTGCTTCATAGACTCGTCTACTACTCGTCTACTACTGGTTCACTATTATCCAAAAAGTATTTGAGTCAATTGGCCAAATATACCTAAGAACTAAGACGATATTCTACGTAGAAAAAGAAAAAAAAAAGTACCAAGGGGATAAAAAACAAATAGGGGAGATACAATGCAAGTGGTGTATAATACATACATGATTGTTTTGATTTCGTGCTCACGACCATAGTCGAATCCTGCGTGAGGGAAATTGAAGATGACTCTATCGTATATCGCAGAACCACCAAGGCCAGGCTTTGTGGTCATAGAGTGCACGTTAACTCCATAAACAACGCTGCACCCGAGTCTCTCTAACTCTTCTACGTTCGCCTTCCCATTCTTGTGCTTTCTCTCTAGCTCCCCTACAACATTCGTTATTCAAACATATTAATCAACAATGATCATATATGAAATTATATGAAATTTAGTCACTCGTATACATAGTAGACCAAAGTGTTATTACGCAAAAGAGCATCTCATATTATTTGGTTTTTTTTTTCCCTTTTTACAAATTTTAAATAAACTAAGTATCGAGGAAAAACATAATTTTTTGTAATTAGGAGAAGCCTATGCCAAACTCCAATGTCCAAACTAATGTACGAGACCGGTGAGAAACCGGATTTTCACAGTAGGAGGCATGCAATTAGTTATATCCATATATATATATATATAAAAGGTTTACGTTTATTAGATCATAACAATTACGAAATGAAGATGTTAAAACTAGATTTTGATTTACCTTGAGTGTCGAGAGTGGTCGCAGTGAGGTTTGTTGCGGAACCAAAGGCTCTGGCTAGAGACAGAGAAAAGGAGAAGTCTCCTTCTCCAACCAAAAGTATCTTTTGTTTGTTATTGTAATAGTTTAACCTTTTAGTTTCTTTGACCTCCATTTTGCTTCTCATACCATGTATATAAATATATTATATATATACGGTATATATAAGAACATGTATACATATGTATTTATGGATGCATGGGGTCAAAGAAGACTTAAATGTTTAGTTTTGTTTGCCTACTGTGTATATTAATTTTGGCTCTTCGAACTTTGTGTGTATTTATGTAATACGAAAAGCATTCAATATTCTGTTCATATATCCTTTTGAAGACCTCCTTTCTTGTCCAAAGAGTATTGTATACACACAACTGCAGTTTCACCATTGACGATAGTGAATTAGTGGTAATGCATTATATCCGTTCACAAATGCAATAACACATTTACCCTTTTTTCAACACTTTGGATGCAAATCATAGCTGTATGTACTGTAGTAAATGAGATGTTTGAAATACCGAAAATTCTACATTTAACCGTTTGGCGCTATAGAAAGAAGATAATTAGGCTAGCTAACATGCAAATAAAATATGCAAAGCTTTTTAACAACACGAGTCTGTCACTAGAAATGTTGTACAAAGGCATTGACTACACCATTCTGGATTTTTTTTTTTCCAATTTGGTAGTTGGATTATTTACTTTCAATGTAAAGAACCACAAAACATACTTTCATGAGATCCAATCAGCCAGAATCTGTAAAATTCGCTGAAAATATGTTTAGTAGAAGAGTTTATTAGATAGCCATGCTAAAGAACTTGAAATTACATAATTAACCGTTTCTTAAAAATGAAAGTAGAAGATTTTCCGATAGGGAAGCTCTTGTTACATCGTGGTCCATTTCCTCTCTTGTTTAAGTAACCAGGAAAATCAAATTTGTTAAATTCAATCTCTTTTATCAAACACAAACCATTTTCTTCAGCCAGAGTCTCTATCTTCCACTCGTCAAATGGATGAGCCGTCTTATGAGTAACGTGAATCTCTCCACTTTTGTCTTTCACCAACTTTTTCGCGCTCTTCAGAAATCCTCTCACCACCTCTTGATGTAACCTGTGAAATACACAACGCATTTTGAATTTATACACCAAACATAAGTACATAACCAAAAATAAAAATAAAGAACCAAAAATATGTCTCGATAAATTGCACGACGTAGGATCTTTGATGCTCACGACCAAAACCAAACCCCGCATGAGGAAAGTTAAATACGACTCTATCGTAAAGCTCTGATTTTTGTAGACCAAGCTTTTTGGTCATAGAGTGGACGTTAACTCCATGGATCACGCTGCAGCCGAGTCTCTCCAACTCTTCTACGTTAGCTTTCCCATTGCTATATTTAATCTCTAGCTCCTCTGCAGTATTCGTATTTCAAACATTAATCACTAAAATCATATGATATATAAAGTTTCTCTTAAATTAGATTAGCCGAAAGTTTTAACCCTAGATATATCTCGTCAAGATACCTCCTTCGATCCCATAATCCAAGATCACTTATAGATTAATATACATATAACTTATATCGTTTCATTAGGGTACGCTATCTCATAAATATAATAAAATAAAAAAATATGAGGAGGTGATTGATTTACCTCGAGTATCTAGAGAGGTTGCAGTGAGATTTGTTGCAGAACCAAAGGCTCTAGCTAAAGATAGAGAGCTCCGACCAGAAGTATCCTTTGCTTATTGGTGTACTGTCTTAACATTTTGGTTTTCATTTCATCTCAATGTTTTTATCATTTTCACACAATGTCCTATATATACATCAAATATGGATGCATGACTTAAATTAAGAGATTACCTTTAAAAGTTTGGTTCTGCTATCTGTCTATTCGGACTGTGTGATTATTTATTAACGTGGAAGAGCATTCAATATTCTATCCATGCACCATTTTGACGGCCCTCTTTCTGTTTTCAATTGGGTACCAATATACCATATCAATTACTACCAATTTAGCATAAATGCTGTATTATTAAGGGAAAAACTCTTTTCTTATTGTTTCCATAAGCAGTGTATATATACATTACATAACTAATGTATCAGAAACCCTAATGGGCCATGAGACATTAACCTGATGGTTAATGGGCCGGTTACTAGAAATCCATTTGTTTATAACACTCCTCCTTGGACAAGGTAACCGTGCCTGTCACAAAACCGGGATCTCTATAATGCGCTGGGGAACGTTGCCTCATTAAAACCTTACCAGGAAAACCCAGTGGGAAAAACCATGGTGAAGGAAAAAGAGTACAACACGCATTACTCCCCCTGGTTTAGGCATCACTGTAGATCTCTAAGTCTACGCATTCCTATCTGATGAATGAGCTTCCGGAGTGTAGAAGTCGGTAATGATTTAGTGAATAGATCGGCTGAATTTTCGCTTGATCGGACTTGCTGAACCTTGACCTGACCATCCTTCTGTAGCTCATGAGTGAAGAAGAATTTGGGCAGAATATGCTTCGTCCGGTCACCTTTGATGTAGCCGTCCTTGAGTTGAGCGATACAAGCTGCATTGTCTTCATACATCACCGTAGGCTCCTTATCTTCGTCCATACCACAATCTGATCGGATATGCTGAGTCATGGACCGCAACCAAACACACTCTCTACTAGCTTCGTGAATGACCAAGATTTCCGCATGGTTGGATGAGGTAGCGGCAATAGTCTGCTTCATGGATCTCCAAGATATGGCTGTTCCTCCATGCGTGAAAACATAACCGGTTTGAGACCGGGCACAGTGCGGATCTGACAAATATCTTGCATCAGCAAAACCAACTAGACCATCCTTGTTATGGTTAGAATAAAATAATCCCAAGTCCTTAGTACCTTGAAGGTATCTAAGGATGTGCTTAATACCGTTCTAGTGCCTTTGAGTTGGACACGAACTAAAGCGAGCTAAGAGGCTCACGGCAAAGCAGATGTCTGGTCTAGTGTGACTAGCCAAGTATATTAATGCTCCTATGGCACTGAGGTATGGCATTTCAGGACCGAGGATTTCTTCATCGTCCTTCTTTGGACCGAATGGATCACTATCCAATCCAAGGCTCCTCACAACCATTGGGCTGGTCAATGGGTGGGCCTGGTCCATATTGAATCTCTTGAGTACCTTTTCAGTGTATGCCAATTGATGCACAAGGATTCCGTCATTGACGTACTCAAGTTGTAATCCCAAACAGAATTTAGTTTTTCCTAGGTCTTTCATTTCAAACTCTGCTTTTAAGCATTCAACTGTTTGGGCGATTTCACCAGATGTTCCGAGGATGTTCAAGTCATCCACGTATACTGCTATGATTACAAATCCTTTGTTTTGATATTTTCTGATGAAGATGCATGGACTGATCGGATCGTTTTCGTAGCCTTCTCTGATGAGATATTCGCTTAACCGGTTATACCACATACGTCCGCTTTGTTTCAGTCCATATAAGGATTTGTTCAGCCTAATACAGTGTTTATCACGAGATGCATGCTTATCTTTGAGCTCAATACCATCTGGTAATCTCATATAGATTTCACTGTCCAGTGGTCCATAAAGATATGCGGTTACAACATCCATTAACCGCAAATCTAAGTTTTCTCTTATGGCCAGACTTATGAGGAATCGAAATGTAGTTGCATCCACCACTGGAGAATAAGTCTCCTCATAATCGATTCCGGGTCTCTGTGAGAATCCTTGTGCTACAAGGCGTGCCTTGTATCTAACGACTTCGCCGAGTTCGTTTCTTTTACGCACAAAGACCCATTTGTTTCCCACTGGTTTAACATCGAATGGTGTCCTTAAGATCGGACCAAACACATTCCGTTTCTTTAAACTATTCAACTCCACGTTTATGGCTTCTTTCCATTTCAGCCAATCTGATCTACGAGTGCACTCAATTATAGACGTGGGTTCTAGATCCTCTTGCGTATGCGCAATCTCAAGTGCTACCTTGTATGCAAAAGTTTCATTGATGTCGACATCTTTTCTGTTCCATAGAGAACCGAATATGATATAATTGATTGAGATCTCATTATTATCAATCCCTTCAGAACCTTGAGTTTTGGCGTCCCAAACCTCTTGAGATGGTTTGATAGGGTAAGTATCAGCTGAGGCTGTATCCGTGTTCTCTTGAATCCCGGTTTCAATCATTGCACCTTTCTTTGATTTCCGGGGATTCTTATCTTTGGAACCTGGTGGTCTGCCACGTTTCTTACGTGCGTCAGACTCTGTAGCAACTTGACTTTTCCCTGAGGGGACATCTATTCGTACTGGTGCATTACAAGCTGGTATGTACGATTTGGTAACTTTGTTCGGGTCAGCAAAGGAATCTGGCAATTGATTAGCTAGCTTTTGTAAATGTATAATTCTTTGGACCTCTGAATCACATTCTAGAGTCCGAGGATCTTGCCATTGTGTGGATGTTTGATTCCATGAAAGTTCTTTTACCAGCTTGTCTGTCTCACCACCTAATCTAGGATATACCGATTCATCAAATCGGCAATCTGCATATCTGGCTTTAAACAGATCTCTTGTAGTTGGCTCGAGATATTTTATGATGGTGGGAGAATCAAAACCAACATATATTCCCATCCTCCTTTGAGGTCCCATTTTAGTCCTCTGTGGTGGTGCAATGGGTACATAGACTGAACACCCAAATGTTTTAATATGGGAGACGTCTGGCTCATGACCCGTTAGCAATTGGGATGGTGAATATTTGTGCTCACTAGATGGTCGTATGCGTATTAGTTCAGCGGCATGTAAGACTGCGTATCCCCAAGCTGAGACCGGGAGTTGTGACCTCATGAGTAATGGTCTAGCAACCCATTGAATTCGTTTAATGAAGGATTCAGCTAATCCATTTTGTGTATGGACATGTGGAACGGGATGTTCAACACTTACCCCCATGGACATACAATATTCATTAAACGCTTGGGAAGTGAATTCACCAGCATTATCAAGACGTATAGTCTTTAATGGGAAGTCTGGAAAATGGGCTCGTAATCTGATGATTTGGGCCAATAACCTAGCAAAAGCCTGGTTCCTAGAAGAGAGCAGACAGACATGCGACCAGCGGGTCGATGCGTCAATGAGGACCATGAAATATCTGAATGTCCCACAAGGTGGGTGAATTGGTCCACATATGTCTCCTTGGATTCTTTCCAGAAAGTTCAAGGTCTCTTTAGACACTTTGACTGGTGAAGGTCGGGTAATCAGTTTCCTTTGTGAGCAAGCTGTGCACTTGAGGTGCTGAGGGAAAATACCATTTGGTTTAAGGCTGTGCCCTTCAGAATTCTGGACTAATTTACGCATCATGTTTGCACCGGGATGACCCAGGCGATCATGCCAAATAGTGTAATCTAAAAACCGTGCTTTGATAGCAGCATTAGCCTCAATCATACTGACTTTAGCATGGTAAATGCCAGTAAATACGGCGGGTATAGTTTCAAAAACTTGTTTATGGCCATTTATCATTTTAGTGATAATTAAAAACTCTTTGTTCCCTTCATCCTGAGTTTCGATATGGAAACCATTCAATCTTATGTCTTTGAAACTCAATAGGTTTCTCTTAGAACTGGGTGAGTATAAGGCATCAGAGATGTCTAGATATGTGTCATTTGATAACAGCACATTAGCTTGGCCATGGCCCTCTATTAGGCTCGAACTACCCGCTATAGTGCTAATGTTTGCGGTTTTGATTACTAAATTTATGAAGTAATTCTTATCTTTTAGAATGGTGTGGCTCGATCCACTATCCACAATGATATCCATATTGTCTTGCATATCTTTATTAAACAAGAATTATAATTCAATAACATGCAAAAATGAGATGTAAATAAAACATTACTCCATAAATTAAAATGTAAAAGCAAAAGGTCTTAAAAATCCAAAGTAAAGATAATAAATCCCAAAAAAACAAAAGATAAAAGTTTAAGGAGTAATGAAAAACAAATTCAGATTTTTGAGATCAATCAAGGAGGTCGGAGAGCTCATAATCCATGCCATCAATCTTATCATCCTTTGAGTCATCTTCATTGACTTGATGAACCAGGTTAGCCTCATGATTATCTTTCCCATACTTCTGGTAGAGCTCAACAAGATATTTGGGAGTACGGCAGATCTTGACCCAATGATTAGTCATTCCGCATCTTGAGCAAGGAGTTGGTCTAGATGAACTGCCTCTTTGGGTCGGTTTGTTGATACCACGACCCTTACCCCGACCAAAACTGAGGTTAGGTCGGTTATCTTGGTTCGGTCTACCGCGTCCTCTGCCGCGCAGTCCATGTCCATTTCCACGTCCACGTCCACGATCTGAGGATCTGTTACGTTGGACGAAGTTGGACTCTTTTCTGGTTCCTTCTGGCAATGGGGCTGATCCTGGAGGCCGCATGGCACTGTTCCTCAACAGAAGCTGATTGTTCTTCTCAGCAAGCAGTAAGCAAGATATCAAATCCTCATAGGTGCTATGATTCATGGCACGGTATTGTTGTTGGAAAACAACATTGGGAGTGCCAAAAGTAGAGAATGTTTTCTCTAGCATATCCTTATCAGTGACCTCCTCGCCACATAGTTTTATGAGTGCAACTATCCGAAAGAGTTCGGAATTGAATTCTTCGACGGATTTGAAATCTTCGAACCGTAGGTTCTTCCAGTCGAACTTGGCTTGGGGCAGTATGACCGTTTTCTGATGGTCATATCGCTTTTTCAGTGCCAACCAAAGTTCGAGTGGATCCTCAAGATTGAGGTATTGTTGCTTGAGAGACTCAGCGAGGTGATGGCGGATAATAAATATCGCCGAGTACCGTTCTGTTTGAGTCGCGGTGTTGGGATCTTTGATGCATTCACCCAGACTTTTTGAGTTGAGGTAGATCTTGGTGTCAAGGGCCCATTTGAGGTAGTTATCTCCGGAGACAGTGAGTGCCTCATATTCGACCTTCTGAATGTTTGATATCTGAAACATATAATAATTTATATTAAATAATCAATAGTATAAGACTATGATCATTGGAATAAGGGATTTAAGGTATTCTTGGGAAAACTTTCCATTTCAGGAAACTTGCTATTTTAGGAAACTTGCTATATAAGGGAACTCTAAAATCGAACCTTAGGGTTTATAACCTAGTCGGTTTACTAGTGTTTCCAAATTTAGCTCTAATAGATAAACATTGGTTTTTTTTTTTTTTTTTTTAAATTGATTTTGGAAACTAATTTGAAATTAACCGATTAAGCTTAAACCGATCGGATTGATCGATTAAACAACAAAACCGGTTAAATTAGATTTAATTTTGGAAACCGGTTATTAGGGTTATTAATCGGTTAAGGGATTAAACTAAACGGATTTGCTAGGGTTTAATTTTTATTAGGAAAAACCGATCGGTTTAAACTTAAACCCTATCGATTTAGGATTAGAATTTATCGGTTTATAAACGGTTTAGGTGGATCGATTGGTTTAGAGTTTAAGGGGTCGATTGGTTTAGGATTTAGGAGCTTGCATGGACCGGTTTTAGGGTTTTCAAGGATCGGATCTAAGATAAATAACCGATCGGTTTAGGATTTAAACCGATCGATCTCGGTTTAACGATAGACAAACCAAAACGATTTTAGATCTAGGGTTTTGCAAAGATTTAGGTTTCGGTTGCAAGGAATTTTAGTGTTTGGTTTAGATGATGCTTTTCGCCAAATGGATTTCTGACCGGCTTATGATCTGGGAGCTAAAGACCACAGATATCTACTGGAAACTTCTGAGAATGATGGCCAGAAGGGAGGACGAACAGCTGCTACAATGGAGGAACCACCGCTTGGAAAGAATCACCCGCTAAGGTGGGACAGCGCCGATTGTTTTGAGTCTTGAGGGCGCGTCTGATGTCGGATTGAAGAGCGGTTTTCACCACTAGATTCTTCTCTTCCAGGGCTTCAAAATGATATGTAGATCGCCTTCTAACTCCTTGTATTTTGAGAGATATGATTGTTTGAAGTTGAGCTTCGTGCTGATAACGTATTAAGGGAAAAACTCTTTTCTTATTGTTTTCATAAGCAGTGTATATATACATTACATAACTAATGTATCAGAAACCCTAATGGGCTATAAGACATTAACCTGATGGTTAATGGGCCGGTTATTAGAAGTCCATTTATTTATAACATGTATTGATTTGTTTTACCCATTCATCTACCCTTCTGAATTCTGAGTTAATGAACATTAATTTTTTCCCTTTAATTAATCTTGCGTATTCAAATATAGTGTTTTAAGCCAAGTTGTAACATAGTAGTTTCCATTATTAGTGTCAATGCCTGTCTATTACCATTTATGAGTAAATTTGACTCATCTACTAGATATGGCGCGTGAACAATTTATGTATCTCGAAGAGCATTTAATACTGTATCCATGCACCATTTAATTTGATGACAAGAATCAGACCCTCTCCTGTTTTCAACTCGCTATTTAGCAATTTAGGATAAAGGTTGTAATGCTGATTTGTCCTCAACTTTGTATGTACGTATTTACCTTTCTGATTCCATATTTTGTAAATATTGTATATGTAACATAATCTTTTAAGTTTAAGTTTCTCTTTCAATTTTTTGTAAGTACATGCAGTTACATAAATTGGTTTTAGTCATCCCATCATATAATAAAAATTTAATGTCCATTCTAAAATTCATAAATATTACAAATTTTAACATTTTGTAATTTAAATATTCAAAAATGAACATATATACTTAGATGACTAGGAGGCTCATCAATTTGGATAAAGAAAAACTAACGGTTTGTTGATTTAAATGCTTATATATTTCTGCTGTTAAAAACTCACGGCTTGTTGATAAAGGGTATTCTACTGAAATTTCAGAAAAAGAAAAAAACGATACAGCAGCCTTTAGCCTCAGTTTCGTGTTTAGCCCTTATACAAACTTAGATAATTAATGAACTCACACAGACCAGCCAAAGAACAAACTAAATTTTTAGAAAATAATAGTTTCAGATTACTACTCTTTTTAATACCAAGGTAAACACAAGTACCAGTGTTTCCTAAACATGAAAGTAGAAGATTTTCCAACAGGGAAGCTAGAGTCACAATCACTTCCACTTCCCCTCTTGTTGGAGTATCCCGGATATTGCCACGTGTAAAACTCCACTTCCTTGTAACAATACAAATCCCCTACTAGTGTCCTGATATTCCAATTGGAAAATGGATGTGCCGTTTTATGAGTTACATGAATTTCGCCAGCCTCGTCTGATTTAATCATCTCTCTAGCACTCCTCATAAACCCTCTCACCACTTCTTGGTGTTTCCTGTGTCCTCATACACCAAAACATTAAGGTAATCAACAAAAGATATCTTTTACAAAAAAAAATATATATTTGACATACATGATGGTGTGGCTCTCATGCTCGCGACCAAAATGAAACCCTGCATGAGGAAAATTGAAGATGATTCTATCGTATAGAACCGATCGGACTATGCGGCAGTCTGTGTTCATGGAGTGCACGTTAACACCGTGGACCACGGTGCACCCGCGTCTCTCCAACTCTTCTACGTTATCCTTGGAATCCTTGTACATATCCGCTCTAACTCCTCTACAAACAAGTATGATTGTTTGGTCAAAAAAAAAAAAAAAAAACAAATATGATTGTTTCAAACGCAGGTTAAAATATTCTAATCGTCATTTAAAATTTGTAATGATATATTTGTTGAGTTCTATAGATTCCATATATGCATAATGCATGTATATACCTCGAGTGTCAAGAGAAGTTGCGGTGATGTTAGTAGCCGAACCAAAGGCTTTGGCAAGACATAAAGAAAAGGAGAAGTCTCCTTCCCCGACCAGAAGAATCTGCTGTTTATTATTGTAATGACTACAGTTTATAGTGTTTGAAACCTCCATTTCATCTACATGCTTTCGCTCTTCTCACCATGCATATATATATATATAGAGTTAATAGTCATTAACGGACTTGTGCAACATTTTTTTTGAAAAAGTCATAAACGGATGTGTATGCATAATGCATGGATCGAAGAGTTTTTCTCTTTGTTAATTTGGCTCTTGGAACTTTGTCAGTATTTATTTACTTTTGACGAGCATTGATTAGTATTCTCATTCTGTTAATATATAATCCAGCGCCGTTAACTATTAATAATACCACAGATGTATTTGCGATTTGGTTTCCAACATCCGAATTAGTGGGTTATCCAAAAAAGAAAGAATAATCATGCGAATTAGCATCAGGAGTAAGGACATTATGAAATTTTTTTACCGAATCTATTTGCTCCTTCTTGAATAGATCACAGTGTTTACATATATATACTATGCCTTTTAAATAAATATTAAATAATGTGTGCATCAGTGCATACTGTGCCAAAAACTAGAAAATGGAAACCGGTTCCTGGTCCGGTTATGCAAAACAATTGTTTTAAATGAATGATTATAAAAATCTTAAATAACTTTTTCCACTACCAAGTAACTATGGTTTAGATTGTCAGAGGATTATTATATGAAAGTTTGAATCTAAAAGGCAACTTACTAGTACACCGTATCTGGTATCTGTCTCTATACGCAAGTTTTAAGCGATTATTGAACATCGAATTTGACTGAACATATCTTTCTTTTTCAAACTCAAAATTATATGAATATAAAGAAACTATATACTTTAGAGTTGTATTGCAAACAGATTTACAATTTCAGTTATATGACTATATATAGATTTATTTTTGTTACTATGAATACTATAAATTACAGCTTTTACAACTTTATATTAGATTTTTTTAAAAAGAAACACGACATGAAATGCATGAAATCATTGTTGAAAGGGACAATAAAGGGATTACGAAACTTTTTATATACATAAAAAAGGTTTTCCTTAGTCATGAAGTGTTTACGGAGCTACACCTAACGACACAAAATCTCACAAACATGACCAAAAAGGAGAAAGAACTTAATTAATACCAGAAAAGAAGAAAACAATATAGGAGTTAAAAACTTGGACTGAAACTTGAAAGCAGCAAAACAGCAAATTTGTATTCTGATTGCAGTACTTAAATGATCTCTTCTTCGAAATATCCAAACTTATACTTTTCACATAATGTAGTTTCATTAGTATACAATTATATTAGTCTATCTCTTTTTTATCATTGAACAATTGTAAATTGTAGTCTCTATATCTTATACGTATTTTAAGATAAGAAAAAAAAATTTTGTTTTAATGAAAAGGAAGTAGAGTTTGCAATTTAAATTAAATCTTCACTAATTTCCAATCTTTATATATTTCCACTAAAGAGACTCATAACCCTTATTTTATTGTGTCAAGTCGGGTCTATCAATTGTAATTTCTTTCATATGATTATCCTCTATTTTGTTGCTCTATTTTTTTTAAACTAAAATATGAAATCTTACACAGAAGTGCACCAATTTTGACTATATGTATCTTTTCATATTATCTTACGATTATATGCCCAAGGCCCTAGAGTCAGCTGTATTCAATCAACATAGTGCTATTTTATTTGGAGAAAAAAAACTCTAATACTCACTTTTCAATAAAATCTGCTTTTTTGTTGGTTTAATAATATACAAAAAAGCAACCTCCTAGGAGAGAAAACAAAATAGTGATACATTATTTGATTACAATATACAAAGAAGGGAATGCATGTAGTTTTTTCAACATAAAAGCCAGCAAGTTTTGTTTTTCCAATTCCTCAAAACAACACGCAAGGTCCCACTCTCCCCTCTACAAAACAAAACCCATCCCATTAAGCAAAAGCTCCTCCTTTTCCCCACTCACAATCTCCTTTAACAAAGTTATAAACACTTTCTCTTTTCTATTTAACCAAACACCATTACTCATTCACAAAATTTCCTTCAATTAAACACACATTTAGTTCTCACACCACCAAGAAACTCAAAAGAGAGAGACTCTTAAGAGTTTCTTCCTTCCTCTTCTACTTCTTCAACCATCTAGACATAAAAAAAAAACCATGTCCAATCAACTTCCTCTATCTCCACCACCACAATCGCAGTCCCAACCACCTGACACGCCTCCATGGGACACTCCATCTTCCAAATGGTTCACTCCATTCAACACACCATGGAGAACAACACCAAGAAGCACACACTCAACTCCAACTCCAACAACACCAGTAGCTCTTACCGAAGTGATTGTGTCCAAATCACCTTTGTCTCAGAAGAGCCCTGAAACGCCTAAACTAGACCACGGTATCAAATCAGAGCCTTTTAAAGATACAATGATTCTCCTGCAGCTAAGAGCTAGCCGGACGAATCCATGGATATGGTGTGGTGCAGCGTTGTGTTTTATCTTCAGCGTACTTCTGATATTCTTTGGGATTGCTACTTTGATTCTCTTTCTCGCCCTCAGACCAAGAACCCCTGTTTTCGACATCTCTAATGCCAAGCTCAACACAATTCTCTTCGAGTCACCGGAGTACTTCAATGGTGATATGTTGTTGCTGGTGAATTTCACCAACCCAAACAAGAAAGTAGATGTGAGGTTTGAGCATCTTCAGGTAGAGCTCTGGTTCTCCAACAAGAAAATCGCCACCCAAGGTATCTTGCCCTTTTCGCAAAGAAACGGCAAGACTAGGCTAGAACCGATTCGGTTAATCTCGAATTTGGTCTTCCTGCCTGTAAATCACATAGTGGAGCTCAGAAGACAGGTCATGACCAACAAGATAGACTACGAAATCAGGAGTTTTTTCAGAGTGAAAGCTGTTTTTGGGATTATACATTATTCTTATTCGCTGCATGGGAGTTGCCAACTTCAACTGGGCAGCCCACCAACCGGCAATTTAGTTTCTCGGAACTGCACTACAAAAAGATGGTGAAGAACACAAGTCATCATTCAAAGTGTCTAGCTTTATCTGTGTTCCTCAAGCATATATCCTTCTTTTGTCCACTCACAAGATGTAAAAACGAACCAAGATTCTGAGGACTCTATGCAAGAACCGAGATCCGAGTCTATTCTATATTTTGTAAAGACAGATCTAGTAAGTTTGGTAATTATATGAATCAAAGTGAAATGTTTCCTTCATATTTTGCTTCAAGATTACAAAAATCTGATTCCATATTTGATCCACAAGACACAATCTCAAAAAAGAAAAGCAAAAAAGACTAAAGCCAATAGAACAACTGAGGGATCAGACAGATTCCCATGTTGGTTCCTTTCAGCGTTATAAGTAATCAAAAGTATTTGATCCAAAGAAAAGAAAGCACAGTCATCTCCTAACATCACCCAAAATAGAGTTTTTAAATCTCAAATCCTAACTTAATCAAGACTTTTTTATCAAGAAACTTCAAGAATTGAATACAATAGTAGCAGCTTCAGTGGCAGAGAGAAAAGTTCAGCAAGAATTGATTGGCTAAAGCACAACTAGCTAAGTTAGCCAGGACAGACATGTAAAGTTGATTGTATGATAAAGAGTCCCAGAAATATCTTGAGACAAAAGCAAAAGAGAAAAGGACTTAAAATTGGGGACGTGAGGAACATGAAACGTCTAGCGGTAGACTGAAACAGGGATCAACAATGACCCTTTCACATTTTAATTTTGTGTAAGAAAAGAAAATAGTAACCAAATTCTTACTCTCTCTGCATTCCATCGTATTAATTCTCACTCTCTCATGTTCATGACTGTGATGTTTCCGTGATTCCGGCTTAGCCATATGAAGTAACAATCTTGGATCTTTTTTATATCACCATGCTATTCATTTCTGACGCACTCTACCTAGCCATCTCGACACAAGACACCATACCAGAAAACATTGACCTTGATCGCTTGACGTATGTAATAATTGGAGGACTAATCAACTAGTATACCATTCAGTGGTCAACATAGTTTTTCAAGACTTCATCTAGCAACCACAGATACTTTTATATCTCATCTCAATAACTAGGAAGATGGACAATTGGGAGCATGTACAAGCTGTACACGTGATACAAGCGAATATAGCAAAATCATTGTAGATATTCACATATGCAATGCTTTTGCATCACCAACATGACTTCACAAAAATCTTAGAGAAACATAAACCACAGTATGGACCTGCTTTGAAGAAATATAATCTGGACCTGTTTCCTTTCCTTTGCTACGCCCTCAAACATCGGATCGAGTCTTTGCCTTGATAGAGAGAGCACGTAATCCACTCTCAAGCTCCTCTTGCAACATGCCATATATCAACCTATCTCTCTTCACCAAAATTTTTGCCTTGGGAAGCATCAGAAACAACTCGCAAGTTGAAATGTGTTTCCCCTTCATCACCACTACCCCTAACAGCAGCATGTCTCGTCCTGATACGAAACATCTTCAACTTCTAACTCCACACTATCAAGCTCCGTCTATCTCTTATCCTGATCCCTCTGCTTCCTATTCATTTTCAGAATTCTCAATCTCTGATCCCAAATCCTCTTTTACACCAGCATCGGTGCAAGAACTGGAATTAAGAACTCTTGTTTCACCAATTGTATCACCAGAGCTATCTTTATTCATCTCAGCTTCCAATGAAGCTTCAAGGCCTTCTTCTGCATCATTTTTAGCCTGTTAAGGAACCCATTGTTTCGAGATAGGGTCAGGCTCTGCTGAAAACCAAACAGAACCGCGAAAAAACTCGCAAAATCTCCGACTTTCACATAAACCTAGAACTAGAAGAGCAGCTAATCCTTTGGTGAGTACTGAATCGATCGGAATCAGCATTGTACACAAAATTACGTTCCTCATCTAGAAAAGCCCAAATAATTCTACTTGAATTAAATTGAGAATCAAGCGGTTTCACACTTTTCGCGTACTTGCCTTGAAGGTGATGATGGTGCGAAGAAATGAGAGAGCTTCCGGTGGATTAAACGACGAAAAAGTTAGGATTTTCTCCGGATATTGAACGTAAATCAAATTCCTTAAATGATAATAAAGGAATCGATGATTCGATGAAGTGTAGCAAGAGGAAGATATCGTTGCCATCATTCAACATGAAGCTTTCATTCAAAGAGAGAGACGACGACGATGACGAGGAACGACGTCGTAGCGGTACTTGATTAACCGGTATTGATATTCTAAACACTTTAATCAATTAAACCGGAGTTGCTGAGAGAGCCCAATCATAGTGGTGAACTGGTGATTGGTGAATTAACGATTGAGAAACTCCACCAAGATTCAAACCAACCAGTGATAGATGGGGTTGTTTCTGATCCTTTACAAAGTATACGGCTCTTTTCACAAATAAATGATTCAAGCTTCGTCTTCGTTTTTTTCACCTTCGCTCTCCACTTAAATGAATGAATAACACTGAATCGGGGGTCCGAATCCAGCTTATTGTTTTTCCCGATAATTAAATTACAAGTTAGGTCTATTGTTTAATCAAAATTAAATTCTGTCCCTTTCCTTTTTGTCTTGATTTATTCCAGATCAAGTATACTTCCTTTTTTATACTCTTGACGTTTGCAGAGATCCTTTCAGCTCGTGCTGAATCTGGTAAACATCGAATCTCAGTTTTCAACATCGGAATCTGAATCTGTTCTTAATTTTCAATTTTGCACATGCGGCTATTGATTTAGTGGGTTTAGGTGATCTGGGTAGTTTTGCATTGGCTGATCTATGAACTAAGAAGCTAATAATAGTTTGCAGCTCTTACTAATGATAATTGCAGCAATGAGTTCATTTTGTAGAAGCTTGTCTTTATTGGATCTATTAGATTGTATGTTTTTTAAGAGATTTAGCTTGTTTTGTATATGAAGTTTAGACTATGTGTGAGCAATGGATACTATGGCAATTTAGTTGAAGGGTTCTGAATAATCAAGGTTTGGTTTTGAGAGGATGGTGTTAATCCAGTTTAGCTTGTTTAAGTGCGAGAGCGAATCCATAAGTAACAAGAACTCTTGTCGTAGGTAGACGCAAGATGGGTTCTAAGTCAGTTGTTGACATGATAGAAGCTTCTTCCAAGGTTCACTATTCTGGTTTCCACATGAACGGTCACATGAATGGGGTGGAACCGAGTTCATTACAGGAAACCACTTCTGCATCAGCAGACATTCAAAGGCAGCCTTTTGTAATAGGTCAGTTCTGCTTTTCCAATATCTCTGCTTGGTAAAAATGTTATACTGAGTAATCGGCAAAGAGAAGTTTGACGGATGGTCTTGATTCGAGATGTTTATTCTTTGAGTTTGTGTTGGCTAGGTGTTGCTGGAGGCGCAGCATCGGGAAAGACTTCTGTTTGCGATATGATAATTCAGCAATTGCATGATCAGCGTGTTGTACTTGTTAACCAGGTAAACATTTTGTTTCATCGATTCAGAGCTCTGTGTTGCCGTGTTTCCGGAGTAATGTAAGTAGAGTACAGCAGAATTAACCAGCAATAAGTGTTATAAACGCATTCGCTGGAAGTTGAATATGGTTTAAATGTTGTTTCGTGTATGAGCGTATGATTCTTATTCTAGAATGCTTTGTTCGTCATGATAACGCACAAATTGCTCCACTTAATATCCACAAGTGAATGATTTGGCAGGATTCGTTCTACCATAGTTTGACTGAAGAAGAACTTGCGAGAGTTCATGAATACAACTTTGACCATCCAGGTGATTATATCTTTGGGATGTTGCTGATATTCTATAATTAACTGGTGTGAATTCGTAATGCCACTAGTATACTCATTAGAACAGATACTTTTCTCTGTCTTCACATCCTCGGGTAGTTTTTTGTGTTCTTGATTCTAATGTTGTATTGTTGTCTTCCTGTAGACGCATTTGATATAGACCATTTGTTGTCTTGTATGGAGAAATTGAGGCAAGGACAAGCTGTGGATATTCCAAAATACGACTTCAAAACTTATAAAAGCACTGTTTCCAGAAGGGTACCATTTTCCTTCTTACTATTGCATTATGAGACAGAAATTGAAGGCTCAAACCGTGTTGTCAGTGGACGCTAATAATTTCAAGAAATATCGAAAATACTTGAGAAATCCTACTTCCTTGCGTTGTTTCTCCTTGTAATGATAGTTCTTTCCTTAATGTCATCACTAGCTTCTATCTGGTTTAGGATTTAACAAGATATATATTATGAACTAAGAACTTTATGACAATTGCAGCTCTTATTTTTCAGTTTTGCTTTAGCAAAGCTGGGTTTTTGATTCACAACTTGATAAGAGCAATGAGTTAAATTTTGTACAAGCTTGTGTTTATTGGATACTTAGACTGTAAGCTTTAAAGGGAGCTAGTTTGTTTGGATGAAAATTTAGACTATGTGTTAGCAATACATACAATGGCAATTTAACTGAAGATATAACAAGATATATATTATGCCTTATGTTTGTTAAAGATGCTTTGCTTTTGGAAAATGATTTGGCAGGTAAACCCTTCGGATGTAATATTACTTGAGGGCATACTTCTATTCCATGATCCACGAGTCCGAGGATTGATGAACATGAAGATTTTTGTGGATACAGGTCAATCTTTCATGACATCTCTTCTCTGGATAAATTTGTGAAAATGTAGCAAATTTCAAATTGACTTTCTTTTTCTCTGCAGATGCTGATGTGCGCTTGGCAAGAAGGATAAAACGAGATACTTCCCAAAATGATAGAGATATTGGCACAGTACTCGATCAGGTTAGCCCGGTAGTTTCTTTAACAATATGAATAGTTATGGCAAAAAATGTCTGTGTCTGAAGTAAACCGTCTGGTGCAGTACTCAAAGTTTGTGAAGCCTGCATTTGATGACTTCATTCTTCCAACGAAGAAGTATGCAGATATCATAATTCCTCGTGGTGGGGATAATCATGTAGCTATTGACTTAATCGTGCAACATATTTGCACCAAGCTGGGTCAGCATGATCTCTGTAAAATATACCCGAATCTATATGTTATACAATCAACATTTCAGGTAAAAATACAGCAGCTCATTATAAAACTTCACGGTTACGATCACGTCTTTTAGCTACCAACAGAACTTAAGTTGGTTTTTCTCTTTCAGATACGAGGGATGCACACGCTCATACGTGATTCCCAGACAACAAAACATGATTTTGTCTTCTATTCTGATCGATTAATTCGGCTGGTAGGATTAAATTCTCATGAACAGTTAGTGGATTTTTTTCCTTTTACGTGTCTCATTTCTGTCATCTGATTTAGTTTGCGTTTTTTGTAGGTTGTAGAGCATGGTCTTGGACATCTGCCTTTTACTGAAATGCAGGTCATCACTCCAACCGGTAAGCATGTTTTTTGCACTTCTTTTAGGGAATTCACTAGCATTAATGTAGAGGTATAGCGGTTATATTCCACTATTAAGAGATATCTCCGGTCCCTTGTATCAGGATCTGTATATTCTGGTGTGGATTTCTGTAAACGGTTATGTGGTGTCTCCGTGATTAGGAGGTACTTTGTTCTACTAGCTAAAGTATTCAAGATAAACTTCTACATACTTCCGTTCTTATATCTACTTTACTGATATAATCATAGTGGTGAGAGCATGGAGAATGCGTTGCGAGCTTGTTGCAAAGGTATCAAAATAGGGAAAATCCTAATTCACAGGGAAGGCGACAACGGTCAACAGGTAATAAATAATAAGCAACTATGTCTGTCCCAGTTTTCTACATCCGTTGTTTAGATCTCTAATCACACCGTCCTGCACAGCTTGTTTATGAAAAACTGCCTAATGATATCTCGGAAAGGCACGTCCTCTTGTTGGATCCTATCCTCGGCACAGGTTCCCAAACTTTCTTTACCTATAAAAACTTTATCTTCCTTCTCGGTTCAGTGTTAATTCAGTTTTGTAACTTGCATTTTCCAGGAAACTCAGCAGTTCAAGCCATCAATCTTCTTATAAGCAAAGGTGTACCTGAGGGAAACATCATATTTCTGAACCTAATAAGCGTAAGAAACAGCGCATGGCCCTTGACATGTTTTTTTCACACCCTCGTTATTACTCATGATCCCCTAAAGATTCTTTCTTTCATTCTTTTTGGTTTAACCAGGCACCTCAAGGTGTTCATGTGGTCTGCAAGAAGTTTCCAAGATTAAAGATAGTGACATCGGAGATTGAAAACGGGCTAAACGAAGAGTTCCGTGTCATTCCCGGTATGGGTGAGTTTGGAGACCGATATTTTGGTACCGACGATGATTAGAGATCGGTGATACATTTACCGCCAAATCATTTTTTAAATCTTCTGGCTTTCTCCCATATAAAGGAAACCTCAAGCTCTGGGAAAAATTTTGATTTACTGAAAGAATACCCCAAGTGAAGGGTTTTATTGATCGAACTCAGAACTTGGAACTCATGTATCATACATATTTATTATATATATGTATCCTTAAAAACTCTTGATAGCTCCATATCCTTTTAATACATGATTTGAGTTTATTACATGTATATGCAACTCTATTTACACAGTGCGGCTAAAGCGTTTGTGAATGGCTGAACTAGAGGACTGGTTTTTTACTACATATACTGTCTCAATACTTTTGGCCAAAGCTGCTTGATCCGAGATTGATTATCCATCCCTCCTCGGTCACAGATATTAGAGTCTATCATATTAAGTTTTGCATGTACATGTAAACGTTTGCTATATAAAATGTGAACGTAAAATGTAAAAGTTGGTTTTTACGTTTAGAACGATCATGGTCTTAATGACATTGTTGCAAGAAGTGCAAAGTTATTCTCTTTGATCATGTTAACGAAAGGATGGATATGGTTGGATTTTAGATTAGAGGTATTTCCCGCCATAAACATAACCGTCACCGGAATGGGTCCCACGATCTTATACCTCACTCGAGCTCAACGAAATTGGATCCCACGCGCCGCTCCTTCTCCCTCGCTTGTAGCTCTCACTAGAATCAATCAACATTTCAATTCGACCAAAAACAAAAAGGAACCGAATTAAGCAAAAATCATTCGGTTCTTATATACGGTTAAAGCCAAACCAAATAAATTTTGGAGAAAGAAATTTATTGCGTACATGAATTGAGGTGAGATGATGTAGAGTTATCATAGGGTTAGATTACTATAATCCAAATCGAAGAGACAAATGAGCAAATAAACTCGACTGGCAAAAAATAATGAGATGATGTAATGTTAAGTTAGTATGTCACAATACATACATCGAATCGAAACATGAAGTGGTTCCCGTACATTCCGGATAATCATCATTAGCTTTTGGTTCCTTTTGTCGGTTGCAACTCCAAAACCTTTTTTTTTCATATCTACATTTCTTTTGTTGTAAATTCTAATGCTGATGATATCTTATATTATAAACTGCATTTTAATTTATCTAATAGTCATTAGTTTACCAAAGAACGTAATTATACTCCTGCTGATTCACACAATAAATGATATTTTAGAGAGAAAAGTTGTTTCAAATTAAGTAATGTTGTTGTGATTCTATGCAAAAGCAATTACTTCAAAAGAAAATGTTTTTGTGAATACTTGTATTATGCAACTTGTTATCATTGTTTAAATTGTGTTTAGGTTGCAAATTAGTAATAAGTAATTACTTAGTGTGCAAAAATTTTAAACATCACTTATAATGAAAATAAATTGGATATAAACTTGTACATTTTATTACTTGCAATATAATGGTTGCGGGTTCTCAAAATTCAGTGTGAGACTAGTTTAATAATTTTTGTAAGTTACTATCAAAATCTTGAACTTAAGAATTTTTATAGACACACATGACTATACACAACAAAGAGAAACAACACACATATAAAACTGCAACTGTCGTTCTTACATTTGGTTAAGGCATGTGCACTATTATTACCGTGTGCACACAATTTATTTATTTGTTTGCTTAAAAAAATTATTTGAGCCTCTGAGTAATCTTCAATCTTATATATATATATATATATATATGTATTTTATTATATTTGCAGATGATAGAAAAATGGTGATTGTTGGCTGGAAAGTCATTGTTATTCAGACAACACATGATCATGTGATGGGGTGGCGCGTGGGTCCACGTGATCCCACGTCCGAAAGCCTCTCTTCTCAATTTCACAAAATTAGCAAACATCCAAAAGCTTAACCAATTAAATAATTGAAGAGATTTTTTAAAAAGAAAGACGAATCTTTCCTTTGTATGTAACTCCAAACACTCCCTTCCTTTTCCCCAATTTTATACCTTACAGTTTTTCAAAATGTACCCAACAAAATACCTTAATCTTCTATATGAATAATATAGCTCAACAATCAACATGTTCTTTTTTGGATAATAGAATTGTGGATCAATGTACAAACTAATCTATGCATATTGCATAAGGCACGCGCATTTACAACAAATTCTTTTTGGCAATGGTCAGACAAATTAGATTGAATACGACTAATTCATGGATTTATGAATTTTTGGTTTAGCTGAATTAACCCAACTAAGTTTATCCTTATTCTACTCGTCCAATATCTCCAATTATTTTGTCTTTTGTTTTGATATTAAAAACCAAAAAACACTTCAATCTATTGCAATTATTATTGTACATTACATTCTCCAACTCGTTTGCAAGAAAGTAAAATTAAAACCCTCAAACCAAAAGAAAATAAGAATAAGCTAAAGAGTCTTTCTTTCTGATTCTAACAAATCACTGATAACAAATATTCACATCCCTTTATAAAATGTCATCACCCTAATTGTAGTTACTATAATTTTCTTTCTTTATACGGATTCATCAGAAAACGCAAACGAACAATTAGATGAATCTCGAGGAGTGATGATTTTCTCCGGAGCCAACGGCTGTGGCTGCCATTTTTCGCATTTTCCGGCTTTGATCATATCATCGGTTTCCGAGCGACCGATGTCAGACTGTCTAATCTCTTTAAGCATTGCCACAATATCTTTCATCATAGGCCTATCTGCTGCCTTGTTGCTCACGCAAAGAAATGCAACCGCTAACGTTTGGAGCATCTCATGCATTATTGGATCCGCTCGTCCACGGAGTCTCGGGTCAAGAATCTCTCCCGGAGACTTTTTCTCCGATAGATGATCTCTCACCCATTGAACCAAATGTGCACCTCCCGGTAGATCCGGGTCCAATGGATGCTTTCCGGTTAACACCTCCAATAGTACCACTCCGTAACTAAACACATCACTCTTTTCGGTTATACGTTGCATCGAGGCATGTTCTGTTTAAATTATAAAAAAACGTTACAAAGTCTAAATTTTGAATATGACAATAATAACATAGAGATATGAATTTTGATGAAATTTTACCTGGAGCCATGTAACCGTAAGAACCAGCTAACGGAGGCCGGTTATTGCTCGGTTTAGACGAATCTCCATTGTTATTTCCATCACCGGAGACGGTTTTGGCTAAACCGAAATCGGCTAAGTAAGGTTCGAACCGGGAACCTAATAAGACATTCATAGCTTTAACGTCGCCGTGTAGAATCGGAGGAAGGCAATCGTGGTGGAGGTAAGCGAGGGCGTGTGCAACGCCTAAAACGACGTCGTATCGAGCTTCCCAATCAGCTCCTCCTCCTCTTCCTTTGCCGGCGCCGTGAAGCAGAGAGCTTAAACTTCCGTTGGGGAGATAGTCGTAGAACAAGAGTTTCAGATTCTTATTCGAACACCAACCCAAAAGACGGATTATGTTCCGGTGTCTGATCGATCCGAGAGTGTTGATCTCAGAGTTAAACGCTCCGGTTTCTTCTTTCGACCACATCTTCTTCACGGCTAGAGTTTCTCCGGAGGGGATCGTTACTCTGTAAACTACGCCGGAGCTTCCAGTTCCGATCACGTTAGCCGAAGTCAGGTTTTTGACGATGTCGTCGATGGAGAAATCGAGTTTCTGATAGAGAGTCACTTCCCACGTATCTAACTCCTCTTGTTTTCCGGCGACTCGTTGTGCTTTTACAAGAGTGTAAATCGCCATGAGAACGAGGACGACGCTTGCGGCGACGAGGATCGACATGGTTAATTTCACGGCGGATCGGTGTTGTCGGGTTTGGATCTCGTTATCGGGTCGGGTCGAGATGAAAAGCCCTTTGTTGGATGCGAGAACAGAGAGTGGGAGTTTCCGGAAAAACGGGGTGTTGGGTAATTCGCCGGAGAAATCGTTGAAGGAGATGTTGAGTGAGACGAGGTTTTGCAGATCGGCTAAGACGTTTAGGTTTCCGGCGAGTTTATTGTGAGAGATATCGAGGATTCCGAGATTGACGAGGCTGGAGAATCGCGACGGGATTTCTCCGGCGAATGAATTGCAGCTCAGATTCAGAGAGATCGCAAGAGACGGGATTCGACCTAGCTCGTCTGGGATTTCTCCGGTGAAGGAATTATCTCCGAGATTGAGAAGCTGAAGACTCCGACAAGACGAGATTTCTCTAGGGATTTCTCCGGTGAGACGGTTCTTCGCGAGATTGAGCTTCGTGAGCTCGATTAACGACCCGATTCCAGATGGCAGAGAACCGGTTAGTGAATTATCGGAGAAATCGATGAACTGCAAGCTCTTCGGAAGCGTACCGGGTAACGAACCGGTTAAACCGTTGGAATGGAGGTCGACAAATTCGAGGCTTTCGCAACCGGAGATCGCCGGAGGAATGGAACCGATGAGACGGTTATCGCTTACATCGAGAAAGTTGAGATTTTTCAGATTCCCAATCTCCGCCGGAATATTCCCAGCGAGTCTGTTTCCGTTGAGTCGAAGCCGGTAAAGATTCGTGCAGTTCCCAATATCCGGTGGTATGAATCCAGACAAGTAATTAGATAAAAGAAGAAGCTTCGTGAGGTTTCGTAGCTCGAAGATTCCATTAGGAATCGAACCAGAGAGACCGTTATAAGAGATATCGATCGCTTGAAGCTCTTTGCATTGAGAGAGACTCTCCGGGATCTTCCCGGTTAACTGATTCGACCAGGCGAAGAACATCGTCATGCTTGTTAATTTGCCTATCAACGGAGGAATCTCGCCGGAGATTTGGTTGTTGTCGATTTCTAAATGCGTCAGCTTCGTGCAATTCGCTAGCTCCTCAGGGATTGTTCCAGATAACTGGTTAACGCTTAGCTGAAGCTCCTGGAGATTCGGAAGGTTCCCGAAGCTTCTCGGGATGTTTCCGGTGAGGATATTTTCAGACAAATCCATGAGGAAGAGCTCCGGACAGTTTCCGAGCTCGGACGGGATTTTACCGACGAGGTTGTTCTGCCACAAGAGAAGGCTTTGAAGCTTCTTGAGACGTCCCAATGTCACCGGAATCGATCCAGAGATTGAGTTTTGGTAGAGGTAGAGGTTTTGAAGCTCCGTGCAGTTTCCAATCTCGTCAGGGATTGGACCAGACAAGAGTGACGTGTACAGAGCTATTGTCTGAACGTGTTTCAGGTTTCCGATCGACGCCGGGAGTTTA